GAGAAAGAGCAAAAGAGGGGAACATAGAGAGGGGAACAGAGAGAAAGAGAGACGGAACTCTCAGCTCTTTTCACCAGGGGCTGCCCCCGGGGCTGGGGGACCCAGGCTTGTGTGTTGGCAGCCACATGACAGTGCAGTAACGGTGACAGTGCAGAGAATGAGGGAGGGCTGCGCTGGCTGAGGCAGCGCCTGCTCCTGGTGCGGCCGCTCCTGGTGCGGGTGTCAGCAGGCAAGCTCCACGCCCCGGGCTCTCTGCACATGCACCCACACGGCCTTTCCTGGGGAGCTGAGCAGGACATTGGGCACTCTCCCACTGGAGACCAGGGTCCTGAGGCCCCCTCAGGCAGGGGGAGGGGAGTGTGTGGCCCCTTGCTGGAGGCTCAGGCCTGACTGTGGAGCTGCGGTGCCTGTGGGTTTCTGCATGGCCGCATCTCTGAAGAAATGTGCGGTGCAAGTGTGGGTTTACAGGGCCAGTGCAAAAGCCAAACTGATGTGAGAGTGAAACACAGCTCCCCATGCAAGCCTGCCTTCTAGAATCCCCACAGAAAATAAGGCCCCCAACCTGCACAGGATTCCTCAGGACACTAAAAGTCCTCACAACAGTTGTGACTTCCTCAAACTGCTCGAGAGAGACCACTCGAGGCTGGCGTCGTGGTATAGTAAGCCAATTCTCTGCCTGCAGCACCTGCATCCCATGTGGGCACTGGTTCAAGTCCCAGCTGCTCCATTTCACACCCAGCTCCCTGCTAGTGCACTTGGGAAAGCAGCAGAGGATGGTCCAGTGGCTTGACCATCCTGGGTTGGACCCAGTCCTGGGGTCAACTCGCAGAGCCACAAGACCAAGATGCTGAGCCATGCTTGGGGCAGGAGGCCAGGCTGGCCCAGGGCTGGGCAGCATTATCAGGAAGGGAGATCTTGGATGGGCCCCACACCAGGCCAGTCCCACACCCTGGACATGGCTGTCTACCCTGTGGGGGTGGTCGTGAGGCTGGGCAGGGCCGAGGGGCCCCCACTCACACACAGGATGCCAGCACCTGCTTGGCTCAGCATTGCTATTCTTGGCCACAACCTAGGCAGCTGCCCATTAAAATTCCATTAGGCTCTGAGGCTGGAACTGCCGTGGCTATTTCCAATGATTGTGAAATTAGACTTGTCCTTGTAATTAAACGATAATTGTACACTGCCAGCTGCACCCTTGGGAGCCACACGCTGCTCCTGAGCACAGCACAGGAATTCAGAGTCCTCTGGGGTAGATGAGAGCAGGCATTGAGACTTTGGGCACGAGTGGATCCTGGAGCCCTTGGGTCCCTGTGCCCAGCGGCCTGGCTCAGGGACAGTGAGGTGGCCCTCGGCGCCCTGGCTCCTAGCAAGCATGACATTCAGCACACGAGGGAAGGAAGGAGACACCCTCGGAGCCAGCTCTGTGAACCCCAGGGGTGTATCCTGCAGGGGCACTGGGGGGCTGCTGGGCAGGGCAGTAATGCTGGGGGAGGGCCCAGGGACCTGGAGCCTCCTAGGGGCCCATTTCATGCCCAGTACCAGGGGACCTTTGCAAGTGGGGTGGTTCTTTTTTTTTTAAAGATTTATTTTTATTTTTTTTTTATTGGAAAGGCAGATATACAGAGAGGAGAGACAGAGAGGAAGATCTTCCGTCCGATGATTCACTCCCCAAGTGAGCGCAACGGGCCGATACTATGCCGATCCCGATCCAGGAGCCAGGAGCCTCTTCCGGGTCTCCCACGCGGGTGCAGGTTCCCAAAGCTTTGGGCCGTCCTCGACTGCTTTCCCAGGCCACAGGCAGGGAGCTGGAAGGGAAGCGGGGCTGCCGGGATTAGAACCGGCGCCCATATGGGATCCCGGGCGTGCAAGGCGAGGACCTTTAACCACTTGCGCCACCGCGCCGGGCCCAGTGGGGTGGTTCTTAAGCCACTGCCTGTACCCCTGGCACTCCCTCCCCATAGATTCTGACCACGACCAGCCACTCCACAGTCCTGAGATCTACAGGCAGAGGCCCAGGCCCAGTCAGCTGGCCAGAATGCCAATAATGCCCAATCCTGCCCGCTGCCGGCTGGTGAAACGCCCTGGGGTGCACCTAGGATCCGGGGGCTCTTTAAACTGCCATGGGGCCCACCCACATGGCAGCATGGCGGTCATTCGCCTCTTGGGGCACCCACATCCCATATCTGGTCCTAGTGCCCCGTTCCACTGTCCATTTCCTGTTCACGCCTTCTGGGAGGCATCTGTGAGAACCCAAGGGGTCGGGCCCCTGCAGCTGTGTGGGAGGACCTGAAAGAAGCCGCTTCAGATCTGCCCAGCCCTGGCCACTGTGGGCATCTGGAGAGTGAGGCAGAGGGTGGAGCCCTGCTCTGCAGGGAAGACTACTCCCCCACCTCGCCCCCTAGGGCCACCGCTTGTGAGGTCTCCTCTGGAACTGACAATGCTGCCAACAGCCACCCAACCTGGCGGTGCCCCCACCCCCAGGGGCCCTGTGAGAGCTCCCTTGGCTCAGGGGGAGCTGTGCCCCAGGGCGGCCACAGCGCAGCAGTCCCTGCACGGGTCTCTGGGCGCCCAGACAGGTGCGCACCTCTGCAAACATCCTTCATCCTGAGGGGATCGGGGTGGGGTGTGGGCAGCATCCACTGAAGGAGGAGCTGCCCAGGCTGGGGCAGGTAAGGGAAGTGACAGTCCAGAGGGCAGGAACTGGCCCGGGGACCCCAGTGCCTGTGTCCCAGCCCGGAAGGACTCAGGTGTCCAGTGCTGCCTCATAGGCTGTGTGTGGACTCATTGTCACTCACAGGCAGTTGAGCACTCTTGCCCTCTTGCCTGTTGGTACTACGCCCCCTACAGGCCGTGCCTGCTCCTGCACGTGCGCTCCACTGGCCCCGTGGGGTCAAGGCTACCACCTCTTCTCTCTGGGTTCCCCTTCATGCCAGCCTGGCCATTTCCTTGCCACGGTCAGCACAGCGCACACGACACTGCTCCCTGTGGGATGCACCCTGGGATGGGAGTTCTACCCTGAGCATTCCTGACCTAGGTGCCCAGGACAACCACCCAACATGGTCAAGTGGACCAGGGGCCAGCTTGGGCCCTGTCCGTGCACAAGCCCCTGAGGACGCCCTGGGCAAGTGGTTTCTGTCTGAGCCACCCCTGGAACTGGCAGCCCCTGAAGGACTCCACCTGCTTTACACAGACCCCCTCCTATGCCAAGGGTTCTGACGCAACTATGAGGAGGTTGTCCATGCCAGCAGTGGACCGAGGTCACTGCCCACCCGAGAACCCAGAGCTGCACCACAGTGGCTGTCAGTATCTTCACTCCACACTCCCACCTGCCAACAGCAATGCCATTGCTCCTGTGATCCAAGCACACAGGTGAGCACACAAGTGGATATCAGGAGTGTGTGTGTGTAGGGCAGTGCACAAATCAGCACTCTGTGTGTGTGTGTGTAGGGCAGTGCACACATCAGCAATGTGTGTGTGTGTGTGTGTGTGTGTGTGAAGTGCAGCACTCACACTGTATGTGTAGGCCAGTGACCAGCCTCATCCCATCCATTCTGTGTGTGACCGTAGGCTCCAGCTGCAGGGACTGGGCTGGCCTAGGTGGCAGGGACCGTGGCTGGCAGACAGGGTGCCTGGGACTCTGAACTGTCCCAACCATCTGCAATGCAGGGCCACTCAGTATGCACCTCATTTGTTTGCGGGGGGCTTCAGCCAACAGCAAATAAACCAACACCTCACCATGGGCAGAAGGCACCCCCTTATTCTTCTCACTTCTTAGCCGGCTTCTGTTGACCCACCTCAGTGCGCTCGCTCTGAATGTCAGCAGGTCAGTGAACACACGGCATGCGACCTCGCTCCTGGTCTCTGTGTTCTGGGGCGACATCTTGCTGGATCCCACTAAATACTCCAGGGCCCTCTCAGTTGCCCCGGCAGCTCCTGGGAGCTCCAAGGGTTCTGGCTGGATGCTCTGAAGACCGAGCAAAGATAGGTGGCTCAGTGGTCCAACTTGGGACCCAACATCCCACCCCTGCCAGCCAGCTCCTTTGCCATGTGCCTGCGTGGATGTGGGCTCGTCCAACACCCTCGGGTGCCCCCTTGACTGGCTGACCTCAAGGCCCTGAGTACAGCGAGCTCGAAAGGCTCAGACCTGGCCTTCCCCAGCAATCGGCTCGGCCGGCAGCCAGCGAGGGCTTCCCCATACCCCAGCCCACAGCACTTACCCACTCAGCCAGCTGCCTTGGCACACAGGCCCCAAACACACAGCCCTGTTTCATTCCCTGGGCAAAAGCCCAGGCCTAGGCCAAGGTGACTTGAGACTAGGCGGACACAGAGAGGCCGCCTTGTGTGTGTGGTTACCGTGGCCTGACCACGCTGGCATGCCTTCCTAGCACCTTCCGGGGCAGGCCCAGACTTCAGCTCCTCAGGCTGACCCCATCCCTTTCCAGCAACTGCCACTACGACTGTCCCCTCACCCCATGTGGGCCCTGAGGCCAGGCCCTGGGTCTCCAGCTTCCTTTGGGACCTGGAAAACCGCCCTGGAGGCGGTCCACGGAACAGGCAGCTGCTAGACCCGTGCAGACAGCCAAGGCTGCACACAGGTGAATGAACAATCCACTGGGAGGCAGTGTAGGTCTCTGCAATGTCTGTAGGGGTAGGGGCTGTTTTAGGGTGAATGCAGTGGGGCCTGCACCCCAACACATTGCCCCAGGAGAGGCGGTCTTCCAGCAGCACCTGCCCCCAGCTACCATGTGCTCCCAAAGCAGAACAAGTCAGACAAGGCCACCTCTGCTCCTAGGCAGTCATGGAAAAAAGGCGCACATTTAATATCAAAGGCTAATTCAAGTATCATCATTGTATACTGGAGAGTGCTTCTAGAACCTTCTAGAATGTTCTTCCTGGGCACGGCCCAGTGAGTTCCCCCGCCCTTACTGCTGGAGACTTGAAGGGGACGCGGTGACCCCGGAGCAGCCCCACGGAGGCCAGTGCAGGTCTCCCGCCGAGTGTGGGCTAGCCGCTGGACTTGGCGATGATCTTTTCGAGCAGGCTCATCATGCGCTCCTGCAGCTGCAGGCTCTGCACCTGCAGGATGTTGTGCTGGTCCAGCACGCGGCGTACCTCACGGCACGTCTCCTCCATGGCACGGCTCAGCCGGCGCTGCTCCTCCAGCATGGCCTCCAGAAGCCGCAGCTTCTTCTTCTGGAAGTGGCAGCTTGGCTGCACTTTGCGCTTCTTCACTGGCCGCTCCTCTGACCTGCAAGGACATGGAGCAAATGGGCCCGCCAGCTCAGGGCCCAGCCTCGCCACACCACGCACCTGCTGGCCCTGGGCCCAGCCTCGCCACACCACGCACCTGCTGCCCCTGGGCCCAGCCTCGCCACACCACGCACCTGCTGGCCCTGGGTCCAGCCTCGCCACACCACGCACCTGCTGCCCCTGGGTCCAGCCTCGCCACACCACGCACCTGCTGCCCCTGGGTCCAGCCTCGCCACACCACACACCTGCTGGCCCCAGGACCTGGCCTCCTAATGGGACAGAGCCCACTTGACACATGCTTGCTCCCATGGACCCAGCCTCCCAATGGGAGAGTCTACCCTCCATGCACCTGCTGTCCCCAGGGCCTGGCCTCCCTGTCTTGTCATGGACAGAAGGGGACACAGGCCCAGGCCATCGGGTCCTTAACCCAGAGCTTGTTCAGCCATAGCACTGAGTAACTGGGCCACAGGCTCCTGACCAGGTCCCAGTACTGTCCTCCCCTAGCCAGGGAAAGGGTGGGGGTACACTCACGACCTGCTATGACAGCACCCCCAGACCTGTGGAGCCGGGTAGAAAGAGGGGCACTGAGCAGATGGGGAAAGCAAGGGGCTAGAGGCCTGGGAAGGGAGGAGGGAAGCCAGGCAAGCTGTGAATCTCAGCTGGGAGAGGGAAGAGGAGGGAACCCAGTTCACGCTGTCTCCCGGGCCTCCACTTGGGGCAGTGGACAGGCCTTGCTCAAGGGCAGGGAGCTGCCAGCTGCGACCTCCCAACAAACCCCATGTGCCAGTCCCAGCAGCTTGGGAACTGGATTCAGGCCAGGGAGCAACCGGCCACTTGTCTAGGCCTTGCTGCTGCTCGGGCTGCTCTGTGAAGGGGGTGTCTGTGGCTGGGGCCTTGCAGGAGAGTCCCCCTTTCCGGGGTGGGGTCTACAGCCCTATAGTCCACCTACCCTGTTCCAGGCAGCTGGATGCAAAGCCACAGAGGCCCTCTCCAAAAGTACCCACCCCTGCGTATGTGGGGAGGGGTCTCTCCCAGAACTGCCAGGGCCTGGCTCCCCGAGGGGTCACAGCTGCCAGCTCGGGGCCAGCATGAATGAGATGGCAGGAGGGACAGAGTCTGTGCTCCGCTCTGGAGCCTCACTCGGGTCCCTGGTCTCAGCTGGCCCTGGTCACACCCACTGCCCCTGCTCCACCCGCTGGGGCTCCTGGACTGCCAGGGTGATGGTGGCAGCGGGCAAGCCAAGGCATTGCTACGCAGTGTGGGTGCATGCACTCTACCTGAACTTGAGGGACAGTAAGCTGGAGGAGCTGTCGCAACGGTCATCCTCGAAGCGGCCTTCGTAGGAGCACTGGTTATACGGGAAGTACAGGGGAGTGGACTTAGCGGACGGCGACAGGGATGCCTCGGTCTGGGATGTGGAGGGCCCCGGCTGCTGGCCGTCGGGCAGTTTGCCATCACAGGACTCGGGGACCTTGGCCAGGATCCTATCAATGGCTAGGTAATAGGGCCAGTCGGGCGGGACGGACTCACTATCTGTCATGCATTTTAATTTCCTGAAACGAGAGACACAAGAACCCAGTGTGACAATCCGCAAGTGTCCACCCTGGGTCCCACTGGGCCTCAGGGATACGAGGGAGAGGCACCCAGAGTGCGGGTGGTAGTCCCTGGGGACAGGCTGGCTCTGGGTTCAGAGTAACAGGGACCAGAAGACACCCAGGGCTTTCTCTTTCCTTCTTGGTCACCATGAGACCATGGCCAGTGAGGACACTGTTGCCGGGGCATGTGACCCAGTGCCATGGCTTTCCAGGACAGAACTGCGGGAGCTGGATGCAGCACTTGGGCCCATGTCCACCGGATCGCTGCCTGTCTGAGGGTACGAGCATCGGCCTCGCTGAGCCACCAACCACCTCGTGGGAAAGGGGATGATTCAAGTTGGAAAACTTCCCACAGCAGTGCCTGCCAGGCGCCCCGCCAACAGCCCACCAAGGCCTAAGCTATGCTGCTGCTGGCCACTACCCCTTCCCTGGCTCCTCTGCACCCTGCGGGAGGGGGTTAGCCCAGGCAAACTGTGTCCCACTCCTGGGAGGAGCAGGGCTGTGCCACTGAGCCTGCCACCCACAGATGCCCATGCGTGGGGCCTCCACGTATCAACAACTTGGCAGAAAACTAAGACTGTGTCTGCTACCAGGGCAGGTAGTGAGTGCTCAGGCCAGCCGGGGGATGCCGAGCTGCGGCTCCCCCTCCCTGCCACGGGTGCATGAGGGCTGGGCTGGGCTGGGGTGACCCCCAACAGCTGCATCCTGGCCACCTGGGCTTCCAGGGTTGTGGATGAACTCAGGAGACCTCCAGGACAAGCAGCAAACACCCCGGGTGGCAAGGAGGAGCAGCTGAGCCAGACATGGGCTGGCAGGACAGCGAGCCTGGCCTCCCCCAACCAGGTACCAGAACACGGCTGGCAGAGGGACAGGGGCCACCAGTGGTTGTCCTGCAAACTCCCGCCAGCCCTGCTTTTCCACCTGCACCAGGGTGGGTGGCCTGTGCTCACGTCATTTCCCCTATGTGAGCAGTGAGCAGGTGCCTGGGTTCTAGCTCCAGGTCCGGCTGGGGTCAGAAACACGGTGGCAGCTGGGGCTGCTCTAGGTGTCCCCCTCCAGTGAGCTTCACTGCGCCAGCTCCCCAGCCCCGCCTGCTTCGCTGCGCCAGGAGCCCCGGCACAGCGCCAGCTCCTCTCACTATCAGGGCCTGCACCCGTGCCCACCCCGCCTGAGGCTCTCTCGAGCACCACAGCTTCACCCCCAGTGGGGTCTCCCACACCCACGACTGTCACCCCCAGGAGAGTCTCCTCCTGCCTGGCTGGGAACACATTCTTGTTGGGCTGGGGCTGGTCACAGCCGCCCCCTCCCGGGAGACAGTGGAGCGGCCTCAACGCCAGCTGGGCTGGAACCCTCCAGGCCACAGGGCAGCAGGCAGAGGTGCAGACCCTGGCAGGGAGTGGGCAGGCACCAGGGGGACCTGGACACCTACCTTACCTGTGCTGGCTCTGGGGATGTGGCTGTGGGGGGTGGAAGGGAGCCAGTGCTCTGGGGAGCCAAGGTGGGTGTGTCCCCAGGGCCCCGGAGCTGCCCTGGCCAGACCTTGGCTTCCCCATCAGATGTCACCAGTGAGGCTCCGCCCACCCCACGGCGCAGGACCGTGGCCTCCCACCTGTACTGGAAGGTCATGTTGGTGATTTTGATCTTGATCTCCTCGCCTAGCCGCCGCTCGCCGGTCATCTCGAAGAGCTTGCTGGCCATCTTCTCGTACACCTTGGCGTTGCGTTTGGTCTGCTTCAGCTCTTCGAAGAACTCCTCCCAGACCAACATGAGCCCGCGCATCTCCGCATCCGTCCAGTTGCGGGCTCGCCGGTGCTTCTCTGTCTGAGGGGACACCAGGTAGCCCGGCACCTCGGCGGCCGCCATGCTGGGAGTGCCTGCCAGGTCAAGGGGGCGTGCTCAGGTGGGGGCCCCGGGGCCCGGCCTTGCGCACCATGGGCACCAAGGCGGCGGCTGCTCTTTCGAAGGCGGCTCCAACGCTCAAAATGGGGCCTACATCTGACAGGCAGGAATTTAGTTAAAAGCTTTTAAACGGGAAACGTCATTTTGATGTCACGTTTCCATAGCAACAGAGCAACTGCATCAGCTACAACAACAGAAACCTTTTAACGAAAGCATGGGATTCAGGGCCGCCCCGATGGGTCATCAATATCACAGCCAGCCCTCAGCCCAGCTGCAAGCCCGGCCGCCTCGGCCTCGCCAGCCTTCCGAGCCCCTGATGACGACAGTGATGGTGGCAGCCTCCCACATACAACTAGCCAGGCTTCAGCAGTCGGGTCCCTGGGGAGGCCTGCAATACAGCTGCAGGTAGATGGGGAACTGGGGGCTCAGCACGTAGCCATGGGACACCCCACTCTCCTTACACAGGGCATGAGGTCCCACCAGACCCGGAGCACTGGGCTGTGCCCAGCAATGCAGGCTGGGGAGCACCGATGCCAACCGCCAACCCTGACAGGTGGGGACAGCAGCAGATGCCAAAGGCCAGCTCTGTGCTGAGATTGGGGGGTGTGGTGGGGGCAAGTACCTCTGTGGGTACTTGTGGGCATGTGGGTTTTGGCTCTGCAGGTTGAGGCACAGAGCAGGCTGGAGAGCCTCTCTTCCCCAGGGTGAGCTGGCATGCAGAGCTATGGCCTTCGAGAGCGCCTGTGCCAGGCAGACCACACTGGCTCTGGTGTTTGTGGCCTGCAGATGCCGGAGGGCAGGGGGCTATGCCCTGCCTGGACTCCTTGGCTCTGACCAGAAAGGAGAGTGGATCCTACCTGGCCAAGATCCTCCTTACGCTGGCTTTGTGGGACCCTGAGGGAAGTGGGTAGGCTCCTGAGAGGGCCACTGCCTCTCTGGGTTCCTCCCTTCCACTCAGGCCAGCCCTTAAGCATGGCAGCTGGCCCGGCAGCCTGCTGCTGCCCCCTGGTGCCCAGGATGTGACCAGCCCGACCGGCTCAGCACATGTGGGTTTACCCGTGGAAGTTCCCACTGCCCTTTCTCTCCCACTCATAGGTCCACTTCTCCCACCCCTGCAGCGTGGCCCTTGCTCCCCACTGTTCCTGGGATAAACACAAGTTGCCTGAACACAGGGCATGCGCCAGGCTGCAGGCTACTGAGCCTCCACTCCACCCTGGGTCTCCTCACGGCCCACGATCACCCAGCAATGGTGCTACCGGAGGCCCCACACCCTCCCATCTGCACACAACTCCTGGAGAGCAGAGCCTGGCATGCTGTCCTGCCCAAGAGGCAGCTGCTGGGGACCCAGTGCTGTGGTAGAAAGGGCTTAGCGACTGACTGGGGATCAGCATCTCACACTGGAGCTGGCTCGAGTCCCAGCTGCTCTGCTTCTGATCTAGCTCCCTGCTAACGATGCCCGAGCGTTGGGTCCCTGCATCTATGCGGGAGACCCAGATGAAGTTCCTGGCTTAGCCCCAGCGGCTGCACCCACCTGGGGGAGTGAATCAGAGAATGTCCAATTACACTCCCTCTGTCTCTGCAGCTTTGACTCTCAAAGCTTCAGGGTGGAAAAAAAGTTGCTGTGAGGAAATGGGATTTGCTGCTGGTATCAGGCCCACAGGATGCCTGGCACTGGGTATGCCTAAGGCGCCCCATGTGGGCCCCTCAGTGTCTGCGCCAGCACCCGGAGGGGAAGGGCTCCGTACCTTGGCACAGCTGCATAGCCTGCTGGGACCCTTGGTCACTGCGAGATCAGGAGACAGAAGGCTGGGCTGGGTGCCCAGCAGCACCTGCAGGGAGAGGCGGTGGGTGAGGCCTCTGTAGGCCTGGCTCTAGCACAGGTGGTGTTCTGGCCATCACCCCCAGGAGATGGCAGAGCTGACCTTGTGCCAGTAGGGAGGCAGGGGCTGGATGGCTGAAGACATCGGGGCTTGGGCAGTGTATGGGGGTGGAGCCTGAGCTACCCTGGCACAGGGAAAGTCCTGATTGGCGGAGGAGTTTGTGTGTGTGGGGGGGAAGAACTTAGGGTAGGGGTGTGGCCATGGCAGCAGGTTGAAAGGGGCCCAACTGCCTAGCCAGGAACACAGCAGACTGCTCCCCTATCCCCATGTCCCAAGGGACTCATGCCCCTCACTGTGAGCTCTGCCCTAACTGGTAGCACCCAACCTCCTGAGCAAGTTCTGGTGAACGCAGGAGAGGTCCCAGTTCTGAAGCAAGTCTTTGGAGCTCTGCAGGGTGGACTAAGGGGCATGGACCCCAACCTCTTGGCCCTCCGTGCCCAGCACACAGCCCCCAGCTTGATTTCTGGATCAGTTCTCAGCTCACCTGGCTGTGCCCGTTCCTTGGCCACATTTGGGTGTCTGATCCCTAATCCTTCAGTGACAAGGTGCCCCGAAGCAGCAGAGCGCACACCCCAGGGAAGGGTCCTTCGCCTGCATCCTGGAGCCTCCCATGGTGCTGCAGCAGGGTTCTGCTGGGACCTGGGGTCCCTACCTTTCCGGGAGAATCAGCCATGCCAGTTGCGTGAGGGTGTGTCAGGGGTCTGGCTGCCCACACCTGGATCAAGGCAAACAGGTTCTCTTGTGTCGTCAGTGTTGGGGGGCTGAAGCTGGAGGCCCCAGGGTGTGACCCCAACCCCTACCTCCACTGAGGCCTCCAAAGCAGCTCAGCCAAGGGACTGGCTGGCTGGACCAAGCACACACTGAACTCGCAGCCGAGCGTACCTGCTGCTGCGGGTCATCCAGGGCGCCATGTAGACTAGGTTGCCTGAGGAAGGTTTCCTGGGCTTGATCCTCCAGAGCTTGGGATACGGGCAGGGGGCAGCAATGCCAAGGGGACAAGTCCAGCTAGGCTGGGCACCTGAGAGGCCGCAGCCCTGGCTCCTGTGTCATCCACTGCTCCCCTTCAGGGCACCTGAACCCAGCAAGAGCATGGCACATCCGAGGCTGGAGCGAGCTGAGCTGCCGGGGCCTGGCACCCCTCAGCGACTTTGCGCCTGCTCATGGCTGCCTGAAGGTGCCATGCAGGCAGGTGTTGGCTGTGCCACATCCTCCCACACAAGTTGGCGAGGTCCAGGAACCCAGGAAGCAAAGCAAGCCTCGCACAACAACTGATGGGGTAACGGTTTCCTTTAATTTGGGTGTACAAGGTTAGCATCAGTTAAAAGAAAAACAAAAACAAAAACCTTAGCTACACATCCATTAGCCCTCCTCTCCTCATGGCAGGGACAGGGCAGGTCTGGGTGGGCTCCAGGATGCGGCCATCACAGCCCTGCGCCAAACCCTGGCAGCAGCATGGGGCAGGAAGCCTAGCCAGGAAGCCCACAGTCAGGTCTACAACCGCGCCCTCCAGCCGCCAGTGGGACACTGCTCCCAGGAACGACGAGGGGACATGTGCCAGGCATGGAGTGGGAGCTGCCCCCATCACCATTGTCAACCCGTGACTGAGCAGGCCCCCCTGCCTGCCTGGGACAGTCCTTCTGGCTAGTGCCATCCCGAGCTCTCTAGCACGCCTCAGTGGCACTCGGCGTCTGCTCCCCTCCCTGCGTCCGGGCCCTCGGTGCGGCGGGTGGGAGGCTGGGAAACAAGGGCGCGGTGAGGACAGCCACCGGAGAATGTGTGCAGGTCATCATGGGGACGCCTCTTCCACGGCCCCTAGCCCAGTCCTGGTTGAGCACCACCACGGGGCGCCCCGGCAAGGAAGGGGCACCTCTGAGGTGGGCTCTGGGAATCTGCACGTGTTGGGGCTTCAGACCGTCTTCCCAAGAAGACGCCTGAGCAAGAGCACCCGGCAGTGGATGGGTCCTGGCTGCGCTGCGTGGAAACCAGCGTGAGCGAGGAAGTCAGGAGTGCATGGCCGAGGCATTCGCCCTGTTTTCACTCCCACCTCTCCACCCCCGCCCCAGAGTGTGCCAGCCCAGTCGGTGCTACCTGCGACAGCATGGGCTGACGCTCTGACTGCTGCCTGCTGCAGGACCATGTTGACCATGCCCACCGATGGCCAGCGGGACAGCCTCCAAGTCACATGGTTCCCACGGTGGACCCCATAATCTCTCCCCAGGTCCGTGCACACATGCACAGAGGTGTGTGTCCACACAGGCACATGCACACTAGGCCCCAGCAACCTCACCTCCAGGGCCCACAGGCAGCTCTCTGCATCAACACCTGCATGTGGCGGGTTGGGCCTCTCACCCCACTCTAGGGACCGACTGCTGAGGACACACTGAGACGAAGGGTTAACTCCACGTTCTCCCAGCGATGCGGAGAATGGCTGCCCCAGGGCTGTGTGGGAACCTGGGTAGGGAGGAATGGCTCTTCCTCCAGCTGGCCCTACACGGAGGCCCATGAGTGCGTGGTCACCTCGCCCAGGTAGTCCTGGATACTCACGTCCATTCCTACTGTTTGTGCCAGCCAGCAGCAGGCTCTGGCCTGAGGAGGCCTTGCCAGCACTGGCAGAAGCCTCCTCCAAGCTCCCCGGCATTCTGCACTCCCCCAGCTCTGGGACTCGAAGTAGAACCTGCTCAGGCTGAGGCCAGTTGGGCTCACTGGGCAGGTTCTTTGCTTTCAGAATCCAGCAGACGGCCCCAACTTACCATGGCAAACCCTCAAGAAGTGACTAAAGTGACCAGCTAGGCCAGCCCTGGGTGGGGGCTGCAGCAACAGAGCCCCTTCCCCAGGACAGGCTAGCTGGCTCCTCTGGCCTGGGAGCAGAACTGGGCCAGGCTTCCAGGAACTGAGCAGTCACTGTACCTCCCCCCCCGCCATGTTGCCCCAGCCAACAGGCACATCTGCTCCCTGCTGAGCTGGCGGCAGGCCCAGCAGGTGAGTGGAGGCAGAAGCAGCATCAGGGGCTGCCCTCCCAGCTTTGCTCTTCACCTAAGGGACCTCAGAACCCATGCAGCCCAGGGACTCCCTGGGACTGCCAGAGCCAGGCAAATGTAGGAAGGGCTTGGGGGCTGTGGACCCCATAGCACCTGGCGGGCTGTCTCGGCCCCTCACAGCCCCTGCTCGTGGCAAGGCAGTGCGACCCCCAAAAGCAGGAGCTGCGGGTGACCGTGGGCCTGCATGCCAACCAAGGGGACATACTGCAGTGCTCCTGGGCCCCAGGGAGCATGCCTGCCACACACACCACGCTGCCAGCACTTCCCTGGGGGCTCTTGGGGCCGCAGGATGAGGGAGTGCGCAGGCTCAGGAGGGTAGTGTGCCGGGATGTGACTGCCCGAGGCCCAACCACTTCTGCAGACGCTGCTGCATGCAGCACAGGCCTGTGAGCCACACACTTCACACGGTGTAGAGAGGTACATTAAAATTAATCTCTTTACTGATAGAATTAAACTTTAAATCCTGAGAGAACAGAGAGAGGGAGGACAGCAGGGCATGGCACCAGCTGCTGGCCTGGCGGCCACTGCAACAAACACCTGCACAAGCGCCCAGGCCGGCCGTGGCTCCTGTGTCTCCCCTGGGCCAGCAGCCAGCCCGCAAGAGGACTTGCATCCCAGACTGAGGGAGCCGCGACCTGGCGGCAATGACAGGCGGACGTAGGGAGAAAGACAGACAGCTGGTCAGTGGCAGGTGGCCGCGGCTGGCACAAGGGCCGGCAGCCCAGCAGCACGTGCCCTCTGAGGACTCGGGTCCCACCTCATGGAGCCGCATGGCTCCCTGATCAGCCTCAGTGCCCACCAGAGCCACTTGGCAGAGACACGCACGCCTCCTGGCTGCCTCGCGGCATGGACACAGGACCTGGTCCCAGCCACGGCCTCCTCGGCGTCTCTCCCGCCAGGGGCTCTCAGCAGGCAGCGACCTCGTGGACATTTCGCAGACAAGTCAGCAGCCGGTGGTATGGGCTTCCTGGCACTGCCACCACCTCAAACACCGACTGGAAGGCCCTGCGGTCGAGCTCCTCCTCTATCTGGTGTCGGTAAAAGTCTGTGGCAACCAGGCAGAAAAGGTTCGCGTCCACCGGCTCCAGCTTGCCCATCCTGCTGACGACGTGCGGGAGGCTGGCCAGGAGTTAAGGAGCACTGGCAAGGGGCGGGAAGTAGCTTCACGGGTCTAGCTGGCACTCCCTCCTGACCCAGGCCTGCAGATGGGCCCCGGGGACGTGTGGCCACCAGAGCAGCAGAGAGGAAGGGCAGCCGGGCCACCCTGTAGCAGCAGTAGCAGTAGCTGCTGCATGCCCCTCGTGTGACTTTCCCGTGCTAAGCCCAGCTCTCGGCCCAGCAGGATGCGCGGGGCAGCACTTACCTGGCCTGGCTCCCTGTGTGCCGCTGCCGCCTGTTACTCCTGCTAGCCCCGTTCTGCAGCGGGGCGCACGGAGCGGTGGGCCTGCCTACCCGGGCCCTCCCAGGCACGCTGGGTGAGGCTGAGCTGTCAGCACTACGGTAACCACGCTGCTCGGAGGCTCTTGTGGTCTGACGTGGGGAACGCTGCCGAAACAAACTCCAGCAGCCAGCATTTCTGGGTGGGAACGGGCTCTGTACTTAAGGCCTCCCCCAGAGGGTGATCCAGGCACAATGACAAAGCTAATGAGAAGCAGCACCAGGGACTCAGCTGCACGGGGCACGGGAGGGGAGGGGCCCGGGGAGACAGTTCCTGCCCTGCACAGAGCTGGGCAGCCGTGCCGGGCCAGCGGCTGGCGCTGTCAGCATCAGCACCTTCCTCTCTGGGCCACAGGTAAACACCACCTGAAATCTGTGGGGTTTGTTGCAAAAAGTTCCAAAAAGTTTAAGATAAAACCTAGAAGTTGACAGAAAAATTAGCAAAACCTGGCAGCAAGTGCAGCTGGGCTAGTGCCCAGAGCCAAGGGAGGATACGTTGCTGACACCCACGGACTGGTGGAGGCGCTGACAAAGAAGCAGGAGAGGCTCCACACAGCCATGGCGACCGGGGTCCTCTGCGTGAAGTTGGACAGCGAGAGCATCACCCAGTCCCGGACCATGGATGACTGCCCGGCGCTGTGCAACGTCTGAAAGACCTAGGAAGGGGGAGATGTGGCGGGCAGTGCAGGGCTGGGGCCAGCCTGCGGGACCTCCCTTTAGCTCTCCGCTCCAGCCTGCCTCCACCAAGAGGCTCTCACCTTGTACACAACAGTGGCCATGAACTGCGGGTACGGCTGCTGATTGGACAGAAACTCCCCGATGACTTTGTTCATGACATCCTGGGGCGGGAAGAAGTCGTCTAAAAACTGAGGCAGGATCCGCGCCACCACTCTGGCCTCCCAGGGGAAGCCCTTCCTGATCCTGCAAGGGGGACATATGTCAACGCCCTGCCCTGGGGGTCAGGGCTGGGGGACCCTTGGAGTTCAGGGACTTCCTAAACGGGCCAACAGCCCTGTGGCCACAAGCAGGAATGCCAGATGCGGGCACCTTACAATGGAGGGTGTGAAAGGAGCAGAGAGCCACTTGAAGGAATGAGTGGAAGGGTTCGGCCAGGCCGGGTCATGCTCCGTAAGGTTGAGAAGCTGTAACAAAAATGCTATGGGAACACACTTCCGGGGCCTCCAGCACGAATCTATGCTCTCAGCAGGACCAGGCCTGCATCTCCCACTTCCTACCTGCGGGCAGCGGGGGACACTGTGCACAAGACAAGTAGACGCTGGGAACAGATCCGTGCATGGCTGCACCTGTCTGCTACTCAGGACACGGAGCACTGAGCGCCAACATGCATCCAGCAGCTGGCTCCCGAGGGACCGTGGGTGTCACCTGAGTGCTGTGCCACACTCCTGGGAACATCTGCCTCCTTTGCCAAGAGATGGTGTGGTTGTGAGGCAGGGCCCACATGGCGCTCCATGGGCTGGCTATGGGCAGTGCTTAGCGAACACGCAGGGACAGCCAGAATGACCATGAAGGTCACTTGCATTTAACACGGAAGCAGATGGATGTGTGCTTGGCCATGCAGAGCACCTGTCTTGTCTCAGGTGGACACAGCGGAGCCCCTCTGAGTACACCTAAGAAAAGCTCAAAGCCTGCCCTGGTTGGACCAGCCGGGGACCACAGGTGAAGGGGAGTGCCGAGGCCACAGAGCCTGACCCCTCTGGGCACAGAGGAGCTGGAGAGAGCCCAGGGAACACCCACCAACACTCTTGCTGCCCACCAGAGCCTGAGGGTGCAGTGGTTCCGAGCAGGAAGCACTGAGGCTGGTGGCCAGGTCTCTGCTGGTGCTGCCTAGGGACACTGCCGGCCCTCCTGCTGTGCAGCCGGGAACAGGCCTGCCGGGAGCAACATCCTCACGGAGCAGAACGGGCACCTGCATGAAGGTCCACCTCCAGGCTCTGGCCACAGCAGTCTAATGCCAGGGTCCAGCCACAGGGTAGGGTGCGGGTGCTGGGCCTCAAGGTCCTTTAAGCCACCTCGCTGAGAGCTGGGAACCTGGGTGGCCGCTGGCCAGGACAGCCCCCGATCAGTGTGGGGAACTGGGAACATGAAGACAAGAGCATGTGCCCAAGGGCCCATGGGGTGGGCTTCCTGCTCACCTGTCGAAAAGAACAGACACCCGCTCCATGGCGACAATCACGGTCTCGCTGTCCGGGGCTGCAGCATTAGCGTCCGCGGCCCGCCCAGGGCTCAGTCTCTCCTTCCCTGAAACACGTGTTCAGGACACCGTGACAGTCCGCAAAACCCAGCAGGCTCCACGACAGCCAAGCACATCCCGAGGTGATCTGAAGGCGGGGCACCTAACCCACTAGCTGGCCCAGGGTCTGATCGCGAGGCTCAGTGGCATGGGGCGCAGGGCTAGAGTACGAGCACAGGCCATACCCCGGGCCAGGCTCTAGGACTGTCGTCCAGTGCCGGGGCTGGGTGGGCGCAGCAGCAAAGGGGCCACATATCCGGGGGGCTGACCTGCACGCTGCGTAGCCTCCCGACTACCCACCTGTGTACATGCAGGTGAGCATGAGGCCCAGGGCGGCCATGGCCCGATGCGGGCTGTGAACATTCACCCTGTCCACACTCAGCTTGACCAGGGACTCTGCGTCCAGCCGGGAGAGCTGTTCTGAGAGCAGGAGGCGCTCCAGGCCTCGGAGGGCGCAGTGGTAGATGATGGAGGGCGTGGCCTCCTCGCTGCCAGACAGCATCACTCCACACATCTGGGCAGAGGAAGGTTTATGGCAGAGCAGCCCGGCAGTCTCAGGTCCTGCTCCTTGCCCCGAGCCTTGCAGACCCACTGGGGTAACCCTGCCAGGACAAGGACACAGCAGGCCCTCCCTTTGCCCACTCACCTGTATGATTGATGCTGAGAATTCTGGCCCCACGTCCAGGGGGTAGTTCTCGATCAGGTAGAAGGCAGTGGCGCACATGACCAGCACGTGCTGCTGGCTGTGGGTGTTCACGCAGCTGCAGACGGGCACAGAGGCTCTGTCACACACAGGCTGTCACACACAGCCTCTGTCACACACAGCCTCTGTCACACACAGGCTGTCACACACGGCCTCTCTCACACACAGGCTGTCACACACGGCCTCTGTCACACACAGGCTCTGTCACGCACGGCCTCTGTCACACACAGGCTCTGTCACACACGGCCTCTGTCACACACAGGCTCTGTCACACACGGCCTCTGTCACACACAGCCTCTGTCACACACAGGCTGTCACACACGGCCTCTGTCACACACAGGCTGTCACACACGGCCTCTGTCACACACAGGCTGTCACACACGGCCTCTGTCACGCACGGCCTCTGTCACGCACAGGCTCTGTCACACACAGGCCTCTGTCACACACGGCCTCTGTCACACACGGCCTCTGTCACGCACGGCCTCTGTCACGCACAGGCTCTGTCACGCACAGGCTCTGTCACACACAGGCTCTGTCACACACGGCCTCTGTCACACACGGCCTCTGTCACACACGGCCTCTGTCACACACGGCCTCTGTCACACACAGGCTCTGTCACGCACAGCCTCTGTCACGCACAGCCTCTGTCACACAGAGCTTTGGACTGCTCAGCCTGGCCCACTAGAGAACGCGAAGGCACCATTCTCCCTGCATGGCTGCCCATGGCTCCTGCAGCGGCCTGAGGTGCGAGCCTTTACTGACACTCCTAGGGGCCTGCCCGCCTTGAGGTGGAGGACTCTCTTGGCCTGGCACGGCTCAGCCCAGCACTGGCTGCTCTGGTCTTCTCAGAGGCACACCGAGCGTCCCTCAGACCAGATTAGGTGCCTTGTGAGTCCCGAATGAGCTATGCCAAACGTCACCTTGACTTCCACTCAGGGAAGCTCCTCTTTGGTTCCTGCCTGTCCCACAGCAATACAGGAACTTGGATGGCCTGGGACTTGATGAATGGCCAGCAGGAGTGAAGCCGGCCTGAGGCTTCTGCTCCCATGGCCCAGCTCAGGTCCTGTCCGCACACTCCGCATCTCCCTCCTGAGTCTTCAGTGCCCAGAGCACCAAGCGAAATCAGGCAGCCCAGCTGCCTCACAGCAGCGGGTGCCCTTGCCCATCCTGTGTGTGGGAAACATGCGGTCTCTGCCCTGAGCCCACTGGCCTCCTCCTGCCTCATGTCCTGGAAAAGTCCCTTGGGAAGCAGACCAGCACGTGGCCACACAGATGCTGGGCAGCTTCTTGCCTGTGGGACCTGTTCCCTTCATCCAGGCAGAGAAGCCTGGCCTGTAGCAAGGCCATGCTCGCTGGTGCTGTGGTCTGGGTGGTGAGACTGCAGGCAGGTTGAGCACCTGGCCGACCACCATCCCCAGGTACCCAGAAACTGGTCGCACATGGAGTCATACAGAGGCACCCTAGAGGGGAGCTGTCCTTGGTGGAGGACGAGGTTGCTGTGCAGCCGACAGGAGAGGGCAGAGACCCTGCTCCCCTCCTGCCAGCATGCGTCTGCCTGGGTTCCTGCCAACGCCTGTCACCGTGCGGCAAGGGAGCTGGTGCACGCCCTGAGCTATGACATGGTCCATGCTACCTCCCATTCCAACAGCTCCCCACTCACTGGGCTACCCCTCTGAGGTTGGACAGGAGGTAGTCGCTGAGGACAGGGATGAGCTGCTTGGCTGTGTCGTCCAGGAGGTCACACTCCAGCACATACAGGGCGCCGTGCAGGGCTCCAATCCGGCTGGGAAGATGGCTGCTCCTAAGCGTGGTCTCCAGCAGGCGGCTGACGGGCTCTGCCACAGCCTTGTCCTGCACATAAGCATAGCCATGCGGCCCCGGTTGGAACAGCGGCTCCTGTCCACCAGCTGGCCACCAGCACCCGGGAAGCCAGCATATGAGGGCCGGCCCTCGGTGGGTGGGAGGCTGCCCTTCACCCTCACAGGGCTCTGCTGCCTGTGTGGACAAGGTGGGTCACGCTGTGCCTGCTGACCACTGGAGTTTGGTAATGAGAACATACTGGGCTGAGGGCACCAACACACCCAGTCCCAGTAAAAACCCTATAAGCGGAGGCTCTGCCGGGCTTCCCTGGCTGGAAGCATTTCCTGTGTGTCCTCACAACTTCCAGCTGGGGAATTAAGCACGAACTGCTGAGATTCCTCTGGGAGAGCATTCCAGAAGCTCAAGCCAAATTTCCTAGGAACCTTGGCCCCTTGCCTTTTCATTTTGCTAAATTTGCCCCGAGTCCCTCCCTGTGATGATTCAAGTATCTCCTCCTAGCAAAAACAGGGAGTGGTGGGGACTCACGACACCTTGCTGATTGGCTCCAGAATGGTCTCCAGGTCTCCCAGCATGCACTGAGAACCATATGGTGCTGCACTTACTCCAGAAGTGCCTTCTAACAGGCACAGGAAGTAGTGGGCAGTGCGCAGCACCAGGCTCTCCAGCCCCTGCTCCACGGGCATGCTGCTGGCTGAGCCCTCCTCTCACCTCACTAGACAGAGAAACTATGGCCAGGCAGCCCTCTGTGGGGATTCTGCATGCCACATCTGCAAGGAAGTCCCACTCCAGCCTCGGGCTAACCCTGCCCAAGTCCTCAGACCCATTTCTGAACACACAGCCCACTGCTACCAGGGTGCTGACCTCCCAGCAATAGGTGGGCAGGGCCTCACTGCAAGGATGCTGCCCAGGCCTGCATGACACACTGGAAACCTCACAGCAGGCGGCCATCAGGGGGAACTGCTGTGTGCACGGCACCGAGAGGCAGGGGCCTGGCGCCATTCGGCCTCGAGAATCGGCTTTAGAAAACCATTATTTCTTACTTGATTTATTTGGTTTACACATGCCCGGGGGCTCTGGGTCTAGCACAAAAGTTACAATGAAAGTTAAGCCAGCAACTGAAACTCCCCACGAAGAAGAAAGGGCCCTCCAAGTGCAGCGCTTGGCCATCGCGGGCAGCACCCAGAGGCGCTCACTTTGAATAGCGTGTTCACACTGGGGACCCTGGCCCATTGTCTCTGCTCCCTGCATGGCTCTGAATCACCAGTGCGGCCCCAAGCTGCAGGCCACCCACAACATGCCACACCTGTGCCAGCACCCGGGCTCGGCCAGGACAGGCTCCCTGGGGGAGCAGCGCCCGGGGCAGAGCCCCGTCCTGGGTGGCTGGCACCGGCCAGCCAGCCAACCTTGGGCCTTGGCCACCTCAGGCTGCCTTTCTGCTGGCGGAAAGGGAAGCAACTGTCCATGCTGGCAGCAGCAGCAGGAGGCATACCCACAGACAGGCTCAGCAGGGCCTCGGTGCCAGGCACACTCACAAGTGATGTGTATGGTGGCGCTCTGAACTAGAAGGGGCATCGGGGAACTCAACGCAGCCGCCTGACCCTGCTAAGATCTGAGTGCCGGGTCCTTCAAACTCACAGCCCGACAGCACACAGCGGGGTCTTTGGGGACTTGGCGCCTGCACCCAAGATGTCTGGACAAGGGGTAGCGGGGTGACAGGCCTCATTCAGTCTCAGGAGGACACAGCCTGGCAGGGAGATGCCCTTCTGGGGCAGGATCTTGTGCAGAATCCAGGGAACCCTGTGGGATCGGCATGGATCACAGCACCCAGCCATGGAAGCAGACCGGCAGGGGGCTGTGACGACCTCAGACTCGCCACCTACATGGTCTGCAGTCACGCAGCACGGATCTCGAGGGAGCAGCCACTGCCGCAGCGGCCAGCTGCCCAGGGCCGGGCTCAGGCGGGCCACTCACCATGCCGAGGACGGCAGCCGCCTTGCAGGTAGCAGGCACCAGGTACTGGACAAGAATCTCGTCTTCCGAGGGGTGCACCCTCCGCAGCTCCGTCAGCGTCATATACATCATCTCAAACTGGTTGCGTTCAGTGAACAAGTCGGAGACAACCAGAAGCTGCAGACGGCGCAGGGCATGGGGACAGGAAGGGAGGACGATGAGGTCTGGAAGCCCATCTGCGGAGCTGGCATCTATCTAGAACACTCCACAACACTCTGCGCCATGGGAGCGGGGTAGAACGCTAATCACCCACCCACAGTGCTGACACCCAAGTCTGGTTCTCGTCCGTTTCGGACCCACCCCCTTGCCAAAGGCCTGGGAGACCAGCAGGGGACGGCCCATGTGCCCAGGCCCTTGCACCCCCTTGGGAGACCCGGTGGAAGAGACTGGCCCAGCCCCAGCCACTGCAAGCATCTGGAGAGTGGACCAGTGGCTGGAAGATCTCTCTCTCTCTAACTCAGGTAAATTAAACATGTCTTTATATACAGAATAGGTCATAGGCATTCACAGGCTCCTTGGTGGGGAAACCAAGAACCTAAAAATGCAAACTATAGGTTAAACAGACATGGAGAAAGCCAGAGGCCAGCCTGGCATCTGCAGCCTTGTCCTCTTGAGGGGGCCAGGACCGCATCACCACAGGAGGAGAGAACTCAAGGATGAGACACAAGTATGCTTTTTTTGGGGGGTGGGTGAGTATCCTGCACCCTCTTCTCTAAGGTTCTTCAAAGAAAACCTATTATTTGCAAGTCAGAGTTCCACACAGAGAAGCAGAGGGGGCTGGAGATCTTCTATCTGCTCTTTTGCTCTCACACGGTCCCGCTGGCTGGGGCTAAGCCAGGTTGAAGCAGGAGCCTGGAGCTGATTCCAAATATTCCGTGTGGGTGGCAGGGGCCCAAGAGCTTGGTTCATGTTCTGTTGCTTTCCCAGACCATGAGCAGGGGCTGGATGGGAAGTGGAGCAGCCAGGACAAAATGCTAGGCCCATTCTGTAGAGTTCTATTCCTCACATCATACTTAAAATCAGAACTCAATCCCACCCGAGCACCTATTCAGCAGCCGTGAGACGCGGGAGGCATTCTCGGGGGTGGGGGGGAAGGGGAACCAGGGGGCCTAGGCTACCTGAGACCCCACTCCAGGTAGCTCCCGGGGACCCCACTCTCCACGGCAACATTCCTGCTAGTCACCATTTATCAGCCTCATTCCAAGGGCAAGAGAGAAGTTTCTATGGAGGTCACGTGATAGTAACAAATTGAATCTAGTTTAACATGGGAACCCAACCATTTTCTAAAGCAAGTCACACGTGCATTTTGCTTTTTACCTTTGTAAAAAAATTTTTTTTTTAAAAAGCTGTTCTGGGCCCAGCAGCGTGGCCTAGCAGCTAAAGTCCTCGCCTTGAACGCCCCAGGATCCCATATGGGCGCCAGTTCTAATCCCGGCAGCTTCACTTCCCATCCACCTCCCTGTCTGTGGCCTGGGAAAGAAGTCGAGGATGGCCCAATGCTTTGGGATCCTGCACCCATGTGGGAGACCTGGAGGAAGTTCCTGGCTCCTGCTTCAGATCAGCACAGCACCGGCCGTTGCGGTTACTTGGGGAGTGAATCATTGGACGGAAGATCTTCCTCTCTGTATATCTGACTTTGTAATAAAAATAAATAAATCTTGAAAAAAAAATAGAAAGCTGTTCTTACTAATTTTTAAAAATTGATTTCTATAAACTTTACTTTGAAGGCTCTCCGTAGGGTGTCTTGGGCTCCCTATCACCTCCGACCACTGAGGGACCCCAAGCTGGGAGCAAGCACTTGGGGGTTTTCAGTGACTGCAGGGGGCCTGAGACTGCTCCCGCAGCAGCTGCTCAAGTCAGCACCTTTCCGAGGGGGACCCCACACTGTGTCTGTCCTTCATCAACCTCAGAAACTGTCGCTTCTCCTACACCCGGACTCTGCTCCTTCCCATTCTGCAGGAGGAAAAGCGCATGTGGCTGTGCATGGCATGGAGGGGCACGGCCACACGAGTGCTCTGTGCGGGAGGAAGCAGGGCCCGGCCGACGCACCGAGCGGACCACCTCGGTGACGAGCATGGCAGGCGTCTTCCTGGCTGAACTGGACGGCAGGATCCAGCGACTGTACAGCTCGAGCAGGAACTGCGAACACGAGTGGACGTCCACACCGGCCCGGTGCTTCCTGCAGAGGGAGAGGAACCGCCGTTTCCCTCACGCTGGCACACAGGCAGGGACCAGCGGGACATTTCCAACCTCTTGGAAAAGGCCAAAGGAAACCTGGAGTTGACAGGTGATGTGGGAGGAGGGGATGGTGCGGGGACGTCGGCCTCCTCCTCTTCTTCCTCTCCCCACTCCTCCTCTCTCAGGGGCGTGATGCTATTCCCCAGCCACACGGAGTGAATAGACACCTGCCAGGGAAACGGGACACTGGGCTCAGGTCTGGGTCCTGCATGCAGTGCCCGCTCCAGGGACAGCTGTCCACACAGAGAGCTAAGCCTGTCTCCGGGCTTTGGGCAGACAAGCAGCGACGCAAGCTTAGCCTTTAAGACAGGCTCAGGTCAAGGCCTTGGCAGGAGGGGTGGAGTGTGCAGGAAGGGCCACAGAGAACACCAACACACAGGCCTTCTGTCCAGATCTGGTCCTCTCTCCCAGGTAGCCAGGTCCCTGGGTAAACCCCAACTATGAGCTACTGCTCAGAATGCAAAAGGGAAGGGATGGTTCTGGAGAGGCCAGGTGGTGGGGGCAAGGGATGTGGCATGGAGCGGGGCCACTGGCCAGCATAAGCAGTCACTGCCCAGACAGGGAGTGGCTGGAATTGACCCGAGGCTGGCAGCCTGCCTGTGACCTCCCCTCTGCCTGCTTCAGGAGCTGCTCTGCCCTGTGTGGACCTGGGATGACAGCAATACGAGCCCCATGGCCCAGGCACACCAACAGCCACTTCTCGTGTGGCCACTGTTGGCCCCTGTGCCTCACGTCCAAACCTGATTCCATTCTTTCCTTCCCCAAAGCAAGTGCTCAGCTGAGTGGCATTCATGGGGCTGACAGATACAAGATGGGGGTGGTGGGACTGCCCTTCAGCTGGCCGCATGCCTGGGGACAGCTGTGGGGGTACAGATGCTGAAGGAAAGGGTGGCCAGGCGAACACAATGGAGCCGGGGCGAACAGCACCAAGCGGCCATGCCACTGGACTGGCAGGTGGCCTCAGAAGTGGGCACTGAGTGGGAAACACATATCCATTAGCAAATACACCCAAACACAGAAGCCACTAATCTCAGGGTAGGGCGCCTCCGCAAGGTCAGAGCCCACCTGTGGCTTCTCTGCCAGCAGAAGCTGGCACAATGTTAGCTGCTGCCCCAGCTCCCTGCTCCCTGCAGCCACACGGCCCAGACGTACGAACATAAGGAAGTCTTTTAGAGACCCTTTGAACTACTGAGTATTTCCAAATACCTTCTAATAATCTCTGGCAGAACAGCAAAGCTAATGCAGAGATCGAACCATGGGAGTGGTCAAGAAGGAGCCATTGCTGCCCACTGCCCCCGTGTGCACACACGCTGCCGTGTGCTCAGCTGCCCTCAGCGCACTGGAGAGCCAGGTCGCCGTGCTGCCTGTGTTGGCAGCTGGCACCCAGAGCAGTCAATGCCTGCTTAACGCAGCTGCTGCTCTGGTTCAGCACTGGCCTGGCGAGCCTGCTCCACCTCTACACTGCTGCCCCATCTAACTCACACAGTCTCCGTGGCCTTGCACGCACCTGCGTCACCACACATGCAGCATCTGAGCCTTTCGGTAATAAAGATGACAACCACAAGGCAGAGTGGATGCAGCTTTTCTTTCTGCTGCACCAAGTGGCCCCAGTCTGAGGCCAGACAGAGCCTGGCCGGGACGTGGGGGGATGTGGGGGGACGTGGGGGCTGCCGGCTCACCTGGCCAAGCTTGTAGCTTGTGTTGCCCAGCTCACGCTCGGGGTTGGTCTGCAGCAACAGCTTGTCATGGCTGATGAGGGCACCTGTGAAGCCACAGTCTGTAAGCCCTGCTCTGCCTGCCCTGGTGGGGCCACCCAGCCTCGCAGGTGCTGTGACGGACAAGCTGGCCCCAGCTGAGCGGTGAGAAGACCCCTGGTTCCAGGGGGGTGGTTTTGGTCACTTTATCACCCACTGAGCACTAAGAGCCAGTGATGAGACGGGACCTCCACTTCTCTGTACCATTCCGTCATTCCTGTTTTCCACTCTGCACAGGGCCATCTCAGTCTGAGCTGCGAAAGCAGAGTTGGCAGGGGCAGACAAGCTCCTCTGGGGGCCCTGCCTTGCTGCCCAGGCTACCCACGGACTGCAGGAGCAGAGTACTAAGATGGTGCCCTTCCACTTCACTCAACAGCCCAGCCGACTACTGAGCCACCCTTGCCAAGGTGCCACCCTGTTAGCCCTGCTGCTCCCTCCCATGGCTGCCTGGCCCCAGGCCTCCCAGCACTCATCCCCCTGCCATCCCAACAGCGGGGCCACTCCTTAGAGGAAGCCAGGGCCCGAGGAGCACACTGGCCTGGGCCCTTCCCAGACACGTGCTGTGAACATGTCAACGCACAGCACTCAACAGCTTTCAACTGTCAGATAGTCTAAAACACAACCCCCAAAAGCACACACACACAACTCCGCCTCACCTGAGGGGTCCCAGGCAACCAGCCTGCGGGGCTGTCAGCAGTGTCAGCTCAGAGGTTCCAGGCCCTCACAGCCCGTGCCACCTGGAAACTCCCTGGTCTCCCACAACTCAGCTGCCAAGAGGTAATGCTTCTGCTTCCTCCCAAATTTTACCCAGACCCGGAAGCTTCTCCCAGTCCCGGATGATACCCCAACTGTCAGTGGTCACAGCTCGGTTGGCACCATGGCCTCCAGATAAATCTGATGGTGTGGGGAGGCCCCAGGTCTGTGCAGCCCGGCCCCACCAGGTACCTGTCGTAGCTGGGGACAGGGAAGGGACAGGATCCCACGCCTGGTATGAATGATGGGTGGCGATATTTTCTCTCTTGGAAACCATCGCTTGAATTTCCTCTTCTACAATGCCTCGGATCACGCTCAGTTTCCTCCCAAACCTAAAATTTGAAACAAAGGTAGAAAATATTTTACTTTCCTCAAAATGAGAAGCATTACTCCTCCCTGCTTTGTCCAGAGGGGCCGGAACAATAACAGATTAATCTCACTGGACAAGTGGGCTCCTGGCCACGAGCCCTGGGTAGGTGCCCCATCATGCCATCATGTCGCTCTGCTAGCCTGCTGCTAGCTGCTCCATGACGGAGGAATCCCTAGCTTACTGCACCTCGCCACGGCCTCCACACTGCCCTCCGGGGCTGCACCTTCTGGGGCCAGGATCTGGAGGAAGCTGCTGGTCGCTGGCGGGACGAGGGCACCCCGGGCAAACCTGGTTCCTGGCAGGGTGGAGCATGTGGGGCAAACCTGGTTCCTGGCGGGGTGGGGCATGCGGGGCAAACCTGGTATCCAGAGCTTTCAGGGGCTTGTTCCGGGGCTGCTGCTCCAGGCAGCTGACAGCGGGGTTGCCAGCCACGGGCACGGCCATGGCACTGAGCACCAGGGACGTGATGGCCTGCACAGCCAGCACGTTGATCTGCGTCCTTTCCACGTCCTCCTGCAAGGACAGCTCACACGTCAGCGCCAGTACAGCGAGCCACCACCCTCCTGCCCCTCAGCTGCAAGGGGGCATGACGGCTCCCCCACACAGGGCAGCACCTCATGCTTCTCATGCTTGTACCCCCAGACAAACCGGAGGGGCAAATGTCTGCTGGTCCAAGCCAGGCCTCCTAAGGGCAGGAAACACCACTTTTTCTTTTAGTAAAGATTTAATTATTTTCATTTGAAATGCAGGTTTACAGAGAGGAGAGCAAGCAAGACACTTTCCATCTGGTGGCTCACTTCCCAAATGGCCCCACTGGCGGGAAGCCAGGAGTCAGGGGCCCCAAGCTTGAGTCAGCCCTCCCTGCCTTCCCAGGTGCATTTTGGGGAGCTGGATTGGAAGCAGTGCAGCTGGAACTCAGACTGGCGGTCATACAGGATGCCGGCACCACAGACTGACGCTTAACCTACTACTTCGTAAGAAAATGTGCTTTAAAATGTCCCAACTTCCTGGACACTGTGTGTGACAACCTGTCAGCTTCCGCAGATGAACGCGGGCAGTGCTGACGACCTGGAGCAGACGACCTGCCCTCATCTACTTCTCAGTCAAGTTCTTCGGTGTCACAGGCTCTGCTTCTGCACAATGTGACGCAACTGACATGGCAGCACAAATCAGGAGCCCCAGGAACCGCACGGACACTCGACCTCCCTGAAGTGCCTGGCATGTCGATCCAACCCTTGCTTCTCCACATGCTGAAAGCAAACGGAACTCCGGTGCCTTCAGGAAAAGCAAGGGCCTGTATTCAGCCCAGCGGTGACAAGCTGGTTAAGACACCTGGTTGCATGGTGGAGCACCGAGGTTCAACGCCAGGCTCCTGCTCCCGACTCTGGCTGCTTGCTATGGACACCCAGGGATAAAGCAGTGGCGGCTAGGTAATGGCTTCTAGCCCCCATAAGACATAAATGAAACGGGTGGAGGAGTTGCTCCGCCAGCCACACCAGTATCCCACAGGCACCAGTTCGAGTGCTGGCTGCTCTACTTCAGATCCAGCTCCCTCTTAACGTACCTGACAAAGCAGGGGAGAATGGCCCAAGTCCGTAGGCCCCTGTACCCGCGTGGGAGGCCCACAAGTTGTTGGCTCCCAGCTTTGGACAGCTCAGCTCTGGCCATTACAGCCACTGGGAGAACCATGATGGAAGAGCTCTCTGTCTCTCTGCGACTCAGGTGCTCCCTGTGGTGGGTGACGGTGAGTGTACCCTGGCCCCTGGCAGGCTCACGCCCCGAGCCTGGAGCCTGCTTTACCAGTCAGGCCAGACAGGAAGCAGGAGCTAGTTGCTTCCCTCTGCCGGCCACCAGAGATTCACAAGTTGTCACAACTGCCCGCTGACTGTACAGCGGCCCCTAGGCCATGGGCCCCTCACCTCTGGTGGGCTTTCCTCTTGCTCCATCACAAGGGGCTGAGTCACCAGGACACCAAGAAGGGTGGCCCACGTTTCTTCAAACTGGGTCCGACTGGTCCATCCTGGGAAGGCAAGCCCCACATCAGCTGGAGTCATCCTCCCACTGTTGTGTGGGCAGTGATGCTCACGCAGCGACCCCTTGGGACGCATCTCCTCCATCTTATCAACAAAGAGACCAAGACACACAGGCACGGGCCACACTGCCCAAGGCTGCCTGCCCAGCAAATGGCTCCAGCATTGGCAGCTTGGCTGAGCTGCCTACCATGTAGACAGGCCAGTCAGGAAGCCAGAGGGATGAAGGGGCACCCCAAAGCTGCTCCTGAGCAGGCAGGAGGCACTTCTTCTGTGCCTCCCAGATGGGTCAAAGACCTTCCTGGTGAGCAAGGTGCCACCTGGGACCCCTGTGTCCCACATGAGTGTACACGTCGGCTTCCTGCTGACATGTACCTTGTGGACAGCGGTAAAAGGACTCCAGCAGTCCAGTTTGTGCCACAACACGGGGTCCCAGCCACACGCCCAGCTCCCGGCTTCAGCTCCTTTGCCTCCGGGTGCCTCTGGTCCTTAGGGCATTGGGGAAGCAAGCCAGCAGATGGAAGCCCCTCTGTCTCTATGCTCCTCAACTAAATACATTTTAAAAAGTCTCTCCTAAAATTCAACCATTAAAGTAGGCTCAAGACTGCACAGGCCCATGAAGCAAAGACCACAGAACCATGCAGCATCTGAGTGACCAGGGAGGGGTGCCGGCGCCCTGCGTCTGAGTGACCAGGGAGGGGTGCCAACTCTGTCTCAATGAAGCTTCACTGCAAGGTGAAGACACGATCTCTCAGGTGAGCACATACGACCTGGTGGCTCACACAGCTAAGAGCCCACCCCAAGCCTCGTTCCCAGGCTGCGGCCACCCAGCAATGTGCAGCTCACAGCTGTTTTGGACGGCTGAGCTGCAGGCGTCGAGGGCCCAGTAGGAGGGGCCCTGCTGCTCACAGTGAGGTCGCAAGGCGCAGAGTGGGCAAGCAGACACCTGCGCCTCCTGGGGAACTGAACACAGAACGACACAGCGGCTGACGCGGGCAGGCAGATGTAAAGAGAGGCACATGTGATGACTTCCACAAGGCAAGAAGAAACATGGGCAAGAGCAGCAGGGAAGGATTCTAGAAGTATCCGGGACCAGACACTTCTGACCAGCAGCTCAAGAGAGAGCGCTCAGTGAGAAAGGGCGCTGCCTTAGGCTGCAGCGAGAGGGGAAGACGGGTCTAGGAGGTGAGCCTGCTGGGATTTCATTCAGGATAGGGCAATAAACTGTCTCACTCCTCAAGGGGAAGTTTCTGACAGAAACTTCTAGAATTAAAATCAACAGAAGCCTGGGAGACAGCTGAGGCAGACTCCCAGCTGGGCTCTGAGGAAGTGCCACAGCCATGTGGGCTGTTCTGGCTCCAACCTCACCTCAGGCCGCCCCTTCAGCCCCTACGGGGACCCCGAGGCAGCTCAGTCCACTGCAGGTGCCTATGCTAGGGGCACGGTGTGCAGCAACTCTGCAGCACAGATGACAAGAAGGCAGTCCCGACGGCCAGCCCGCCTGGGCGATGTGGCCGATCAGCAGCCAAGCCCAGGGTGCTCCCTCGGCGCGGCCTTCTGTTCCACCCCCATCTGGCCTCCCAGGAGAGCCAGGCCTTAGGCCCTTGGACGACTCGACATGTGAGGAAACATCATCGACAAGCCCGGAGCATGCAGCGGGTCCTTCCGCAGGGGCACCTCGGCAGGAGTGCCTTCAGGGTACTCACGAGTCCCGACCTAGGAAGCTGGGACCGACATCACTCGCATGGCACCACATCTAATCTCCCACTCTAGCAAGGAACTCCAGGTACCGCAGACTGGATTCTGACCTTACCGGCCACAAGCACAGCAGTCTGGGTGTCTTTCAGCAGATGCTTGCTGCCGTCTGACGACCCTGAAGGTCAGACCAGGCTTTCGCAGTGTGGTGATGGGGCAGAGCGAGGACAGGGCAAGCCCCAGGCTTACCCAGCGTGTTGATGCGGTAGATGAATTCCTTGAAGATTTCTTTTTCCTGAAGGAACTCCACAGGGATTTCGGGGAACACGGTTCCGAAATCCCCTCCTGGCTTGGGGGACCAGCCGAGTTTCCACACCTGGGAAGGTGAGAAGGTGGTGGCAGTACTGTCTGAGCCGCACAGCGGCCAGGAGCCAGCAAGCGCAGCTCCTCCTGCATGGGCCTCCCCTGGGCTTCTTCCCTGTCGGTGCTGACAGCCAGCTCCCAGCCCAGGCCTGTCACCTGCCCCAACACAGCGCGTGCCGCTGGGCTCCCTGTGGGCGTGCCTCTGAACTCACCCCCCGCGTCACAGACGCTGTCAGAGTAAGGGCGAGTGTCAAGTCCAGCGTCACAGGTGAATGGCCACTCAGGACGTAGAACCACCCCGTGGGCTCGCCAGCTTCGTAGGCAGAGCCAGAACCACACACACTGGGCACCCCACTCAGCGTGGCCAACGCCCCTCCAGTGCAGGGGCCCAGTGAGTCCTGGGCTCCCAGCCACCACAAGGCAGTTCCCAGGAACCTCCTCTGCTACCCACCAGGCCCTGTAGCTCACTTCTACTAGGAGGCAGTGCATCCCAGCACAGTCCCCAGGGACAAGTTGGGACAGAGGGTCACCCACAGCAAAGCCTGGGCCGCCGCCCTTGAGGGTGTGTCGGACGATATGGCGCCACATCGTGCCTGCCTGCGCCCAGGACAGGATGCAGTGCCCAGGACAGGCTGCGGTGCCCTGGACGGGCAGCGAGACCATGTTCTTTCTAGAACGCCTGTAAGCAGCCTTCCACTCCATTCTAGGCTGAGGGGCGTGCAGACTCACCAGTGGCGGAACCCGCGTGTAGCTGTTGACCAAGGGCAGGCGGGCCAGGCTGACCACAATGTTCCTCAGCAGGGCAGTGAGGAAGGCAGGCAAGTTGCTATTCCTCCGGTGACCCAAAGCCAGCACCGACTGCAGGCACTCGACCATCTCCGCCACCATCTCGCAGGCTGCACTGATGCACCCATGACCTACACACAAGCACGGGAAGCGCTTATGGCCCCCAGGCCCCGGCCCCGGCCTGGCCAGCGGGCACATCTGGATGTGCACGGGCCTCGGGGCTGCTGTGGGGCCTTGGGCATGACTCTGTCCTCTCCCACACAGCCAGCAAGGGCTTGCCAAGGTCTCTCCATCAAGGCTCTTCTGTGGCCACGGTGGGCAGCAGGCTGAGGAAGCCCCACAGCGTCTCACGTGGCACACTGAGTGGCCAGCAGCAGCACTTCCTGAACTGCTGAGCACCTCCAAGCAGGATGTGATCTACATCTAGACGGCGCGGCAGTTCACACAACTTCTCAGTACACGAAAGAATGTCTTAATGAATTAAGAAATCAAGCTGAAGAGAAATGGAGGTGGCATTAAAAACACCCACCGAAGGGCCAGTTCATACCCCAGCTGCCCCACTGCCCATTCAGCTCCCTGTTTACTGTGTGGGAAAGCAATGGAGGCTGGCTCAAGTCCGTGGGCACCTGCACTCATGTGGAAGACCTGGAAGCTCTTGGCTTCTGACTTCACACTGGCTCAGATCTGGCTGTTGCAGCCATTTGAGGAGTGAACAAGCGGATGGAAGACTCTCTGTAAATTTACTTTTCCAATCAAACAATCAATTAAAAAAAAATCCATTGGACAAACTATGAAGCGTCACCCCGTCCAGGTGAAAACAGCCAGGCTTACCCTCTGACCCAGACTAGACAAGCTGACCCACGGCGGCATGTGGAGGTCCACGGCCCGACAAAGGAGCCATCAAGTGCTCCGGCCGGCGGGGTGCTCAGGCCAGTCAGTGCTGTCTAGTGGGGTGCTCAGGCCAGCGGGGTGCTCCGGCTGCCTGCCCCATTCAGACCTTGGCAACATGGACGCCATCTCAGAGCAGCAAACTCTGAGTTAGAACTGAAATCACAGTAAGCTCTGCTGAGCACAGCTGGCAGGAAGAGCAAGTGCTCAGGGAGCTGGAGCCACACCCACTTGTTTTAAGATCCATTTATGTGATTGCTAGGGTGACAGAGAGAGACAGAAACATCTTTCACCCACTCATCACTCCCTGAGCGGCCCCGTCGGCACATCTGGCCAGGCAGGCGTCACAAGCCCAGCCCTGCAGCGGGACCCGCCCCCAGGCTCCCATGTATTCATCCGTCAGTTTTTCTGCTAGGTCTCTCACCACAGCCCAAGCTTGGACTCCTAAGGGTGCGCATTCCCTTTCCTGCCATGCGCAGGCCGCCAGAGGGCAGGAGTGGGCACGCTGGGTGGCCGGGGCAGTGGACTTCCACTGGGCTGCACTGGGGTGTGGCTGCAGTGAGCGTGCATGTGAAAGCTGCCAGAGGCTCCCGAGAACCAGCAAGAGCAGCTCCAGAAGCCACGCCGTCCACACCGCATGGCAAGCCTCACCGCGAAGCCAAGCCCCGGGCTGTTTTCATGTTACTTGTAGGGCGAGTGTCCCCAAACTCACTGTGCAAGCTGGGGTTCCCTGCGTCCTCCCGGACGGCCTTTGGAGTGTGCATCCTCCTCTCTGGACTGAGAAGCTGGTCTCCAGGCTGCACTGCAACTGCAAGCACAGCACAACAGAGTAGCTGTCTCATGCTCCCCCGTCACTTCTCACTCCAACGCTCACACCTGTGTGGCCCGTCAAAGTCACCGAGAGACTGTTAAATGACACCCAGATTTCCTAGGAACAATTACAGACTCACAGAAAACACCCAACGATCCCAGACTTGAAGCACTCAGTCCCAGATGTGTATGCGTCTGGCCCTGGACATCCCGACCTCACGGCCTCCCATGAGCCATGCCTGGCCACTGCCCCTGGACATCCTGACCTCGCAGCCTCCCACGAGCCAAGCCTGGCCACTGCCCCTGGACATCCCGACCTCACGGCCTGGCACTGCTTCCCCTGCAGGCTTTATCGGATGTTGCATGATTCATTACTGCTAATAGTATCCCTGTAACCTCCCGCAAGAAATCTGGCTTTTAAACAACAATTCTTGGATCTTCATTTTCAAGTTGACTACAAATGCACAGATGAAAACAATTTAAACAATGAAACATCAAAACATTACTCTATAATGTTTAATTTGAAAATACAAAACTTCAAAACGTCTTCTAACATGTAAACCATAATAAACAATTTTTAAAAATGTTTGGCTAATGACCCTTCCCGAGGACACTGTTCCTTTTACAATACATTAATATTACAATACAGTATAGAAACAGGCGCTTCAACTCCAACCAGAAAAAGTAATCTTTTGAATAGAATCATCTTATTCTTCCGATCATTTAGGAATAAAAACAGAACGTGAACCGAGAGCCAGAGATCAAAGAGGCATAAAGCTTGGAAGTATTTCTTAGGAAAACAGGACTCAAAAAATCTACATCAAATGGCCAGGAGGGCCAATTCCAGCTGCATTCCAGGGCAGACCCCAAGGCCCCCTGCAGGCAGGGCCCGTCTCAGCCCACGCAGCCCAGTTCCTGACTCAGTAACTCACACCATGCAGGCGCCTGTGATTCCTTGCTGCCTGCCAGTACCTGTCACGGACGGCATGCACTTACCAGCTTCCAGGATGAAGCGCACGCAGTGGATGAGGGAGCAGGCGTGGGTCACAAACTCGGCGGAGGAGACCACAGCCCAGAGGCCGGGCAGCTGCAGGGCCAGGCAGCAGCAGTCCAGTCCCGCCTGCAGACCCAGACTCAGTGGGATCCGCTCGTGGATCAGGTGCCACGACAGGGCCTGTGGGGAGACAATACCTGTGCATACACTCCTCCCAGCAGCCCCTGGGAGGGAAGCGTCTGTGCAGAGGCCAGCGGGGCCCAGCTGCCCAGGGTTGTGCTTCCTGGCCACTGCACACATACCCACATCTCTCCGGCCAGTTCCCAAAGTTCTGCAAAGTTCCCAGGCCCCACTCTGTCAGAATGCCTACTATGCCCAGACACATCTTTTTCCTTTTCTTTTGGGGGCTCCATTTGGGGACCCCAGCTCCCAAGCTGCTGCTTACCTCAAGTGTCATCACTACAAACTTCACTGTGTCCCTCTCCTTCTCCGGAGGAAGGTGCAGACAGGCAGGTAGCCTGGAGGTCAGCACCAGGTACTGCGCCAGGGCCCGAGCCAGCGTGACCAGGGCCTGGTAGAGTACAGCATCTCCTGGAAGGCAAGACCACTGTGGGGCTGCAGCCAGCAGCACGGACAGGCCTCTACCGGGGAGGCTGCAGGCTCTAGTACAGACAAGCCTCCACCGGGGAGGCCACAAGCTCTGCCCGAGTACGGACAAGCCTCTACCGGGGAGGCCACAGGCTCTGCCCGAGTACGGACAAGCCTCCACCGGGGAGGCCGCAGGCTCTGCCCGAGTACGGACAAGCCTCCACCAGGGAGGCCGCAGGCTCTGCCCGAGTACAGACAAGCCTCCACCGGGGAGGCCGCAGGCTCTAGCACAGACAAGCCTCCACCGGAGAGGCCGCAGGCTCTGCCTGAGTACAGACAAGCAGCACAGACCCTGCCTCTGAGTGGCAGGCGCTGAGGCCTGTAACGACCGGATGAAAGCGTCAGCCATGCCCACCTGCACACCCCAAGTCTAGCCCCACTCTCCTCACGAGCCTGCACCCTGATAAAGTCGCAGAGCTAGAAGCCCAGTGTTGCTCCTTGGTTATCCTGGCAAGTGCTCTCCACGTACTAGATCCAACGCAAGGACTGTGCATTTGCCGAGTACAAACTACCGCCGGCGCCCTGCAACCTGCAGTTGTGTCTGAATTACCAAACAGACGGCTCATCTTGCTCCAGTAGGCTGTGGGCTCTACAGGCAGGAAGGGCTGGAAGGCTTGGTGGGCAGCAGGCAGCTGCTGGACGAGGCTGGCCACCCGGTCCAGGGTCACTGCCCGGGCTGCTTCAAAAAGTGGGCTTTGGTGGCCACTGGATATCTCACTCATGCCGAGGCTTAAGCACGGAGCTAACAGGCTCAGGTTGAATTCCTAAAGTTGAAGCATTAAGGGTTAAACAAAGATTATAATCTTTCAATCAGACAAGAAAAAACAATAAAGGATGATGTTATACCAAAGAACATCAACAATTCCATCTCACATACGCTCAATTCACTGCATAAAAAAGGTATTTCAAACAGTTCATAAAACATGGAATTAAAAGGAAGTCTAATTATACAAAAAATTTGAGATCCAGGCACAGTATTAATTTATGAATTTCTAAAAACCTCATATGAATTTCAAAATGTTTATACCAATGTGAAATTGTTTTATTTCTAATTTATTAAAAATTTGTTTCTCTTACTTATTAGAGAGAGCAATATGACAACCAGCCAGGGTTCCCTTTGCTAGTTCACTCTCCAAATGCTCCAAACAGCCGGGACCAGGCCAGGCTGAAGCTAGACCCCAACGTGGCTCCCGGGGTGGGGGGAAGCGACCCAACTACAGGAGCCACCACTGCGGCTACCCAGGGCGGAGAGGAGGCGGCCAGGACGGGGGCAGAGCTGATCCCAGAGCAAGATCCGGGCATTCCAAGTAAGACCTCAACCGCCAGCCTAAGGCCTGGTCCAAGTGTACCTTGTAATTCCAGTCTCCATGAACTTTAAAAAACAATTCCCTTACTTCTTTTTCCCTTAAAAAACAATGTTTTGAAAAACATTCCCTTACTTCTAAACTCTCTGATACTTTAATTTTGAAATAATTATTTTTGACATGTTTAAAGTAGTTTTTTAAAAGATATATTTAATTTGTATGGAAAATAAGATTTATAGAGAGAAGGAGAGACAGAGAGAAAGTTTTTCCGTCCACTGGTTCACTCCCAAGTGGCTATGCTGGCTGAAGCTGAGCCCATCTGAAGCCAGGAGCCTCCTCTGGGTCTCCCCTGCAGGTGCAGGATCCCAAGGCTTTGGGCCACCCTCTTCTGCTTTCCCAGGCCACAAGCAGGGAGCTGGATGGAAAGTAGAGCAGAGACGACAGGACACAAACCAGCGCCCCATATGGGATCCTGGCACGTGTAAGGTGAGAATTTAGCCACGGGGCCACTGTGCAGGGCTTAAAGGTGGTTTTTTGTTTGTTTGTTTGTTTACAAACACACAAAGAGAAATATTATATCCCCAAATGGCTGCAACAGTGGGAGCTGAGCTAGGCTGAAGCCAGGAGCTTCCTCTGGGCCTCTCACGGCTGCAGGGACCCCCTTAGGCTGTCCCCCACTGCGCTCCCAGGCGCTTTACCAGGGAGCTGGGTCAGAAGGGGAGCAGCTGGGACACAGACAGACACCCAGATGGCATGTAGGCATCAAGGCAACGGTTTTTAATTGGCTAGAAATCAACTTATTCATTAAATGATTTCTAAAACATTTAAACTGATAAAAATACAAAATCAAGACTAATGTGTCATTCAAGAAATCAGTAAACGCAAAACATTTCTAATGTTTGAAAAAAAGTTCAAAAGCAAAGTACCATATAAATGTCAAAATCTCAGTTAGAAAATTAACAAGCTTAGGAGAATTTATATTGTTTTGCCTTTTTATTTTCTTCCAGCCTGATTTTTTGGTCATCATTTTTAAAGTAGACTATCCATCTGAGTTCAATATCCACAAAAGTCAAAATGGGCCTTCCTGTGACGGAGCCCCTGCAGCCACTACTGGTCACTAAGCATTGTCCCTGCACGGTCTTTCTATGATCTGACTGTGGGCTAATTCCCGTCTCACAGCAACTGACATGACCACCCGGCAGCAGGCTCTGTGCTCCTGACCCCGCGTGCGCCTGACGGGTGCTCCCTGCTTCAGTCTGACCCTGCGTGTGCGCCCGACGGGTGCTCCCTGCTTCAGTCTGACCCCGCGTGTGCGCCCGACGGGTGCTCCCTGCTTCGGTCTGACCCCGCGAGCGCCCGACGGGTGCTCCCTGCTTCGGTCTGACCCCGCGTGCGCCTGACGGGTGCTCCCTGCTTCGGTCTGACCCCGCGTGCGCCCGACGGGTGCTCCCTGCTTCGGTCTGACCGCACGTGTGTCTGAGGAGGTTCCATGTCTCAAAAGGACAGACTCTGTTTATGGCTGATGAATTGGGGTGGATCTTGCTGAGGAGCCCGGTGGGAGTCCCAGGGTCACCGGGCTGACCCTCCCAAGGCCGCTGGTTGGACGAGCACAGCTCCTGCCCTCTGCGTGTCCAGGTTTACCAGGTGGCCTCCACGCATGTGTCTGTCTTCATCAGACACCAGACCACGGCCCGTGCCCCTCCCAACTGTATGCTGCCACACACCTTCCTCCACGTCGGCACTCCACATGAGCACCTGAAGTGCCCTCCAAATCCCCTTCTGGTGCCTGGGAAAGCAGCCGAAGCTGCCTGAATGCCTGGGTTAGAGACCAGAGGAGGTCCCTGGGTCCTGGCTTCACGTGGCCCAGCGGACACGATGGCCATGAGGAGAGTGGACTGGTACATGGAAGGTTTCTCCCCTTCTCTCCGTGACTCTGCCTTTCAAGTAAACAACTTTAAAAAATGAACAAACAAATAAAACCCCCTTCCCCCAGGGGATCTGCTTGAATGTTTTACCCAGTTAAAAGGCTGACTAATGCACCAGCCCTGCCTTCTGGAGTCCTCTTCTTCAGTCTCGGTGGTGCAACCAGGCTGGGCTGCACCAGTCTGAGCCCGCCCCAGCCAGCCTCAGAAGGAACGTGGCTAAGGTCGCAGCCGAGCAGCCCAGAAGGGAGGAGGCCTCACTCCTTGCAGACCCTTCCTGAGGAAAAGCCACGAGTCGCAGACCTCCTGGCTAGTGCCTTTCAACATGAAGGGGTGAGGATGGAGTGGGGAGGAGGGGGAGCCTGGAGGTAGGGTAGGGGAGAGGAGGGGGGATGCAAGATGCTTCGCGAGGGACCAGAGCGCCACCAACACAGCAGCAGGAGTTCCTTACTGAGCTCACACGCTGACACCAAGGCAGCCGCACCTTCCTCTCCAGAGTCAACCTAACCCCCACTTTCTCCTCAAGCTCACAGAGGATGAGGTTAACACCTGCCCCTCTGGATTATACTGTGGCTAAAGACCAAGCTGGCCTCGTTAGGATCCTGTGTCTTATCCCAGAACACAACCCTCCATGTGCGCCTGCTAAAGGTCACATCATGGTGACATAACGTAGTGGAAGTTGGGGTACACACCCACGTGGACATAGAGATCCACACACCCACGTGGACCTAGGGCTCCACATACCCACGTGGACATAGGAATTCTCACACTCATACAGACCTAGGCTCTATGCACACCCAGGGTCCCAGGTGCTCTGTCTCCCTGGCCCTCCTAGTTAAATGCTCTTTAGACTCCCTGGTGTGGGTCTGTAGTGCTCTGTCCTCCTCCTGTGCCCACTCCTGAACGAAATCTCCTCTGCCCACTGCTCTCATACCGAGTTCATCATGATGGCTGTCAAGTCTTCGGAAGGAAGCCGCTTCAGCAGTTCGGCACCTTCCAGCAACGCCGAATCTGACCTGGTCCAACACTGGGATTTGACAAGACGAATGTACCAGTCCTAGGAAGGACAATGGGCAGAAGGGAATGTGAATGGACAAGTACCTGAGGGGCTTCTCCCTGGGTGGGGTCCTGGGCTGCAGAACGCCACACCTCAGGGCTTTCCTGTGGACTTGCTGCTACGCATGGGGCCCCACCATTACTTCCTTCACCTCGGGGACTTGCAGCAGTCCTTGTAAGCTGGAATCCTGAGGGTCATCAGCCCTGCTTGGCCCGCATGCCACCTGTCACCCTGCACAGGTGCCTGCCCTCTCGTCTCCATGGCGTCCTCACAGAAAGGGGAGAACACAGGACATAATCCTCACTTTCCTATCACTGGGCTACTGGTTTTTGAAACTCAAGCATTTTCTCCTGGTCCCCACTGCAAGGTGTGAGCAGGAAGGGGTTGTTGGCAGTGCAGCCTTTGTTCACAGCCCAAGGGCCACACGGCCTGTGTGGCTGCAGCTGGCGGCACACCCACCACGCTCCTGCTGTGAGAGTCCACGCCAACGCCCTCTGCAACCCCCAGGCCCCACCGTGTCTCCACGTGGCGCCCAGTGACCAGGCTGGGCGTCCACACATCACAGTGCACTGAGTCCCCCCTACGCAGTCTGCATTAGACGCAGGGGGCAGAGGAGCCAGGAGCTCCACGCGAGCCCCAGGATCACACAGGGATGCTGGACACTTACTTTATCTGGACTCACTGCTTCCAGGGCCATGTGCCCATCCCCATCCAGCGGGTGGGACGTGACCGGGGGTGAGGGGCTAGGCGAGTCCTGCACGGTGGACAGACGGAACCTGTCCAGCAGGGAATAGAGCCTTTGGTGTCTGAAACCAAACACATATGAGAGATGGTACAGTTCACCCTTTGGCTTAATTTCAACTCTGCAAACAAGGATTCTAGAAGTATAGGACATAAGGAAGATGTATTAGTGAGTTCTCAAAGACAGATACTCTTTTTTTTTTAAGATTTATTTATTTTTATTACAAAGTCAGATATACAGAGGGGAGGAGAGACAAAGAGGAAGATCTTCCGTCCGATGATTCATTCCCCAAGTGGCCGCAACGGCCGGTGCTGCGCCAATCTGAATCCAGGAGCCAGGAGCCTCTTCCGGGTCTCCCACGTGGGTGCAGGGTCCCAAGGCTTTGGGCCGTCCTCCACTGCTTTCCCAGGCCACAGGCAGGGAGCTGGATGGGAAGTGGGGCTGCCGGGATTAGAACCGGCGTCCATATGGGATCCCGGTGCATTCAAGATGAGGACTTTAGCTGCTACGCCACGCCGCTGGGCCCAAGATGCTCTTTTTAAAACTCACTAATCTTCAGAGACAGATTCTAATTAACAGCCAGGAAAGCAAAATTAGGCCCGAGACTAGTTCTACTTTGTACAGTGTTTGTCCCACTCAAGATCACCTACTTGAAAGTTGCACGAAAACTACTCCAGGGTCTTGTGCAATGGCTCAGCGACTAAATCTTCACCTTGCAGCTGCCAGAATCCCATACAGGCACTGGTTCATGCCTTGGTTGCCCCACCTCCCATCCAGCTCCCTGCTTGTGGCCTGGGAAAGCAGTGGAGGACGGCCCGAGGCCTTGGGACCCTGCACTCGCGAGGGAGACCCTGAAGAGGCTCCTGGCTCCGGATCGACGCAGCTCTGACTATGGCAGCTACTTGGGTAGGAAGCCAGTGGATGAAAGATCTTTCTCTGTGACTCTCCTTCACTTTATAAAACTGCCTTTACAATAAAAATAAATCTTAGAAACAAACAAATTCTACTCTATTTCCTGAAGAGAGGCAATTTAAACCATCTATGGCCATTTTACCCAAGAAAAGAACCATGTTTTCTGACACAGGATTTCCACAATCTTTTATAACCTTCCTCACCTGGGAAGAGACCCCAGGGCCTGTCTGACCTCCTGGTGGGTGCATGGACGGCCACTTCACAAGACAAACTGCAAAAGAGCCTGGCCCTGCAAACGACAGTCAGCCCAGCCGAGGCCTGCCTGCCTCCCAGACGGCATCCCAAGGCGAGATCAAACTCACAGCCCAACAACAACCTTCTCTCCCACACACATTACCACAAGCCCTTGCAGGGATACAAGTAAGAACTTCTCTAAGCTAACTCTGCACTCATGGACACAGGTAACCATCACACAGGTGCAGATGTCTGAGACGCCAAGACTTTGTCAACAAATGAGCTGGGCATCAGCTCTGAGGAGAGAGAAGTGTGCTAAGACACAGATACAACTCCGGCATGACAACAACTGGCCCATCTCCTTAATGAAGTATTGCCCTCCAGGAGTGCAGGCACGTCCCCTCTCACCCCACAGGCTTGTGCCACTGCTTGGGGTCTCAGAATGTCAAGCCCAAGTACTTGAGATGAGGCCGACACCCCACCATCCAGGCCTGCACTGGGCCTGTCCAGGGAGCTCGCCCAGTCCCCCACCATCCAGGCCTGCACTGGGCCTGTCCAGGGAGCTCGCCCAGTCCCCCACCATCCAGGCCTGCACTGGGCCTGTCCAGGGAGCTCGCCCAGTCCCCCACCATCCAGGCCTGCACTGGGCCTGTCCAGGGAGCTCGCCCAGTCCCCCACCATCCAGGCCTGCACTGGGCCTGTCCAGGGAGCTCGCCCAGCCCCGTACCATCCAGGCCTGCACTGGGCCTGTCCAGGGAGCTCGCCCAGCCCCCCACCATCCAGGCCTGCACTGGGCCTGTCCAGGGAGCTCGCCCAGCCCCCCACCATCCAGGCCTGCACTGGGCCTGTCCAGGGAGCTCGCCCAGCCCCCCACCATCCAGGCCTGCACTGGGCCTGTCCAGGGAGCTCGCCCAGCCCCCCACCATCCAGGCCTGCACTGGGCCCGTCCAGGGAGCTCGCCCAGCCTCCCATCCCCCCGTACAGACAGATCTTTTCATCCCGAGCTATCTGACGTACCCAGCATTACCTCTGCGCGAGCCCGCTGCTCTGCAGGTATCCCTGGATCCTGGTTAGTTCTTCCACTGGCAACTGGGCCGTGCTGCTCTAAACAGCAAGAACATGTTAGTGGGTTTATACCACACAACAGGCCAACCCCACATCCATTTTAGAGAAGAGAAGGAGGTGTGTGGATACCACTGAGTGACTAGACAAACAGGACAAGAACGAGACACGCACAGTGCCCGTTTCCCGAGCTGGCCACCCTCCCTGCTGAGCTGTCAGCAGGGCACTGCCAGGCCCGCATCAGTACCTGCACGTTTGCAGCCAAGAGCATTTCCACTCGGCGACAGGCCAGGGTGTCCACCATGCGTGCCAGCACGCGGAACGGGGTGCACAGCAGCCTGTCCACGTACAGTGTGAGCACAGCCCCCGACTGGCTCAGGTGGATCCCTCCCAGGCACTGCAGGGTCTTCCTAAGTGTGGTTGGCTGAAGGAACACGATGAGCAATTAGCATCTTTCCGACTGAGGACCCGGCAGTCCCGTGTCTGCAAGGACACTGACTTACGGTCGAGAGGTTTTCACAACGGGACTGGATAGCCTGGATGAACAGGCCGCTGGCTGCAGAGTTGCGATGCACGGCGCTGATGAAGTCCTGCACGGGAGGCTCGTGGGACAGGCTGATGAGGTCCTGGACGTGGTTCACGATGAGCCACGTCAGGTGCTCGGAGTCATGCAGGTTCTGACACTGCGGAACAAGCCCACGTCACCCCGACTGCCAAGGCTGGCCTGGGGCGCAGCGCCAGCGTCCCCGACAAGGGCTAGCCCGAGTCCCACTGCTCCACCTCTGATCCAGCTTCCCACAGATGCGCCCAGGTGTCTGGGGTCCTGCACCCATGTGGGAGACCTGGATGGAGCTCCTGGCCCAGTCTGGCCTCAGCCCCGGCTGTTGCAGCCATTTGAGGAATGATCAGTGCATGGACAATCTCTTCCTCTGTAACCGTCTTCCAATGATATAAATAAATTTTTAAAAACTGCCATCCCCACTGGGGGTGAACATGTGGGTGGAGGATCACTCTCTCCCTCTTTCCCTAATTTCCTCTCTTCCCCTTACTCTGCCTTTCAAATGAATTTTCATTAAAAAGGATTTCAAACAAGAGCTTACTTAAACATCTTAATTTGTAAATAAATTTAGACACCAGAGCCCCACTAGGCCGACCTCCTTAGCTTGTTGGTAAGATTATGCATTACTCCATGGCTTCTCTGAAGTGAACAGTGCAGCACACTGCATGGCCCAAAGCAGCCAGGAGTGACGTGCGTGAGGTCTGAGCAGCAGACTCCAGTGACCGGCGGCCCAGCTCCCACCCAGCGCCAGGGCGGCCCCCGCACAGCCCTCTTCAAACTCACCACGTAATCGCAGAAGAGGACGAGCGCCCCCCTCCGGACGATCTCTCTGTTGCACACTCCAAGGCCCGCTGCCGCAGCGGGCTCCTCTGCACACACCTGCGGCCCGAGCAGCTTGGTGCTGGACAGACTGTGTCGCCTGCAGGACCAACAGAGGACTGGGGCTGTTGCTGGCACAGCAGGACACACACACACATGTCACAGGGCTGCACTGAGCTCCATTCTAACACAGTTATTTCGAACATGACCGCATCCGGGGTGGCTGGCTACGTGGCCTGCTGCTGCCATGTGCTCAGCGGGCAGCAGGGAATGCGTGCTGTGCCCGCTGAGTGTGTGGCAGACCTGAACTGAGCCGCTTCCCGGCTCCGACACGTCCCTGCTCCAGCCCGTGCCGGTGGCATGAGGCAGCAGGTGAGCATGAATGAATAAATACAAAGTCCCCCGTCTGCCACGGCTACTTTCAACTGGCAGAAAGAAAACCTGTAGCGTGGCCAGCGGCTAAAGTCCTCACCGTGAATGCCCCGGGATCCCATATGTGCACCGGTTCTAATCCCAGCAGCTCCACTTCCCATCCAGCTCCCTGCCTGTGGTCTGGGAAAGCAGTGAAGGACGGCCCAAAGCTTTGGGACCTGCACCCGAGTGGGAGACCCGGACGAAGTTCCTGAATCCTGGCTTCAGATCGGTATAGCACTGGCTGTTGTGCTCACTTGGGGAGTGAATCATCAGGCGGAAGATCTTCCTCTCTGTCTCTCCTCCTCTCTGTATATCTGACTTTGTAATAAAATAAATTAATAATAAAAAAAAACCCATACCACATGTGTGCGCCTCCCACACCTGCATGTGCACACTGCCCACGTGGCACACAGGTCACACACTTGTGCTCATACTGCTGGGCTCTAGCACAAGCTTCATTTGTGCATCAAAACATGTCTCCTTGGGCTCAGCCTGGCGGCAGAGTGGGTGAAGCCGCAGCCTGCGACGTCTGCGTCCCTGCTGCTCCAGCTCCCTGCTAACAGCCTGGTCAAAGAGCTTGGGCCCGACACCCGTGTGAGAGCCAGCAGGAGCTCTGGGCTTCAGGCTGACCCAGTGCTGGCTGCTGCAGTCACTGCGGGGCAAAATGGCAGATGGAATACCTTTCTTCCTCTCTCTGTAAACCTCAAAATAAATAAATAAATACTTTGGAAATGTCACTGTCAGTGCTTCAGCCAGTTCTTGCAAAAAACTGTCAACTACAAAACCATTTATTTCCAATTTCCAGTTGTCCTGGTAACGCCCTAGTCTCTGGCTGTCCACAGCCCAGGTCTAGAACATCCCTTAGGGTCACAGCGTGTAATCACAGCTGCTTCTTTCCATTCAAACGACTCTGCCCTTCAGCATAGTGACACCTCGAAGCGCCCAGGGGAGTCATCCCGAGCTGCTCACTCCCGCCAATTCCTCCGGAATACCATCACACGCACAGCCACCCGAGGGGCCAGTGAGCAAGTGGGCACTGCTGGGCTGCGCTGAGGCTGTGCACGCCTTCACAGGTCCTCCCGCACGCGAGCACTAACTCGGGCCCCAGCACAGCTTGGCCTGCAGCATCTGCTGTGACACAAACGCTCAGGGGCTGCAGATCCACTTCACTGCTGGCCAAGCGACCCTCTATCAGAGGGTCAGTGCCTGTCCATGCTGCTCCCATTCAGATCCAGCTTCCAGCTACTGCCCTGGAGGGATCAGAGTGGTGACCCAGTGGGTCCCCTGCCCTGCCATGGGAGACCACCAGGGGAGGTCCAGGTCCCTGGCTGAGACCTGGCCCAGCCCTGGCTGGGGTGGTTTCGTGGGGAGTACACCAGCCGAGGAAAGGTTTCTCTTCTACTTTCCAAATCAATCAATCAATCAATAAACAAACATTAACACACAAAACCAGCGCTTAGGCCCCTGTCCCTGCTGCAATGGAAGCGAGGACAGGGCTGGGACCGCCCACAGCTCCTGTGCTGCTCAGAGCAGGCCCGCAGCCAGCAGCACTGGGGCTCCCGGGGTCAACCTTCCGTCAGCAGTCCTGTGACTGATGGACACACACACACTGAAGAGGCAGGTGGCTGTCCCCCTGGCGTTTCAAGTCTTCACCCCTGGGACAGGCCTGCACCCTCAAGCCCCATAGCCCCATGCTGGGGCAGGAGACAGCTGTATTCCTCAGCAGACTGCCACCCACAGCACAGAGCAGACCGCTCAGGGCCACAGACTGGCCTCTTGTGGCCCAGCTCTCAGCCCCGGGCAAAAGAGCTCCGACACTCACATGCCTGTTTCCAGAACTGCTCGTCCTGGTGCAGGCTCCCAGCTTCCTGCACACAGCGCGAGGACAGCTTGGCTGCAGGCCCCACGCGCACCAGTGTCTAAGCCGGAGCACCTAGAGACGTCTCAGACGCCTGTCACCACCAGCTGCTCCATTTTTTCAAATGGTTAAAAAATAAAAATTAAAAATAAGGTATTTGCAAGTAGCTTCACAGTCTGCCACATAATTAATTCATTAAGAATTATGAGGAGCACATTGAACTCATAACGTAGTTAAGGCATTGCGACACGTCTGGCTGTGGAGCCAGTTCAGAGACTAGCATCAAACGAGAGGCAGCCACGCTGACAAGCGGAACCCACAAGGTGGACGGTGCAAGAACTTGTCAGAGAATCACGCTGGACCACACGTCCCCTCCCACGGTACACGGAAGGCAGATCAAGTGTGGCAGACCTCACTAAGCCTCAGAAAGCGGGGAACGCGGACGCCTGAGCAGCAGCCACGTGTCCAGCCGCTCAGCACCGCGGGCGGGCAGCCCTACCTGGGCGTCTGCTGCACTTCCGCCCACCAGCGGTGGTCGGTGTGGTTGACCAGCAGCAGGATCTGACACCAGAGCAGTACCAGGGCCGGGTGCGTGGGCACCATGGAGCGCACCTGCGCATTCAGGCTCTCCAGGGTGTAGAAGCTGCCCTCACAGCTGTCACTGCTGAAGAGTCTCGTGGTGGCTGCTGTGATTCTCCGGAACATTCCTAGAACCAAACACAGTGAGACCCTTGGTCCAGCACCTTGCAGCTCTGAGATTCCATGCCGAAAAGACCCCGTGCACACCTAGAGCTCACCTGGGAAATCCCGAGACTTGTGAGCACAGACACCCCGCTCCACCTAGTGGACTCTCGCAGGGTCTTGCCCATCACTGGCTGGCACTGCCAATGTCCCCAGGTCCCCAAGCCCTGAGGGGGGCAGTCCTCAGTAGCAAATCACTGCAAGGGCCACCCGGAGGAAGCAGGGCTCCATCTCGGCCTGCGGACACTGACCCGAGGAACAGGAATATTCTATAGGACATGTGGGGCGTCCACCGAGCAGGCTGCTCACAAGCCACACTGCATGCAGCCCTGGGAGCAAACAGGACATGTGGGGCGTCCACCGAGCAGGCCGGACGTGGCAGGCTCACAGCTGCCCGCCCGCATGCCATGCTACAGGTGGCCCCAGCTCTGGGACACCTCGGTGCTCGGGGCTGTCCCCCTCCACATGCCCCTTGGCAGTATACAGGCTGCCTCCTGAGGTTGGCTCATGTCCAGGAGCCAGTCCTGCACAGAGCAGACACAGCACGAAAAATGGTGAGCCATATGCAGGGAGAGGGCAGGGTCCTTGCTCTGGCCAGGGCACCTCTCCTTGACCTCTGGCTCACCTGGCACCAATACAGTCAGCATCTTACTGCACCCCAAATGAGAAGGGGACCCTAGACAGGCAGGAACAAAGGCTGTGCTGCTTAAGAGCTCCACGATCTTGTGACCCTACAGCCTAGGCAATCCTGTGCCTCGCAGCCAGCAGCTGTCAGCCCTCGTCCTGCCGGTGGCCCCCTCACTGCCCACTCCCTGTGGGACTAACAGACACGCAGGCGGAGGAGCAGCGCTGCAGGACTCTAAGAGACTGCCAGCACGGGCTATGAAAGCAGATGGACAGGCCCAGGACAGCTGACCCTAGAGGTGCACTGGCTGGGGCCTCGGCTCCTTCACGGGTCAAAGCAACCAAGCCTGGGGCCTGGCACAATGGGGTGCACCAGAACGGGCCACCACTGCTCCTGGAACACTGCTGAGAGCAGTTCAGACAGTCATGGAGGTGGGCTTTGGAGGGGAGCACCCCAGGAAAGAGGACAATCTGGACAGGCTGCTTGGGGTGCTGAGGTGAGGAGTCACCTGGTGCTGGTGAGAGAGGGCCTGGTCAAACAAGAGGAGGAAACCCTGCAGGAAGCCAGCCATGCCAAGCGCAGTTCAATGCTAAAGCTGAGGTTCAGCAACTGGTAGGCCACTGTCCTAGAAGGTGATGCGAACAAATGACCCCAACCACAAAGGAGGTGAGCCCGCGGAGGGGAGCGCGTGAGTGGGGCAGGGATGAGGAGAGGAGGTGGGAGAGTGGACTGGGACTAGGCAGCTGAGAGTGTCGGCAGCGCTGGACGGCTGCGGGTGGCGAAGCAGCGGGAGCAGGAGCTGCTGCCCGTGGTGCGCAGGCGCAGAGACCTCTCTCCGGCAGGCGTTTGGCCCAGGGAAGAGGGAGCGGCCAGTCACGGAGCCGGCAGCACGGCCAGGGGAGAGGCCTCCCGTCCCCACACGGCTACAGCGCTCAGCGGGAGTGAAGAGACGAAGCCACATCTTGCCCAGTAACCATACGAGAGATGCCCAGACAGCAGAGGACCCAAGCCGAGACCAGGCCCAGGGGAAGCAGGCCAGGGACAGGGCAGCCTGCCGGCCAGGGGCCCTGTCCTCACACCAGGAGGACAGGAAGCTCTGGAAAGTTCCTCACCAACCCTATCAAGACACCTGCTTCAGTTGAATGATCGCCTTGTTCTCACTGTTCTCCTTACTGTAAACTGTCACAGATGGGGATTCATTCTTCCCCACTGCTGGCAGCTGGCACCCAGGCTGGCCTCTCCGGGGCCCTGAGCCCGAGGGGACAGGAGCCTTCTCCACCTCCTCCCGCCCTTCCTCAGCAAGGAAAGGAGCCCTGGGGCCCCCGGGAGCACCTGCGGCCGTCACAGAACCGAGCAGCAGCCTGACAAGGGGGGGATGTGCCGAGACCACGGAAGAAGCCTCCAAGGTGCTCTATGCACCACGTCCCCGGGGACTCAGGGACCGAAGCAGGGCCATCTGTGCCGAGGGCACAGGACAGCAGTCACCCACACCAGCTCTGTCACACCAGGCTGTGGCCTGGCATCACACACCAAAACGCTGGCCGCTATGGCTACCTTAAGAAACAGTGGCCATCCCAAGGGCAGCCTTGGTGCCAGGAGAGTCAGGGTGGCAGGCAGGGCCTAGGCTCTGGGAAGGTGACCACGGAAGCCGAGAGCCAGGAGGGGCAAAGGGGGAGGACCGGGGGTGGAAATTATGGAGGGAAGGGACAAGCAGGACTTGCCAACAGTGCCTGCAGCAGGTGGCAGGCGGCAGAGGCAGGCTTAGCATCCCTCAAGGCCCCGGTGCATTTCCCATCTCAGCCACCAAGGCAGGCACTGCTCCACTCCGCCCACAGCACAGGGCGGCCTGGCCACAGGGCCGCTCCATGTGCAGCAGCGCCACCCGGGGCCAGTCAGCGTGAGAGCACAAGTGCTGCACAACTCGCTCCCTGGGCCCCACGGTGCCCCTCCTGCCATCACCCCTCACCTGGAATCCCAGAGGGAAGAACCACTTCCTCTTCCTCCCAATGATCCCACTGTGGCCTAAAGGGCAGAAATGCTGGCCCTGGCACGGGCAGCAGGACAAGAGTGGTGGAAGTGCCAGAAGCCACCTGGCCTGGGTCTTCACCCGATGCAGATGAAGCCAGCCCCTTGTCCCCAGTGGAGAGAACTAGAGCAGAAGCAATCCCCACCCCATCCCCAACCCAGACTGGCAAGTGCTTGGCTGGCAGGCGCAAAGGGACACGGATACCAAGCGAAAAGCCACTCTGAAGAAGGGCCTTACTGTGCCCACAGGCCGGAGCTTAAAAGCAGCCACAGTGACAACCACCATAACAGGATTGCCTGTGGGGAACCCTCAGACACCAACACCCACGTGACTTGAGTGGGTTACCTGGACCAGGAAGTTTCTTCATGTAACCCTGGCTCATTTCACACACAGGTTAACCCACTTGTTGGTCCGTCTCCATCTCTGCACAGTGTGAACCCTGAGGCCACAGCTGCCACCCGGTATTTCTGGGGAACAAGGACCTGAAGCAGGGTCTGCACAGACCCCACACAGACCTGGCATTTTCCCCCAGTATTCAGCCTGGTTGAGGAAAGCTTCAGATGCCCAGGGCTGTCAGTGCTGCCACCTGGTGGCTGTACCCCACTGTCACTATAAACCTGTCCCTCTCGGGACACTCAGACCCATTCCAGCCCACACTTTGCAAACTGAAGGCCAAATATTTTTCGTGGCAACTGTGATTCTCCTACACTGAGTCTGAAACGGGAGAGCCACTTTGGTATAAATGCTAACCCCCACAGAGCAGGCAGAGCCAGAAACTACGCTGTTCTGTGTCCCGCTGCCCCACTTCCCATCCAGCGCCCTGCTTGTGGCCTGGGAAAGCAGCCAAGACAGCTCAAAGCCTTGGGACCTCGTAACTGCATGGGAGACCCGGAGCAGGCTCCTTGCTCCTGGCTTCGGACCAGCTTAGCTCCACCTGTTGCAGCCACTTAACGAATGAAGCAGAGGATGAAATATCTTTCTGTCTCTCCTTTTCTGTGTATATCTGCCTTTCCGATGGAAATAAATAAATCCTTAAAAACAAAAAGTTGGAGCAATGGATGGCCAACACACTCTCCATCAAGCAGACAAGCCTGAACCACTCTCCATCAAGCAGACAAGCCTGGGCCGCAGCAGAGCAGCCCTTGGGACGGAGAGGTGCCCTGAGCCAGGCTGGGCACGGCAGGAAGGCACTGCAATGACCACCAAACTGAAGAGAATAACCTATGACTTATTAGCACATCAGCACATGAGCAGTATGTTGACCTCCTGGCATAGTTTATCAATCTTATACTTACTCCAGCAATCAAAAGATCCTTTTGAAGCCCACAGAAGGGGCTGGTGTCGCAGCACAGTGACACCACTTGCAACATCTGTATCCCAGCCGGAGCGCTGCTTTGAGTCTTTGATCCAGCTTCCTGGTAATGTGCCCAGGGAAGCAGCAGACATCTGACAGCCACCAACACCCAGCGCACACTCAGCCTCCAGTCTCACTCAGCACGGTGTTCCCAAAGCCCAGCCCGCTGCAGCAGCTGCCAGACTGCCTGCCATCCCGGCTCCACAACAGGCCACACCTGCTTCGCTCGCGCACCCACCAGTGGACAGGTTTGGCTGCACACTGAGCAAGAACAAGGGTTGTCCAGTCCCCCTGCCCACCACCTACTTCCCGCTCCTTTCCAGAACACGTGGGAGTAGAACTGGGGGGTCTCGCAGCCCCAGCACACACACCACCGTGCAGAGCCCGCCCCTCACCTACCAGACTTGAAGATGTGGATGAGACACATGAGCAGCGTGCCGAGCTCCTGGCAGTAGAACGTGTGCTGCTGCTCGCTCATGTCCACCTTGAGCTGTTTGCTGACGATGTCCTCTAGCAGGATACCAACCAGCTGCACCAGGAACCTTCCGGGAGGGAGAGCACGTCAGACGACGCTCCAGGGCTCTCGGCCAAGCACGGAGGTGAAATAAAGCTTAGCTCAGGACTGCACGCCGTCCCAAGTGAAGGTCCATCACTCGGACGGACGCCCAGGCTCAGGGGACTGTTAAGATAGAATCCTGTCCTGCACATGCCGGAGCTCACACGCCCACCGCCAGGAATTCGAGGACCTTGCGTCTCAGCTACCTGCTTCAACATAACCCCAGGAGCCGCAGGCTCAGGGCGAGGCCAGAAGCACCTGTGTGCAGGCAGCGCTCGCTCTGGAGGGACAAGGGCCCCGACTTCACCAGTTATCCTGTCCTCAAGGAGCACCCAACCACTCAGGAGGCAAGACAACATGATACCACAGCATGCAGCGGGTGCCACCCACCTGAGAACAGCATGCAGTACAGCCAGCACGTGCCGAGTGAATGCAAGACGCAGAGCACGTTCCTGCATTGTGGCCCCACAGGGTAAACCTGTGATGCCAGTACCCACATGATTGCAAGTCCCAGCTGCTCCACTCCAATCCAGCTCCCTGCTACTGTGCCTGGGAGGCAGCCGATGATGGCCTAGGTACTTGGGCCCCTGCCACCCATGAGGGAGACCCAGACAAGGCTCCAGGCTGACAGCTTTGGCCTGGCACAGCCCAGTCGCTGTGACCACCTGGGCAATGAACCAGAGGACCGAAGGTCTTGGTCTCTTCCCTCTCTCCCTGTAACTCTGTCTTTGAACGATTCTCTGCCGGCAATGCCCTTGCTTACTGCCTGCCCCGGCGCAGCTGCCCTGCCTGTGTGGAGCCCTTGCTGCAGTTCCAACAACGACGAGGGAGAGATGTGCAGGACTCTGAGTGGGAGCAAGCACGGGCCGAGGCAAGGCAGCCTGGATTTAAACAGGAAAGCAGCTCAGAGCTGCAGCAGGAGGAGGCGTCCCTCTAGACTGCACGGCCCTAAATGACTGCGTGACTTCTCCCAAGGCAGGGGTCCTTACAGCTCAGACATAAGGCATACCTTGAAAATATTTCTTCTGGCAAATTCTTCATTTGTTTCTCTTCACTGTGTCCTTCCGCTGCGGCATCCCCATCCCCATTTCTCAGCCTGGCAATTACTGGACAGGAGATTAAGTATGGAGAGAAGGAGAGCTCCTGAATGCGAGCGAGAACAATGTCTTCCGTGGACTGGGAAATCAGAACCCGCAGGATGGCCAGGATCCCTGATGCCCACAGCTGCACGGTGCTCACAGACGCCTGGGGACAAGAGGTCATGTCACAGCCGAAGCACAGCCCAAGGGCCGCCCCCGCTGCCCACGCACGCGAGGCCGTGAAGCCCTGGTTGGAGGGCTCACCATGTGCATCTCTTAGCAACACCCAGACCTCTGGGAACTGGTCAGAAACAGAATCCCCAACCACACAGACTGGGCCTCAAGGTCTGGGGTGGCCAGTTATCCAACACCCTGGGCGAGGCCGGGACTCACCATCGTGCTTGGGGTGACAAACATACTCCGAAGAAGCATGTCCACCGGACGCAGGGAGGAAGGGGCCAAAATCTCAAACAAGGTATTTAGCACTCCAAGAGCTTCATGAGAGTCGATGTGCATCTGTGGAATTAAGCCCGTGCCACTGCCATGCCAGCCAGCAGAAAGGCCAGCTTCCTACACTCCCACATCTCAAGGGCAAACGGCCACAACCATCTCTTCACCTTCTAAAAAACCTTCATTTAAAAGGCAGACAACTGGGCTGGGGATGTAGTGCCCAATGCCCACAGAGCCAGACGGGGCCAAGCTCTAGCCAGGAACCAGAATGCCACCCAGACCTCACTGGGACAGGCACTCCAGCGGGGAGTGGACGGGAGCCTGACATCAGGCAACTTGCACTGGCCCCCCAGTACAGAATGCGGGCATCCAACCAATTCCCCCTTCACCTGAAAGCCTTTTAGATGGGGCAGTGAACAATGTAAACATTCCTCCAGAACAACACTGCACGAGCCACGGAAACCTCACACATACGCATTCTGAGAAAGACACACGGACACCATACGAACCAAGTGGAGCTGCCCGACTCGGCCGCCACCACCCCGGGACCTGCCTCCCATACACCTGCTTCCCGCACGTGCAAGCGCACGCTTGCCCTTGGCTGCCACAAAGGCTAGCGAGCTGCTGGACGTGTATGCCAGCCTTTCCCAAACTCCCACACACTGGCAGAGTTTGCTGGTTTGCTTTACAAAATGAGGGAAGTGTGACTGGCTCACACTTCTGTCTCCTGAGGGCATGTAACACAAAATGGATGGCTGTGCCAGGAGGCGCGGTCCCGACAGGCACCCGCCGAGGGCTGTGCCAGGAGGCGCGGTCCCGGCAGGCACCCGCCGAGGGCTGTGCCAGGAGGCGCGGTCCCTGCATGTACCCGCCGAGGGCTGTGCCAGGAGGCGTGGTCCCTGCAGGTACCCGCTGAGGGCTGTGCCAGGAGCTGTTGGGTCCTGGCCTCTCTGAAGGAAGCTGCCCCACAGGTGCACTGCCCCAGGACACAGTGTGGCCCACAGTGCTCCAGTCTGCCCTTGAGGTTCTGTGCCAGCTCCCTGCAGACCCTCCCCCTGGTCCCTTCCTGGCTGCGGAGTCTTTCCTGACGGCGTTGCAGGCTCCTGGCTTCAGCCTGGCCCAGTCCTGGCTGACACAGCCATTTGCTGAGGGAACTGACTAACACGAGATCTTGATTTTTGATATCTGTTTCTCTCCTTCTCCACTGCCTTCTGCCTTTGAAATAAATACATTAATTAAAAAAAACACGCCAATTATGACACCCCCATATCACACCTCTCATGCTGGAGTGTCCAGGTTAAACACTCAGCTCCAGCTCGTGCTGACACAGACCATGGGAGGCAATGGCGATGCCCATCCTGCTGGCTGTCTGCCACCCACACCCTCAGGAACCCCAGAACGGAGCCCCCAGTGGATGCGAACTCTCTGACTGCTGTGCAAATGAGCAGCTTGACCAAGATCCCATCCCATCGTGAAATCTTTGGTGCCCACCCCCTCAAGCTTCCACTCCCCGCGCCAACGCAGGGGACTCGGGCAGTAGCCCATGAGCGTGTTCCTTGTTCCCCTCAGGCAGTGCGGCCTTCATCCTCCTCTCTCTCGGCTTTGCTGCCCTTGTTGGAACTATGCATTTAGATCAGCTCCCATTTCTTTGCTGTGGCCGGTCACGTCTCCACTGTCACTGCCGTGCCCAGGACAGAGCCCAGCACCTGCTGAGCTGCCCCATCTGTCACGTCACCTTCACTGTGGCACAATCACAACAGACTGGACACTGCATACAAGGCTCACAGAGTGCCACTCAGGTCACCTGCGTCCCTCCACTGTGTGCGCGGTCTCGGGAGAAGCAGCCTGCTGGAGTCAGATAAGCCAGCAGCCAGCAGCACGGCGAGGTCAGCTGCCATCGAATGCCAGCGGCCCCGAGCAGCCTCCGAGGAGACGGTCAAGCGAGCACACGTGCCTGCAGACCAATCCAAGAACAGCCTCGGCCTTCGCAGGGCACCTGAAGGGCTCTCGGGGTCATCCTTGGCGGATCCCTGCTGCCCTTTCTTAGCCACAATGGGCACATGGCTTCCTGCATCCTGACACTCGAGGTACATGCCCTGCAGGAACGCCAACTGCTGCAGTACTGCCAGGCCGCTCCCACCACTGGCTGTGCCACAGGCTGACAGAGGCTCGCAGATAAGGACACGGAACTGCTCACTTGTACGTGAAACAAAAGGCCAGAGGCCAGAGCAAACCTATGACGGGCGCAATGACAGGGACAGGGCACCGAAATGGAATTATAGAGTACCTCAGTACCAGAGCTGGGCCATGCCCAGTGCCAGCATCTACAGCTGGGTGACAGTGGGTCACCTCCCTGGCCCCTGCGAGTGGTGCTTTCCTCACTCACAGAGCAGACAATGCCAATCTGATCAGGTCGCGGCAGAGTATCCCATGAGCACCCTATGAGTCCACTGCAGCTGCCAAGCTGACCACACACATCGGCCTTACAGCATGGCCACGCCTCCAAGTGCGGCACATCACTGTGCCCACGGCGAGCCGAGGTTCATGGAACCAACCTGCTGCCTGGCTAGCATCGGGAGGATGACGTCAGCCACCTGTCGTGACAGCCGCTTCCACTTGTCCTCGTTCTCCTTGTGACACTGCTGCAGGACGAGAATGAACATCTCCAGGACCTGCGAGAGCGCATGAGAGCAGTCAGCCACACGGGGGCAGAGGGCCCCCCAGCAGCCACATGGGGGCAGAGGGCTCCCCAACAGCCACGCAGGGGTAGAGGGCCCAGTCTGCCCAGCCGGGGCAGAGGGTTCCCCAGCACGCAGGGGCAGAGAGTCCAGTCAGCCTGGTCGGGGGAGAGGGCCCCCAGCAGCCATGCAGGGGCAGAAGGCCCAGTCTGCTTGGCCGGGGGAGAAGGCCCCCCAGCAGCCACGCAGGGGCCTTGGCCCAGCTCAGCTCACAGGTCCCTTGTGACACCAAGACCCTCAAATCCCTGCACTTATACTGCCTCATACTCAGCTAAAAGAAATAAGACCTTGGTCCTTGTCAAAAAAAAAAAAAAAAGGTGCAAAAAAGTCTTCAAATTATTTCAGATTTGAGATCTTAGGATTTGAAGACTTATCCCTTTGACCAACATGTTAGCTACCTGATAGCTGGGGGGGGAGGGGGGGTCCTCTGCTCCATCTTCTGTCTTCAACTGTCCTGACTGCTAGACAAACGGCAGGTGGTCTCCGGGCTCCCACCCTGGCACCTCTCCCGAGTGTGGAGGGCCCAAGGCAGGCCAGGCAGGCGTCCTGCTCACCTGATGGTACTGGACGAGTCTCAGCAGCATGGACACCACCACCTCCTTCTGGGTCTCTAGCTCTTTCCCTGCGTCAGCCTTGTTGGTTCCTCTCAACACGAAGAGGTCGTGGACGATGGGCTGCAGGGCAGGGATGGCTGTGGGGACACAAGGGTGTCCTCAGAAGCCGAAGGTGATAGGACACAGCTGCTCCGTCCCTGAGCCGCACACGTCAACACTGCACTGACAAATGCTCCCGGAGAGGCTCCTAGGGCCGGGAAAGGTCAACCCGGAAACAGCACTGCTTTCCACAGCCACAGTGGCATGCAGCCCACACAGCCTGCTGGTCTACCGGAAAGACTATTCACGGTGCAGAACACACGTAACCACACTACTTTGTCACGTGCTTTTCAAGTAAAGCCATCTTCTATACAAACAAGATTTCCTCCCATGGCATTTGGTCCAAAACAGAAGCTAAAAACAAATAAATAATCACCCTGTGATCATATGGGAAAAAATACAAAAGAAACACACTCACTCACCCGTCACTGACATGCACACACGCACACCTGCACACACCTGCATACACGTACACCTGCACACACACCAGCACGCACACACACCTGCACACACGCATACCTGCACGCACACCTGACACACACCTGCACACACTGGCACACCTGCATGCACACACACTGCACACACATGCACACCTGCACACACAATGGCACGTACACACACCTGCACGCACACACTGAACACACACCTGCACAAATGCACACAAACCTGCACACACGCACACCTGCACACACGCACTCCTGCACACACACACCTGCATGCACTCCTGCACACTCACACCTGCACACACACCAGCACGCACACACACCTGCACACACGCACACCTGCACGCGCACACACCTGCACACATATCTGCACGCACACCTGCACACAAACCTGCACGCATGCACACCTGCACACACACCTGCATGCACACACCTGCACACACGCACACCTGCACACACACCTGCACGCACACACTGCACGCACCTGCATGCACACACCTGCACACACGCACACCTGCACACACCTGCATGCACACACCTGCACACACGCACACCTGCACACACCTGCACGCACACACACCTGCACACCCTGGCACACACACCTGCACGCACACACACTGCACACCCTGGCACACACAGCCTGCTCTTATGAGCGGCTGTAAGGAGACGAACACTGCAGTGCAGCCGATGCCGAGGACAGGGAAAGGTGTATCGTGTTACCGTGTGTCACAGCCTTCCTCCCACTGGCCATGATGCCATCACAGAGCTGAATGATTTTGGGAATCCCAATGATCTGTTTGGAATGATAGCGTTCATAAGATAGCAATACCAGGAAGAAAAAGATGTTGGGAATAATGGCCTCTGATTCCCTGGAAACAAAAACATCCATTGAGGCATTTCCTCTTTGCACCTGGGACACACCGTCAGTATAACATTAACACGTGAGGCTCACTAAGCTGGAGGGCCCCCACTCAGCCCCTCCTCCCCGGCATGGCTCTGCAGCGGGCATGAGGACCCTGTGCCCTGGCGGCCCAGTACTGGTGGCACTGAGGCTTAGAGGACAGAATGAGTTGTCCCCAGTCACAGCCAAGGAGCTCTTGGGTGACAAGCCACACTCAACTTCTAGATTATGTTACCCTGTGTTTTAGGAACCCCAGAGACCACAGTTTTCAGGAATTATACTTGCAAATCTCTAAGGACATAGCAAAGACGAGCTGCGGCCATCTCTGAAGGCGCTCCCACGGAGCACACTGCCACAGAGTGGCCTACAGCTCCCCACCATCACAGCGCGACACTGTGACACGTGCAGGAGCAGCCAACAACAAATCTCACGGGCAGATGCTGGCTAGGGCTGCCCCAGTCCAGAGGTCCCTAATGTAGCAATTCTAAGGAGAACATACAGCATGTTCATCAGATTGCCATTAAAAACAAAAAGCAAAAAATACCTGAGCGTATTTTTTATACCATATAGATGTAAAGTATGAACATGTAACAGCCCCAAAGCAGGAGCAGCTGAGAAAGGCCTACCTGAACTGGCCCACTTCGATGTATTCAAACTGCTTCAGCAGGAACCCAATGAACACCTGTGGCCAAAGCACTTCCGTTAGCAAGAAGGCAGGCACGTGGGTCACCCCAACCAGCTGCCAGACCTACGCCCTCTACCTGCTCACAGGGTCACCCCAGCAGCTCCCAGCACCTACGCCCTCCACCTGCTCACAGGGTCACCCCAACCAGCTCCCAGCACCTACGCCCTCCACCTGCTCACAGGGTCACCCCAACCAGCTCCCAGCACCTACGCCCTCCACCTGCTCACAGGGTCACCCCAGCAGCTCCCAGCACCTACGCCCTCCACCTGCTCACAGGGTCACCCCAACCAGCTGCCAGACCTACGCCCTCTACCTGCTCACAGGGTCACCCCAGCAGCTCCCAGACCTACAGCCACAGTGATTCTATAACCTGCTTACAGAGCTGCAGAATGATAGTTACCATGGTTACAGGAAGTGGGTGGGATTGCTTCTGAGCCTTTTGGCTAAGATCAAGTGTAGGAAGTGGGTGGACACCACAGTGACCTCAGCCAGAGATCAGGCACGCCCCGAAGCAGCCAAGGCCACAAGTGATGGACAGCGGCCAACACTCCCTGTCCTCTCAGGACCCAAGTAGGGCTGACGCCAGCACCCTCGTCAGAGGGTATACAACCTTTGTCTCGGCCACCCAGCTTGTCTTTCCCACTTGCGGTCCTTTCCTCTCCTGCTCATTCCTCCACCGCACGGGAAAGGCCCAGGACGGCCTTCTCCTTGCATACTAAGGGCCTGTTTGTACTCGGGTGGTCAGCAAAGCTAATACACAACACTTCCAGAAATCTCTCTGAATGCAAGCTCACTAGATACAAAGGTGAAACCTCACTGGGAAAATTAGTGATGAATTCCAGGGGACATTAGGCAATGAGGCCTGCCAACAGAGCAGGGCGTACAAACCCCATGTGCCTGCATCAGGTCTTTGCCAGCGCTGGAGGAGAGCAGCTGCCTTCCACCTGACAGCGCTTACAAGATGAGCCCTGGGGCAGGACACAGCCACAGCAGGCGCACAGACCATCCTGATCTGAATGAGTGTGGGGCTCTGCTCCCATGTTCTGCTCCTGCTCCAAAATCCTACCACCTAGGGAACAGGACTACATGCAAGCCCCAGGTGCTCACAGCAAGAGGACGGTGTCACCAAGTAGAGGCGGCTGGGCACAGGCTCTTCTGTTTGCCCAGCTGAGCCAAGGCTGGAGCCAGAGCCAGGGAAGGAGGAGCTCAATCTAGATGCCCCACAGGGTGGCAGGAATTCAGCGTCCTCAGGAAGCTGGCATTAGGAGCCAGATGCAGGCACTGAATCCAGGCGCCTTGCGGCTACGTGAAACCACCTGTCCTGTATGTACCTTCCTCCCGGCCCAGGTCAGATGCAGAGTTTGGAAAGACAGAAGAGCCGTTCTGAGAAAGGACTATAGGTGGAATGACACTGAGTCCACCTGCCAGTCAGTCCCCTGAGCAGGAAGTCCTGAGAGGCCACATAGGGGCTGTGAGCACTGCATGAGCACAGCTTCTACCCACGCTCCTCAGAGCTGGGCAGTGGGCGCTGTCTCAGAGCCCCGGCTGTGGTCCCGACAGCCCTGCATCCACACTCCTGGTGCACCCAGAGCAGTCGCTCTTTCTCTCCCTATGGCCTACAGCGGCCAACCAGGGCTCCCACCCTCTGAATTCTGTCAAAGCTAAATTCTGCCATGAGCAGCAAAGAGCCTGTGAACAGATGCTCCTCCCCTGGCTTGTGGGAGGGACTCTGGGCCGAGGCCAGCTGCCCCAGCACTGCCCTGCCTGTGGGAAGAGCGCGTCATGAACGTGAGGCGCCTACAGGCAGATGTGTGTCTAGGAGAGCAGAGAGGGGACCCTTAGACTGGAAATTTCCTGTCATACAGGGTCCCGGCCAACTGTGGATGGCTTTAGGGCAGCACCATCTGCAGGCAACTGATGGCAAGGCTGGTCTGAAATGAATGCATGCCATGGAGACACAGCCAGCACAGAGGAAGGTCGCCGGCAGGAAAGCTCCCACGCCAAGTCCAGACCCGACCTCAGTCACACGCAAGCACATTAAGCCCCTTTGTGGAGAGGCGAGCTGACTTTCTGGAGCCTTGCAGGCACAGACCAACTTCCTCCACTAAGTCTCTGTGAACTCATCACCAAAACGAGTCCCACCTCAGGGTCCCACGCGAACCGCCCGGGATACAGCGCAGCTGGACGGGGTGCGGTCTCTTCCGGTCACTGCAGCTGAGTCAAACCCACCTGATCTGAATCCAGGAGGCAGTAGTTGACACGTAGCTGCACCAGCTGTGCCAGCAGCGCGAGGACCTGCTTCTGCAGCTGCACGGATGTCGTGGTTGTATACTGCTTGAGCGCTTTGATGACAAGAGGCTCAAACAGACGGATGTGACTGTGGATCGCGTTCTAGGAAACAAAGAGCCCACAATGAAGTTTTCCAATCTGGAAGATCTTGAGCCGGCTGCCCACTCCCGACACATTTACCTTATCTGCACGGTTCTTTGTGACATTCGTGAGGTTTGTCTTCAACTGTGTCGACACTTTCTGCAGCACATCAAACCATCTGCCACACGGAGAGACCAGCCTTCAGTGAACTCCTGACAGCCCACTCGAGCACAAGCCACCTTCATCGCAGCGTGGCAGCATGCTCCTGAGTGACAGAATCCAGCCCCCCAGTCCATGGGAGCCCAAGCACATCAAGTCCTGTTATCAACAGAGGCTGATCAACTCCCAGCTACAGGAGACTCCAACACAGTCAAGTCCGCAAGAGGATGTGAGAGAAAGGTGATCCTTACTGCAAAGATTGCCACTGCAAGACCTCCCTCGACATTCCTGGGGAGAAAGACGGGTCCAGGTACAGCGGGAGGGCTGTCCTTGGCCGTGCACCTCGGGTACAGCGGGAGGGCTGTCCTTGGCCGTGCACCTCGGGTACAGCGGGAGGACTGTCCTTGGTAATGCCCCGGGTACAGTGGGAGGATTGTCCTTGGTAATGCCCCGGGTACAGCGGGAGGACTGCCCTTGGCCGTGCACCCCAGGTACAGCAGGAGGACTGTCCTTGGCTGTGCACCTCGGGTACAGCGGGAGGACTGTCCTTGGTAATGCCCCGGGTACAGCGGGAGGACTGTCCTTGGTAATGCCCCAGATACAGCAGGAAGACTGTCCTTGGCCATGCCCCCCGGGTACAGCAGGAGGACTGTCCTTGGCCATGCCCCAGATACAGCGGGAAGACTGTCCTTGGCCATGCCCCCCGGGTACAGCAGGAGGACTGTCCTTGGCCATGCCCCCTGGGTACAGCAGGAGGACTGTCCTTGGCCATGCCCCCCGGGTACAGCAGGAGGACTGTCCTTGGTAATGCCCCGGGTACAGTGGGAGGGCTGTCCTTGGTAATGCCCCGGGTACAGCGGGAGGACTGTCCTTGGCATGCCCCTGTCTCCAGGTGCCAGGTGGCTCAGCTCACTGGCTCTCACTGCCCACCTGGGCCATGTGGGCCAGCCAGCCTGCTGTGGGTACAGGGAACTGGACCAAGACAAGAGAGCCCTGCTTGCCTCTTAAGTAAACGAGAGAAGCAATGGAATTGCTATAAAATATACCAATGATATCCTTTCTTCTAGGAAGAAATAAATGAAATCCTGCCCTATTTATGAATGTCCCATGAGACTGCACTAAGACGTCAGGCAGGGCTGCTCCTGAGTGTCAGCCAGCGAGTGAGTACGTCACCCCAAGAAGCCTAGGCCACGGGTGCCGCAGAGTCACGGCTGCAGGTTCCAGCTGCTCACTCCTGCTCCAACACAGTGACTTAAACACCCAGTAATAATTATGGCAATAAAAGAAACATATAGAGTGGCCTGGGCACCAAAAACACTACCATAGGTTTTAAGTACAAAAAACAACAAACACCAGTCTTGAGGCCGTACAGCCGGGAAAGCACAAAGCGCGAGCCAGAGCGCTGACGCCCATGACCTACACTGCATCACTGCGCGTGCTGAAGCTGCCTTGCACACCACCACCCACACAGTACAAGCTAAGACAAGCGCCAGATCATGGCCAGGAGCTTCCAGGAGGGAGGGCACCACACTGCAGTGGCCACCTGGTGGACAGCGTGGAGGTGACAGCTGCTCGGCCCGGCAGACAGCACTCAGGACTCAGGCAGGACAATCCCGGAGGGCGGCAGGGGCAGCCCTGGCTGGCCCTGTATGCAGGACAGGGCTGCCCGGCCCAGCTGTGCATCACACGGGGTAGGTTATGTCACAGCGCATGCCGCGTCCCAGCAGCACAGTCCTGCCAGGCCCTTACCCCGCGGTGTCGTGCTCGTGCTCGGCCTGCACCATGTTCCTCAGGCTGGCGTCAGCCAGGGCTTGCGTGAAGTGGGTGTAGGGAGCCATGAAGCAGTAGTGGTACAGGCCTGGCCGCACACTGGATGAGCCGAGACGCTGCGCTCGGCCTTGGCACTTGCTGGGGTTGGAAGATATGCCATCAAACTGGGAAGCCAAGTTCGTCCCAAAGAGTGTCTTCAGTAACTAGGGTGAAAGAGGGTGGATGGTCAACACTGGGCTTCCTGCGGTGTCAACAGCATCCCGAGAGTCTCTGCGATGACAAGCCCGTGATTCAGCTGCGACAGTCCCACCTGAGTCACCGTGCACCGGCCAGGCAGCTGCGAGGCGCTGCCAGCTCCCACATCAGTGTCAGGCTCCCCAGGCTATTCGCTGACACCGGCTGCCCTGCACGCAACCCCAAAGGGGCCGGAAGACAGCGCAGAAGCAGCCAAGGCACCGTGAGCTCGGGGTGGCCCTGCGCTCCACACCGACAAGGACAGCCTGTCACAGGGAACAAGAGTGACAGCCGATCACAGCAGCAGCGCCGGCACCCTCACCTGCTGCACGCAGACCGTGGCCATCGTCGGCTCTCGACTGAAGCAGGACTTCAGGTAGCTGAGGATCTCCTCGACACACTGTGGAAGTAACAACACGACACCAAGTCCCACAGACGGGCCGCCACCCAAGAGCCAGGACGACTCGCACTGCCCCAGGGAGACGTCAGATTCACCACTCTCCCTAGTCAGTGCAAGTTCTCAGGACGCAAGGAACTCTGCCTTGAGGTGTCCACTCACTCATGCCCAGGGTGCCCAGGCCCCTAGCATGCACTGCCCCTCAGGCACCCATGCGCACCTACAGAAAGAACACCAAGGTGTGCAAAGCAGCTAAAAGCGTGGCCCTGTAGAGCCACAGCACGGCTCACGCAGGACGCACATGATGCTTCTCACCAGCCACTGTGACCAAGCACCTGGGACCCAGCTGAAGGTTCAAGACGGAGAGGGGAGCCAGCCCTCCGCCAGAGAGCCTCCGGGCTCCCCATCAACAGCACACTGCCCACGGCCCTCCAAGCCAGGAGCCACCATCTCTAATAACTGCTACAAACCCACGCCGACCAGCCTGGGGAGCCACTCTCCGTGCGATGCACTCTCCTATCAGTGGTCACAGTCAAGCAGCAGGTCTGCTTACAATTCCCAGTCACTGCAATTAGACTCTAAATGTCCGAGGTCACTGGAGACACGGTGTTCTGACTTGACTAGTTCACTGTAAACACATCAATGATGCTAGCTAGACGATCGGCTAGAACCTGCTGAGTCAATGTGTCTAGCAGCGACCGAGCGGCTGGGGCGCCCCAGACCTGCCTGGGACACAGAGACACAGGCAGAGGAGAAAGGCAGCGCCTTCCCAGAGCCAGAGAGCCGCAGGAAACCATGAGCCTGCTACCGTACGAACATCCAAGCAAACCCGGAAACACTTCCACGCTGCCCTAAGGGGGAAAGGGCAGACACACAGCCTCAGCTCTGCGGCCCTGAGCACAGCGCGGCGGGCGGATGGAGGAGCCGTGTGGGAACCGCACACTGCCACGGCCTTGTCCGACCCCACGTCACGGCCTGCAGTCAGGCTCTGCGTGGGGTAGACGACAACGTCCACACACCTGGCCGCACTCACCACTGCCGGCTGTCCCCCAGTCCTCGCCACGGCCGACCCGGGGTCAAAGAGAAGGGGCTGCCACCAGCACCTCTGATTCTGACACAGGGCTGGGGCTCGACAGCATGGCCAGGCAGGTGTCCACTCATGCCCAGGGTACCAGGAAGAGCAGAAGCCCAGCCCTCCACAAGCTTCGTACCATAAGTATGACAAGGGCAGCTACTAAACTGTCACATGCCAGAAGCAGGTGAGCCTGTACGCATATCGAGACAAGGAAAAAGATCAGAGACAAATGCAAACGAAGTGCATTAGGACCCAGTCTAGAAGGCCAGCAGTGGTAAGTCGCCTCGACATGCAGGAGGAGCACGTGCCGTGCACACTGCCTCACGCAAACCTGCACCCACTAAAGCACACCCAGGACACTCGCGGCTGCAGAGCCGAGGAACGGCCTACGCTCGCCTGCTGTCAGAACTCTCCACGACACCGCAGCGCAGGACTTGCAGTGCGGCTTCCTGAAGGGTCAAGACAGCAAGCCACACGCTCTCACAGCGCCGGAGTGCAGACGATCAGGCAAGAACATGCAGAGCATTTGAACGTGAACACATGGCAACAAGCAGGACGCAGAAGCTTGCCTCCCTAAAACATGGCTGGGCCGTGAGTCAGCTCGGGGCTGCATGTGAGAGGGGCCTGGCAGAGGAGGGACCCTTCCAGAGAAGCAGGGCCCAGCCCAGGGGTCCTGGACACAGCTCAAGGACAAACGGAGAACAAACCTTTCCGATGTCTTGCAGCGTCGCCAGCTCCAGGAGCTGAGAGAGGACGTCCAAAGCGCAGCGCAGGAACGCCCCAAACTTCTCGGTGCTGTTCTGCAGATCCAGGGTGACCTGGGGGACAATGACAGGCTCAGTGAGAGGCACCACAGCAACCTGGGGGTCCCAGAGGACCCTGCAGGGCTGAGCACACACTGCGGGGTTGGGGGACACTGGAGCCTGCAGGGCTGAGCACGCACTGCGGGGAGGAGACAGTGGAGCCTGCAGGGCTGAGCACGCACTGCGGGGAGGAGACAGTGGAGCCTGCAGGGCTGAGCACGCACTGCGGGGAGGGAAGACACTGGAGCCTGCAGGGCTGAGCACGCACTGCGGGGAGGAGACAGTGGAGCCTGCAGGGCTGAGCACGCACTGCGGGAAGGAGACAGTGGAGCCTGCAGGGCTGAGCACGCACTGCGGGGAGGAGACAGTGGAGCCTGCAGGGCTGAGCACGCACTGCGGGGTGGGAAGACACTGGAGCCTGCAGGGCTGAGCACGCACTGCGGGAAGGAGACAGTGGAGCCTGCAGGGCTGAGCACGCACTGCGGGGAGGAGACAGTGGAGCCTGCAGGGCTGAGCACGCACTGCGGGGAGGGAAGACAGTGGAGCCTGCAGGGCTGAGCACGCACTGCGGGGAGGAGACAGTGGAGCCTGCAGGGCTGAGCACGCACTGCGGGGAGGGAAGACACTGGAGCCTGCAGGGCTGAGCACGCACTGCGGGAAGGAGACAGTGGAGCCTGCAGGGCTGAGCACACACTGCGGGGAGGAGACAGTGGAGCCTGCAGGGCTGAGCACGCACTGCGGGGAGGGAAGACACTGGAGCCTGCAGGGCTGAGCACGCACTGCGGGAAGGAGACAGTGGAGCCTGCAGGGCTGAGCACGCACTGCGGGGAGGAGACAGTGGAGCCTGCAGGGCTGAGCACGCACTGCGGGGAGGGAAGACACTGGAGCCTGCAGGGCTGAGCACGCACTGCGGGAAGGAGACAGTGGAGCCTGCAGGGCTGAGCACGCACTGCGGGGAGGAGACAGTGGAGCCTGCAGGGCTGAGCACGCACTGCGGGGTGGGAAGACACTGGAGCCTGCAGGGCTGAGCACGCACTGCGGGAAGGAGACAGTGGAGCCTGCAGGGCTGAGCACGCACTGCGGGGAGGAGACAGTGGAGCCTGCAGGGCTGAGCACACACTGTGGGGAGGAGACAGTGGAGCCTGCAGGGCTGAGCACGCACTGCGGGGAGGAGACAGTGGAGCCTGCAGGGCTGAGCACGCACTGCGGGGAGGAGACAGTGGAGCCTGCAGGGCTGAGCATGCACTGCGGGGAGGAGACAGTGGAGCCTGCAGGGCTGAGCACGCACTGCGGGGTGGGAAGACAGTGGAGCCTGCAGGGCTGAGCACGCACGCGGGGGTGGCAGGGAGAGAGACGAGACACAGAGCACCCTGGAGGAAGTGGAGCACGTTGCACTAACACTACCAAAGACACACCACCTCTCCCTCACAAAACCATGCTGGATGTGGTGTCCTACCAGAGAGAACCCCAATCTCACACACATTAGGATCCTCGAGGGAAACCACTATCAAACTCGGATACGTTACCCGGTTACAGCGCAAGATGCGTTAATAAGGTCGAAGGAACTCAATGTGACTAAATGATGCAACAGCCCCCTGACTTCTCCGAGAACAGATCAGGACCAAGTACATGACGCGTAAGGACAGAGGTGAGGGCGGAGACAGAATGGTGACAAGCATGGTGACAGACCCAGAGAGGTCAGGGAGCAGGAATCTAACGGCCGTGAGGAGCACAAAGAGGCAGCCCCGGGCGGGACCTGCACCCACCAACCCAGGGGAAGGCATACAATTTGGGAGGAACCGGCCAGCTGAGATGAGAGTAGGGATGGGAGGGACAGCCCAGGGCTAGAGAGGCAATGGACCAGGAGGCCAGAAAAGCAAAGAACCCCTAGCAGGGCTGCCGGGGCACGGCGCAACACACCGGGAGGCCACGTGGCACAGCAGCTCCTGGACCGGACAGTGACTTGGGGGGTTCTACCCAGCATTACTGACGTGTCTCCAGTGACCTTGTGTGCAGACTCCAGATGCTCAAGGTCACCGTGGACACAGGGTATCGGGGGGCACCTGGGGAAAGGACAAATGGGAAGCACAGGAAGGGGTCCCAGGATGAAAGAAGGCAACAGGTGGAGAGACGCCCCCTCCGAGGGGCGCTTAAGACACACCCCTCTGCTTTGGGGATCAATAGGAGGAACAGGCAGTTAAACTGAGGCTCCTGCTCTTTTACCAAATCAGCAGAAGATGGCTGTCCTTCAAAGCTAGCAACGCCCTCGGAAGAGAAGTCACATACGGCTTGCCCAGTTTCTGTTGCCTCAGACAGCTCAGACGAGGGGCAGGAGTTGAGGAGCCACTTGGCACGCCACAGCCCACGCAGAAGCGCCAGCCCAAGTCCTGGCCGCTGCCCTCTGGCCCAGCTCCTTGCCAGTGCGCCAAGAAGGATGGCTCACATACTTGGGTCCTTGCCATCCATGAGGGAGAGCAGGCTGGGGCTCCACTCCTGGCTCAACATAACCTAGCCTCGGCTTTAGAACCATTTGGGGAGTGATCCAACAGATGCAAGATCTGTCAGTAACAGGAGACAAATTTATCAAAGAATGTGCAAAATCTACGTGACAAGATCTTACAAAAATGCTTTTTAAAGTCTGAGATTTCATGTGCTTCGGGGATAACAGAAGTTCTGAACAAAGAGCAGAGCACCGCAGGCACCAGGAAGGCTCTCCCGGTTCCTAAGACACCAAGCTCTCCCTTAACCAGCCACCACCAGCAGAATCTTCCTAGAAACACAGTCTCCACAGTTTTTGCAACTGGGTAAGATTATTCAAACATTCATGGGCAAAAATAAGCACATAACAGAAAATGCTCAAGAAGACCGGGGATCACCTCCAAAATACATTATGAAGCTAAAATCACCTTTCATCTGGGCATGGCACGATGGCTAAATCCTCACCTTACAAGCACCAGCACCCCGGCCCAAGTCCCGCTGTCCACTTCCCGTCCAGCTCCCTAAAGTGGCCTGGGAAAGCAGCGGAGGACGGCCCAAAGCCTTGGGGCCCTGTACCCGTGTGGGAGACCAGGAAGAAGCTCCTGGCTCCTGGCTTTAGATTGGCTCAGTTCTAGCTGTTGTAGCCACTTGGGGAGTGAACCAGTGGACAGAAGATATTTCTATATTTCTTCTCTGTAAATCTGTGTTACCAATAAAAAAAATTCTTAATAAATAAATAAATGTTTGTCGCTCCACTTCTCTCTGTAACTCTGACATTGAGATATATAAATCTTAAAAACAAAGACAAAAAACCTTTTGCATCTAATAGACAGACAAACCACGAGGACCAAGTATGTGACACTGGCGGTGTCCACGGGGACCGCTGCCAGGGTCTCAGCCGCCCGTTCGTCACCCTCCATCACGGCTCTGACGGCCTAACAGGCGCTGTGCTGTCCCGCTCAGAGAGCAGTGACAAGCGACAGCCTGCACATGTGCAGTGCAGACACACTGGCTGGGTCCCAGGCGCAGAACCCGGAGAGCCACTGAGGCTTTCACTCAGCGCAAGGACAGACAACGAGGCACTGCGGACACCGGCTTCAGCAGCTGCTCAAGACAAGCTACACCCTGGCTTGTAGCTGAGAAACTGCAGACAGACAGAAAATAAGAAACGAGAAAAGGATGGAAACACTCCCACAAAGAGCAGTCACAGCCTGCAGCTGCCCCGCCAGCTGCCCCGCCAGCTGCCCAGCCTGACACGGAACACCTGCTTGCCTTGGTACATGTGAGCCTCCCACGACAGAGGCAGCCTGGAAACTGCCACACACAATCCCCTCCAGCCAGCTGGACCACCCTGCCCTCCTGCCTGCCCAGTGTCCCCACCGTCCTCATCCCGCCTCTGTGTGTAAGGCGGTTGTGTCGCGCAGGCCCTAGAAGCCAGAAAGGACACGCTGCCCTAACAAAGCCCAAGCTGAGACAAGCCAAGATGGCCAGGAGTGGGCGCCCTGCACCCCGAGGGCGGCACGCAGCCCTACCTTGTAGTTAGCGTGCGTGGCCTTCAGGACATCGTGCAGCTTGAGGTACGAAGGAAGGTGGCAGAAGCTTCCCAGTGCTGAGGGCCTGCTTGTGGTCACAGGCCCTGAGGGCTCCGCTGCTCTAGAGGCTTGACAGACACACACAAAATCAAAGGGAAACTTGTCAAGTTCAGAGATTACTAACAACAATATTTAAAAGTCTTTCCTGTGAGGTTCTGATGAGAAATGGACTAACAAACTAAGTAGGAACTGAGAATTAAAATCAACATAAATAAGAAGGGTCAGGGTGTCCTTGTGGCTCAGCCTGCAGCTCTGGCCTTCCACACAAAAACCACTTCAAGTTCTGGCCAATCCACTTGCGCTCCAGGTCCTTGCTAACGAGCTGGAAAATCAGCAAACGGGGCAAAGGGCTCAGCCCCGCCAGGCACACGGGGGCCTACTGGGACACTCGGCCCCGCCAAGGCACACGGGGGCCTGGCACACGGGGGCCTACTGGGACACTCAGCCCCGCCAAGGCACACGGGGGCCTGGCACACGGGGGCCTACTGGGACACTCAGCCCCGCCAAGGCACATGGGGGCCTGGCACACGGGGGCCTGGCACACGGGGGCCTACTGGGACACTTAGCCCCGCCAAGGCACACGGGGGCCTGGCACACGGGGGCCTACTGGGACACTCGGCCCTGCCAGGCACACGGGGGCCGAGTGGGAGTCCTTGGCTTGTTCCTGGTTCAGCCCTGGCCCTGAGAACCAATGAGGCAGAGTCAGCAGAGGCAGCTCTTAATCGCTTTCTTTCTGTCTGCTTCACTCTGCCTTTCTCTTAAATACAATAAATTTCACACACACACACACACACACACACACAACAAAGAACAGTGGTGGCATGGCTCAGGCCTTTGTTCCCCTTGGCTCCAGAGGCAACAGTCTGCTGATTTCATGTCAGCCCGGGGAGCCCAGGGCTCCATGGGGCTGTGCCGGGCTGACCCACCCTCCTCCAGGGCTCCACGGGGCTGTGCCGGGCTGACCCACCCTAGTCCAGGGCTCCACGGGGCTGTGCTAGGCTGACCCGCCCTCCTCCAGGGCTCCATGGGGCTGTGCCGGGATGACCCACCCTCTTCCTGGGCTCCACGGGGCTGTGCCGGGATGACCCGCCCTCCTCCAGGGCTCCATGGGGCTGTGCCGGGCTGACCCACCCTCTTCCCGGGCTCCTCGGGGCTGTGCCGGGCTGACCCACCCTCCTCCAGGGCTCCATGGGGCTGTGCCGGGCTGACCCACCCTCTTCCCGGGCTCCACGGGGCTGTGCCGGGCTGACCCACCCTAGTCCAGGGCTCCACGGGGCTGTGCCGGGCTGACCCACCCTCCTCCAGGGCTCCATGGGGCTGTGCCGGGCTGACCCACCCTCTTCCCGGGCTCCATGGGGCTGTGCCGGGCTGACCCACCCTCCTCCAGGGCTCTGCCCTGCACAAGCCTGGGAAGCGAGCCTCTGAAAGCCGCAAAGGGCTAAACATAATCATGCAAGCCACCGGCGTGACGGGCACCTCACTGCTCCCACAGAACACGTGACACCTGTGGCTCTGGATCAGGCGTGTGCCTGCTACACTAGTCAGTCCCTGGAAAAGAGCATCTTTCACATGACTGACACGATTCTGACTCGTCAGTTAAAAGTAAACAAGTAAGTGGCCTCAACTGAAGCGTTGTGCAAAGCAGACGGGAGATCATGACCAGCCCGCCCCAGCAGACGGTGTGAGAATGGGCTCTGAGGCGACACCATGCAGAGCGCGGCGCGGGACAAGAGGCAGCAGCCATCGCCCACCCGCCATGCCCGGGGGTTTGGTCACTTCCCCACTGGGACAGAAGCGACACCTGCTTTCGCCTGTCTCCACACACGAGGCGACCGTACTAGGGTCCTCGCATTCATCTTCCTTCTGCCTCACAATGCTTTATCACCAGACCCAGCTCTCCGCCCGACCCCACCTGCCCCGGCCGGCCACACCGCGCGCGCACACACACACACACACACACACGGGGCCTGCAAGCCCTCAGGGCTGTCACCACACGCCACGCTCGAAGCCCCAGCAGGCAAAAGGCGGCCAGGGAACATGAGGCTGCTGGGTCCTCAGACCTGAGACTGCGCCAGGGGAGCCCTCTGGGCTCACGGCTGTGCGTTCCATCTGATCAAGGCTGACAGGGACATGAGCGTCACCCAGCGCCCTGTGCCCTCGGCCCGGGGGCCACTTCCTACCTGCACTGGCCTCGCCGACCTTCTTGGGACTCATGGGAGCAGAAGCCTGTTCCGCAGGCTCTTTCTCTTTGCCTTTCCGTCGGATGGGACTCAGAGAAGGGGGGTTTGTCAGAGAAGGCAAGGCTGCCTGAAAAGGAACGAAAGCGTGTGGCGGCACACTGTCCGGTGTCACTCTTCACTCAGAGTCCTTCATTCCATTCATAAATTGACATCAGACACAAGCACCTATTTCCACTCACATCACAGATGTACATGGCACTCGCCGACCCAGAACTCTGCGGCAGGTGCACAGTGAACGGGCGGGAATGTAGGAGCCCACCACAAGTGAGCCAGCCTGCAGGTACTTGGCCCCAGGCTGACCCCTCCTGGCAGGGACCCCAAGAGCTATGGCGAACATGGGCACACAGCAGCACTGCCAACTCCACCTTTTGAACAAGGAAGCAGATTCGAGGACAAAGTACTCATTTAAAGTCACAACTGGGGGTGGACTGTGGCCCATAGGGTAGAGCCACTGCCGGCGAAACTGGCTCCCGCGTGGGTGCCACTGCAGGTCCCAGCCCCAGCTCTGCTCCTAGAAAAAAAGACCGCCCACATGCTTGAGCCTCTGCACCCCCAAGGGAGACCTGCTGAAGCGCCTGGCTCCTGGCTATGGCCTGACGTAGCGCCAGCTGCTGCAGCCATTTGGGAAACAGTGGATGGAAGATCTACTCGCTCTCTTTCAATTTCTCCCTACAATACTGCATTTCAAACAAATAAAATATTAAGGAAAAAAAAAGGTAAAAGTCACACCTTATAGACGTCCAGAGCCCAGAAGCGAAGGAGCTGAGGAAGCAGCAGGATGGACGGAAAGATGAGACATAGCTCTGTGCTCCCCTCACACCTGCTGCTGTGCTCCCCTCACACCTGCTGCTGTGCTCCCCTCACACCTGCTGCTGTGCTCCCCTCACACCTGCTGTGCTCCCCTCACACCTGCTGTGCTCCCCTCACACCTGCTGCTGTGCTCCCCTCACACCTGCTGTGCTCCCCTCACACCTGCTGTGCTCCCCCTCACACCTGCTGTGCTCCCCTCACACCTGCTGTGCTCCCCTCACACCTGCTGCTGTGCTCCCCTCACACCTGCTGCTGTGCTCCCCTCACACCTGCTGCTGTGCTCCCCTCACACCTGCTGCTGTGCTCCCTCTGACACTGCCTGCTAGGGCTCAACAACTGTGCTCCCCCAAACTTACCAGGATGGACAGGAAACAAACAAAACCATCCAGCTTTGTGCTCTCTTCCTCCCTCACCTGACAACGGTCTACGGCTCAACAGCTTTGCTCCTCCAAATTCCATAGGTAGCACCCTGACAGGAATCTGGGCCCTAGCGTGGAGAACCCAAGGATGGAGTTTGTTCTAGCAAATGGAACTGCCCATGGGTCCAGCGCAGTGGCCTCATGGCTAAAGTCCTTGCCTTACATGTGCTGGGATCCCATATTGGCACCAGTTCATGTCTCGGCAGCCCTGCTTCCCATCCAGCTCCCTGCCTGTGGCCTGGGAAAGCAGTGGAGGACGGCCCAAAGCCTTGGGACCCTGCACCTGCGTGGGAGACCCGGAACAGACTCCTGGCTCCTACTTTGGACTGGCCCAGACTGGGTGTTGAGGCCCGTGGGGCGTGAATCACCGCGCAGATCTTCCCGACTCTCCTTTCTGGAAAGCACATTTCTCTTGTTTACAGCTGCCAATGTCGGGCCTTCTGCCACAGCAGGCCTGTACAGCGGGTGTGACAGACCAAAGGGGACAGAGGGAAGGACGTGCCCCAGGCGTCTGCGTGCAGCTGCCCGAGAGTCGGGGACACAGGGGGTAGGACAAGGAGTCGCTGAGTGGAAATGCAGCCTGGGACGGCTCCTGCTGGTAGCCCGGCAGGATACAAAATGGGCAGGAGGGACGACAGCGGGACAATGAGTGTTAGACTTACACATCTGGCCAGAGCAGGAATCAGCTGGCCAGGCCAGGCAGCAGTTCCTAATATGAGGTAGTCTCAACTCCCTCAAATTGCTATTTAAATTCTGGTTTCCTAAAAATGAAGCAAACTAAAGGACATCCCTGTGCTGCACCAGCCACACTTCAGGAATTCAAGAGCGGCATGTGGTCAGGGAGCTCTGCCTGGCAGACAGGAAACATGCTCATGGCTGCAGACAGTCCTGCTGGATGGTGCTGGCCAGAGCAGGGGGACGGAAGATGATCAATGACACTGGTTGAACAGAACAGTGGTGGCTAAAGCCCTCGCCTTGCACGTGCCGGGATCCTAAATGGGCGCCAGTTCTAATCCCCATGGTCCCGCTTCCCATCCAGCTCCCTGCCTGTGGCCTGGAAAAGCAGTCAAGGACGGCCCAAAAGCCTCGGGACTCTATACTCATGTGATAGATCTGGAGGAAACTCCTGGCTCCTGGCTTGAGATCGGCTCAGCTCCGGCCGTTGCGGCCACTTGGGGAGTGAACCAGTACACGGAAGATCTTTCTCTCCGACCCTTCTCATCTGTATATCTGACTTTCCAATGAAAAAAGAACAGTGGTGAGGTGAGGGGACAGCTGAGAAGCCACACAGAGACCACTACGGACAGGGGCAGGACAGCGGAGGGACCGTGGAGAAGGAACTGAGCCAAGGTGGACCCCACAAGCAGAGGCCACATCAGCAGTGAGAAGAACTGCTGCAGGGTGTGGGTGCAGGAAGGGGCCACTCAAAGCCAGAGCAGCCTCCTGGAGAAGTCCCGCCCAGGGGAGTGCACTGCACCAGGCTGCAGGCCGGCACGCACACCCACCTCACAAGTGTTTGCTTATGGCAGAGGAGACAGAACAGCACCTGCACACTGCTCCCTGGAGGGCACCTGCTCAGTGACAGAGACGGGAAAAGAGCTCTGGTGGACCTACACACACACACACACACACACACACACACACACACACACACACACACACCAGACCAGCACGCACATTCATTCACACACACACACACACACACACACACACAGTGCAGACCAGCACACACATTCATTCTCACACGCACACACGCACACACACAGCAGACCAGCACATTCATTCACATATACACACACACACACAGTGCAGACCAGCAGACCTACACACACAGAGTGCAGACCAGCACACACATTCATATTCTCTCTCTCTCTCTCTCTCACACACACACACACACACACACACACACACACACAGTGCAGGCCAGCACACACATTCATTCACACACACACACAGCAGGCCAGCACACACATTCACACACACACACACACACACACACACACACACACACACACACACACAGCAGGCCAGCACACACATTCATTCACACACACACACACTGCAGGCCAGCACACACATTCTCCAGGGGGTTAACAGCAAATGACGTTTCAAGAGCAGTAACTTCCCTCTGACCACTGGCTGACGCTGAGTCAATGCACAAAGCCAGGTGTCTCCCTCCTGACCTAGCTGCTCCAGGCTGGGTATTAGATGTGCAGTCTCCACACGCTGCCCGCTCACTGCACAGAGGGCGAGGAAGGGATAAGGGCTCCCGCGTCTGCAGGGAGGCAGCTGTCACTTTTCCCAACAAGTACCTTGACAGCTGGTCCAGGAGCCACATCCTCCAAGACGTGAGCGCACACGTTGACCACCTTGAGCAGGTGCGAGAAGAGCTGCTCCACCATGGGCACCAGGCTGCGGTCGCCCAGCGCCGGCCACACCTCCTCCTGCTTGGGGGCTGCTGGGCTGGCTTCGTCCTCGGAGGTCCAAGGACTTCTCAGGGACCTGGGAGCACTGGCTGTGATGCAAGGATGTCCGTCAGATGCCCGCGCCACAGGGTGGGGAAAGCAGTCACCAGTTTACCCCCCGGCGGCCAGCGGATGCCTGTCCCTGCACGACACTAAGGCCTCAGGTTCAGCAGGGAAGTCCCATGTCCCTCAGCAGCCGGTGCCCCCGCCTCAGTGAGCCACCAGCAGCACACTCCTGCCCAGGCTGTGAAGCCACTCAGCCCAGGCCCTGCCATCCTCAAGGTTTCTGTCCCTCCCCCACACTGCACCTCTGCCACCTACACTCCACCAGCAGCCTAAGCTATCTGCACTGCTCGCTCACAGTCCCTGTCAGGAAGCTCGCCGACGGCTTCCACAGCAGAGAATCGGCCTGGGCGCGACAAAGCCCAGCTCCACACCCACCCTGTCCCTAAATGTCACACCCTGTTCCCATCTGCACACCCTGCCTGTGCTCTAGCCCGTCTGGCACGCGTATAGACCCGACGGAGCACAAGCAGCCGGCGTGTCCCACGTACCCCCATCTACAGGCTCACAGATGACAGCTCCTTCCGGGCCAGGCCCGGGTCGGCATCTGACATATCTGAGGTGTCTGAAGCACACACGTGCTTGCAGCTAACATCCGCAACGCCACCCGGCAGTGACCCTGTCCTATTTTCCTCCATGTGTCCGTCCACACTCACGACCGTCCCGGGGAGACCAACAGCTGGGGCCTTGGGCTCCTGCCCCCGCTCGGCACTCATACCTGCCAGCAGGTTTCCGGCCAACACCAGTGCGTCCTGGTGGGCTGAGAGGTCTAACGGGAACCAGGCCGAGGAGAGCAGGCTGAGGATGGTCGCGGCCATGCCCACGGTGCAGCTCTTCCTGCAGTCATCCGAGGCGCTCAGCGGGGGCACCCTGGAAGACGACGTTTCCAACATCAGACGCCCGGGCAGCACAAGCAACAGTGCTGCTTCCCCCTGCAAACTTCGAGTGGGGCAGACCACACACTTCACTCGACCCGAGGTGGCATCTGCCGTGGCCAGTCCTTGGCACCTTTCCTGGAAGCCAGGTAGGACGGACTGAAGGTGTGTGCCTGTGCCTGCGTTTTCAGCTGTTGAATAACAAACTGCCTCTGAGCTATGAGTCATGACGAGAAACGAGGCTGTTCAGTTGGAGTTTGTGGAAAGCAGAGCGATCGCGTGAGCCTCGTAAGGGAACGCAAGCTGGCCACGCACCACCACGTGTGAGAAGCCGCAGCCTGGCCTCATACCACGGCGTGAGCTCCACACACACCAGCTGAACCTCCCAGCGGAGCTAGTTCCTTCCCGGGCAGGGAGCTGGAAGGATTGCGAGGCGCCCCAGGGGTTTCCAATTTCAAGTCAAGGCTTCCTGGCGAGCACTCCCTCGGGCAGGCCTGCGTACCCCCAAGGCCAGGGCACTCGGATCTGCCAGCAGCACACGACACCCCAGCTCACGGCAGAGACCAGCACCTTCCACTGAGTCTTCCCAAAATCCCAGATTGATTGATAAGACAAGGGGAAGAACGGGAAACCACCAACTGTTTGTGTCTGCTGTGGCTACAGATGCCACACAGGGAGAATACTTACCCACAATGCCAGCCTAAACTCCACACGCAAACCGGGAAGGCAGCCGAGAGGAGGCACAGAGCTTCACAGCATCCGAACTGGGGAGACAGGAGGCCTGAGATGACACCCCACTCGCACAGGTGTGACGCAGAGGGCAGGCAGGACTGTGGGGGAAGCCCGCAGCCCCCTCGAGCTGCAAGGACAGCTCTGGGCGAGGGGGCAGCAGGACGCCTCCCCCAGCCTCCCTGGCTGGCGTGTCCTTGGTCCTGCGCCACCTGCGCTCTGCCAGCCCTCACCCACCCCGGCTGGGCCTCGAGCACCACCAAGTTCCCGGCCATGGTGCAGAGATGTGAACTCTGAGAACACCAGGGCCGGCATCCCGGGCGTTCTCATACCCCCCGCCTGGCAAGGGGCCTGATCCACGCAGGCCACAATAAAAGCCCGACGCTGTGTACAAGCTACACATCCCAACAAATGCAGAGCTGACGAATCAAGACTTGAGCAAATCTTAGCTGTTTCACATACAAGTATTTCTTCTGTCTTGCAAAATAAACGAAAAGGTTTAACTTGACAGTAGCAAATTAATAGCACTTTTCTGTAACAGTCCATAATTTACACTCCTAGAATTCAAATCGGCAAATTTCTGCTGCCATTCCTGAGCCATCTGGTAAGGGACATCTTTACAGCCTCCTTTTAATTCGATATTACAGCCCGTACAACTCGCCAAGGGCATCACATTCAGAGCTCAACATCCCAGCACATGCACAGTGCTCAACCTGCGGCTCTCGGACGTGGCCTGCACCATAGTAAGGACACAGCGGGTACAGGGGGCACAGGGGACACAAAGAAAAGACGCTGCAGAAACTCCTGCTGGCCTGGCAATCTCTGCCCATGATACCAGAGCGACCGCCGCTTTGCTTTCTGAGGAGCAGGGGCAGGAGCTCCCCTCGATTCACTGGTTGCCTCCCCAAACGGCCAGGCTGAAGCCCAGAGCTGGCAGCCCAAACCAGGTCTCCCACGGCCGTGGCTCAAACAGTTCTCTGGGTCACCATTGCTGCTTCCCCCAGTCTACAGGAAGCTAGTGCCAGGAGCTAGAGCCAGGGACAGAACCCAGGCGCAGCACACATGTCCAACGTGTGACAAACATGTCTTAAGGCCTAAAATGCTCGCCCCAATACTGGAAATATTTCTAACTTCCTAAAATTCAAATTATAGTAGTTTTAATTTTTACAGATTTCTACATTGGCTCAAATTTTAAAGATAAGTAAGTATTACTGTAATACAAAGCACAGTTTTTACCATAAAAAACCACACAGTTTTATACTGATCATCTAGGAGTAAGCCAGAATTCTGTAACTCCAAGCATCCTTTCAGGAAAGCCTCACCAGAGCAGGGGCCCTCACGGGTGTCCGGCCACCGAGCCCCCCACGGCCAGGGCCCACGCGGGTGTCCACCCAACGAGCCCCCCACGGCCAGGGCCCACGCGGGTGTCCACCCAACGAGCCCCCCACGGCCAGGACTCACGTGGGTGTCCACCCACCGAGCCCCCCACGGCCAGGGCCCACGTGGGTGTCCGCCCACAGAGCACCCCACGGCCGGGGCCCACGCGGGTGTCCGCCCAACGAGCCCCCCACGGCCAGGGCCCACGTGGGTGTCCGCCCACCGAGCCCCCCACGGCCAGGGCCCACGCGGGTGTCCACCCAAAGAGCCCCCCACGGCCGGGGCCCACGTGGTGTCCGCCCACCGAGCCCCCACGGCCAGGGCCCACGTGGGTGTCCGCCCACCGAGCCCCGCACGGCCCTTCCCAAGGAGACTTACTGTGAGCGCCCGCGTGGTCGAGGTGATGAGCTCCTGAGAGAGTGCCGCCACGACCCTTGAGAGGTTATTCTCCACAGTGACATCTGTTGAGCTTGGTAATAAGTTATAGCCTCTATAGATTCTAGCAAGGGAAATTCGGAGACATAAAACCTGGTAAGAGCACACGGCATTTTAAAAGACCAAATGGCATTCAGACCCGTAAGAGCAAAGGCTAAAGGAAGCTGCGGGGCACGGAACGCTGCTGTGGCCTTCGCCAAGGCCGAGTTGGTAGCATCCCTCCCCTGCTGCTCGCAGGGGCCACTGTTCCCACCCCTCACTGCAACCCCAAGAAACAGCTCTCCCCACCCCGGCAGCACTCTCTCGTGAGCACAGGCCTGCTTCCGTCTCAACCACAGTGAAACACAAACCCCCTCTGGCCGACCATCCGAACGAGACGGTGGTGTTCGCGCGCTCGCCCTTCACACGCTGCCCAGCGTCTTGCGCCCAGAAACACCAAACAAGGGTCAGGAGAGTATGATTTGACGTTCACACACAAATCCTAACAGAGGAGGGGCGACCGTCGCGCCACAGGTGCCCCTGGCAGCTGCACCCCGCACGTGGCTGCAGAACTGGCGTGATTCCCGTACCTGGTGACAGTGCTGACGGAGAAGTGAGAAGGAGGCTGTGTCTCGTGCATGAGCAGCTGCAGGTGCACACTGCTTTGCTCTCTCGCCACGGCCACCACCGGGTCTGCCTGTCCTTGGTCACACTGATAGAACAGCTTCGGGACGAGCCTGAGAGGCAAGTGAGTCCACTGTGAGTAAGGGAGCACATGACAGGCACTGGCAGCGTGCTCCCCCCGCAAACCCGTCCCCGTGGACAGTCTCCCGTGGGAGGACTCCAGGAGAGCGGCATTACTTTCGCAGTACCAGTCTCCATACTCCACAATGGGACCATGCAAATGCTTCCCTCTGAAAAGGGACGCCGCCATTCTGGGTTTTTAATTGTCCCTGTAGTTCTCACGGCAGCGAATAGTTTCCTAGACAGCTGAAGGTACAGAAGGCCCCAGGGGAGCTCAGGCGAGTGAGTCCTCGCGAGCTCGGCATCCTGGCCCGCTTCATCCGGAAAGGCAAAGTACCTTATCAAGGAGGCCGCTGCGACGCGGCGCACCCGGGGGTCCTCGTCCCCAAGCAGGTAGATGACAACCTTGTGAAGCACTCGCTCTTGCAGCTTCAAAAGCTTTTAAGAGAAAGATTTAAAAAACAGACACTGTGCAACTGACGGAATTCTCGGCAAAGTCCCTTGGAAAGCGACTGGTGAAGGACTCAGGACGACCTGGGCTAAATCCAAGCCATGCAGCCAAGGGCAAGACTCCCCACACCAAGCACATGGTCCATCGCACAGCACAGGGAAGGCCGAGAGAGCCACTCACCCCCGCGTAATGACGAGCGCCCCGATGCAAGCTCTCGGCTTTCGCCTCCAAAAAGCTCACGAGCCTGTGGAGAGAGCAGACACAGCAGCGCCCTGAGCTGCCGTGCGCAGAGTGCGGCCAGGACAGCAGGGGCCTCTGTAAACCTAACAGGCTCTCGGGTGCAACACGCACAGCCAGCGACAGGAAGGACCCGTCCTGGGTCAGCACTTCCACTCAGACTCCGTCACACAGTGCTTGGTCAACTGTGTCTCTGGAAAATAAACACCCACTATTCCAACAGATCTCAGATGAAATTTAAATAAATATTTAATAAATGGGGCCCATTGTTGTACATAGTGAGCTAAGCTAGCACTGGAGACACTGGTGTCCTTTATACACACCGGTTCAGATCCCACCTGCACCACTTACAGTCCAGCTTCCTGCTCATGAGCCAACTGTTCAGGGCCCTGCACCCAGGTGGGAACCTGGATGAAGCTCCAAGCTCCTGGCTTCAGCCTGGCCCAGCCCCAGCTGTGGGAGTGATCCAGTGGATGGAAGATCTCTCTAACTCTGCCTTTCAAATCCATTTTTGAATCAGTAATAATAAAATGAATACTCCAAGAACAGGGGGAAGTTCAGTCATAGTCACAGGAAGGGGGAGCCACTGTCAGCTCCTGGGCGACCCAGAGGCATGGCCCACAGGCCCCTGGAGCACTGCCGGCTGCATGAGCGGCTCCAGCTCGCACTGCTGGGCCGAGGCACCTCGACACTCACCTGAAGTCAACCTCGGCAAGGGTCTCCAGGAGCTCCGTCCGCACCAGCCAGTAGGAGCTGTTCTTCAGGGTCAGCAGCTCGATGAGCAGCTGCAAGCCCAGGTCACTATAGCTGCTACTACAGAGACTCATGATGCAGTGCTACAAAAGATGGCCAGGAGGCAGGCTCAGCCATGCACCTCCACGCTCTGCCCATGCGCCTCCACGCTCTGCCCACACACCTCCACGCTCTGCCCATGCACCCCCACGCTCTGCCCATGCACCTCCACGCTCTGCCCACGCACCTCCACACTCTGCCATGCACCTCCACGCTCTGCCCACGCACCTCCACGCTCTGCCCACGCACCTCCATGCTTGCCCATGCTCCTCCACAAGCGGTGCCCATATTTCTCAGAAAGGTCATAGTACAAACATTCCTTTGTAGACTAAGTATAAAAGTAAGCATGACCTTTTCGTATAACCATTTCTTTCCTCATCCCATTTCCACCTACTTCTTGGCCTCAGATGTGCAACAATTGCCCACCCCTTTCTTTGTGGGGAACAGGGAGACACTGTGGTCGACTCCACCGTCACTGATGCGCTCAGATCCCACATCAGGACCAGGGACCACACCCAGCCTCACTGCCTGAGGAACAGGGCAGACTGTCGCCCCCCAGGCGAGCTGGCACATCTGGAGGATATAAACTGGGGGCTGATAACGTGGCCCCCCAGTCAGAAACACAACTGTGCTGCCAACACACTCCCTTCTGCACAACAAAGACAACTGTGCTGCCAACACACCAAGAACACAGGCCTAGAGAACTGACAGGCCAGGAAGCTGATAAATGGGAGCCTGTCCCACACAACCTGACAAGGGAACCAGGAGGGTTCTGCTTTGCTTTAACTGGTTAACCCATTAGCTGTGACTTCTGAAGCAGCTGTTTTAGAAGGTTCCACGTGCTGACAACTGAAAGGAAATCCCACCTGGTACAAAGAGACAGTTTAAATAACACTGACTTAATGTGCTGTGTTTCCAAATATACCATCCAGGCAAAGGCGGACTTCAAACAAACACTGTGCGAATTACAACCTGAAGCAGGAAGTGTGAACTGCTCCACAGACAGCAGCACAGGATACAGTGGAAAGTGAAGAGGCCCACCCAATGAAGCTCCTATTTAACCGACACAGCCCAGGGCCCGGTGTGCTCGCCCTCACGCCCGGGGCCCGGTGTGCTCGCCCTCACGGCCCAGGGCCCGGTGTGCTCGCCCTCACGGCCCAGGGCCCGGTGTGCTCGCCCTCACGCCCGGGGCCCGGTGTGCTCATCCTCCACCCAGGGCCCGGTGTGCTCGCCCTCACGCCCGGGGCCCGGTGTGCTCGCCCTCATGCCCGGGGCCCTGTGTGCTCATCCTCCACCCAGGGCCCGGTGTGCTCGCCCTCACGGCTCAGGGCCCGGTGTGCTCGCCCTCACGGCTCAGGGCCCGGTGTGCTCGCCCTCACGGCCCAGGGCCCGGTGTGCTCACCCTCACGGCCACACATGCCAACTTGCAGGTAACGGAAGATTCATCCTTCAGCGTTTTCTGCAGCAAAGGAATGCAATCCGCCAGAGAGAATGTGTTTCCTAACCAAAGAACAAGCAATAAACTCATGTGACGTAAGCTTCAGCTCTGGAGTGCTCTCTAGAGAAGCCACAGGGTCGGTTGGCCTGTACCTGTCCGGGCTCTCACAGTACCCATCCAGTCCTCCACGCGGAAGCGGGACTGGCTGAGGATGGCACAGACCAGGGTCCCGCACAGGATGGCCGTGGCTCCTCGGACCTGGGGGTCCCCATGATCGATGTAGCTGAGGATGTCCGACACATACTGCTCCTCTGTGGACACAAGCACTCAGCCACTAAACATCTGTACAAGCAACTTCTATTCTTACCAAAGAAACAAAGAATGCAGATAGGGTCAGGTGGGGGGATTTCCAAATGCAGAAATAACTAAACAGTAACCAAGTGACGTGGAGCAGCAGCGTGAGTGCTGCCTGTAATGCCAGCATCCCGCATGCATGTTAGTTCAACTCCCAGCCGCTCCAGGTCCAATCCCGCTGCCTGCTAATGTGCCTGAGAGGTCCCCGCACCGACACGGAGACACACATGATGCTCCTGGCTTCAGCTTGGCAAAGCCCCACCCATTGTGGCTATCTGGTTAGTGAACCAGCTAAGGGAACATCTCTCTGTATAACTCAGCTTTCCAAGTAAATAAAATAAACCATAATGGAATTTAAGGATTCCAAATTTATCATACTACTAATCTTTTCTCAATACAATAGACTCGGGATTGTAACACCAGGCTTTCACACAACAATCAGAATTCTACGATTTTATTTCAAAGCTCAAATCACTACATGTTTGCCCAGTGTCAACTCAAAAGCACAGCCTCTCTGCTCTGTCGGGGAGGACACAGGATTCCTCCTGTGCTACCCTCTCAGGGACAGGAAGAGATGGGCCCGCGGCAGGGGGACGCAGCAGGGGGACGCAGCAGGCGGTCTGCAGGGGGACAGGGCCTGCAGTGCAAAGGGGACGGGGCCGCGGCAGGAGGACGTGGGGCCGCGGAAGGAGGACGTGGGGCCGCGGAAGGAGGGGACGGGGCCGCGGCAGGAGGACGTGGGGCCGCGGCAGGAGGACATGGGGCCGCGGCAGGAGGGGACGGGGCTGCGGCAGGAGGACGTGGGGCCTGTGGTAGGAGGATTTGGGCCTGCTCAAGTCCAGCCATTCTGTGCTCCCAGCGCTCTAAGCCGTGAAGGCACACTGTGCACTTCAGGCCTAAGCTCCACAGGCACGGAAACTGGCTCCCATTGCCCAGATTTCTGTTTTCCACTTTCCACTTTAACTCTGAGCATCCTCTCTAAGGGAGCTGGCTACCACCCAGGTTTAACGGAGAATTACAATGCAGAACACTAGAGGCCCTGAGACCACAAGAGCCGAGGCTAAGGAAGCCACTCTGAACGCAGAAGGAACGTAACGTGTGTGTGTCACCTACCGGGGGACTCCGCAGTGTCAAGAGGAGCTTTGTACAGTCTGCTGAAGAAGGATTCGGGGTGAAGGCCCGCCGCTGCCCCGATGCAGCTGAGGGCTAGGGCCTTCACGCTGACCCTCACGTCCCTATCCGGAACCAGCACTGCAAGAGACCAGCAGCCACCTTCAACCCAAAAGCAGCAGGCAGATAGCTTCCAAATAAGCAACCAGGACCCCATAAACTAGCTCCCCCACAGCATCCCACCAGCTGTGAAGTTCAAAGCTGGTACCCCACTGTGCTACAGTCAGGGAACCGTGCAAATGCAGCCTAGATGTCCAGAACCCAAAGTGTTCCCTCTGTACTTACCGCTCTTCTCGCCAGTCAGCAAAAAGGACGCTGATAAAAGGCGGACACAGTGGACGAGAGGAGCAGAGTCGCCATCAGTGGCTTGTCCTATGTCGCCTCTGATGCGGCACAGCTAGACAGAGAGATGGAGGTGGGCTGGTCTGCCTTGTGACCAAAGCAATACATCCATCTACTAAGCCGACATGCGAGACATTTATGGCCGTAAGTGTAGGGCACAGGGCAGGGGATGAGCCTGGCACGCATGGAGGGCACACTGGTGGAATGGTCACAACTGAGGGCTCAGGAAAGACTGCCTGGGACAGCAGCAGCAGAGAGGAGTAAGGCTGGGGGACGCCGAGGCCAGGGAGCAGGCCTGCATTGGGGGGGTCTAGGAAGGACCTGCTGGGGGACGCCAAGGCCAGGGAGCAGGCCTGCATTGAGGGGGTCTAGGAAGGACCTGCTGGGGGACGCCGAGGCCAGGGAGCAGGCCTGCATTGAGGGGGTCTAGGAAGGACCTGCTGGGGGACGCCAAGGCCAGGGAGCAGGCCTGCATTGGGGGGGTCTAGGAAGGACCTGCTGGGACGCCGAGGCCAGGGAGCAGGCCTGCATTGAGGGGGTCTAGGAAGGACCTGCTGGGACGCCAAGGCCAGGGAGCAGGCCTGCATCGGGGGGTCTAGGAAGGACCTGCTGGGGGACGCCGAGGCCAGGGAGCAGGCCTGCATTGAGGGGGTCTAGGAAGGACCTGCTGGGGGACGCCGAGGCCAGGGAGCAGGCCTGCATCGGGGGGTCTAGGAAGGACCTGCTGGGGGACGCCGAGGCCAGGGAGCAGGCCTGCATCGGGGGGGTCTAGGAAGGACCTGCTGGGACGCCGAGGCCAGGGAGCAGGCCTGCATTGAGGGGGGTCTAGGAAGGACCTGCTGGGACGCCGAGGCCAGGGAGCAGGCCTGCATCGGGGGGTCTAGAAGGATCTGCAGAAGAGGCATCTCTGACTAATCAAACTATCAACATGTGCTCCCTCAAGGACTTAGAGCACATCACGTTCTCACACACAGCGGCGGGGGTGGGGGCACGACAAACAAGAACCTGAGCCCACGCACACCACCACGCAGCGGCCAGGAGAGCTGTCCTCAGCGCCCCAGGCATGCCGGGCACGCCAGACCTGCACCTCACCTTGGTTTCCGGATCCTCATCTCGGGGAACAAGCCTCTCCAGGCTACTGTCGGAGGACTGCCTGCTGTGACCGGTGGTCTTCAACGAATGGACCTGCTGAAGGGCTTCAAGACAGAGGCAGAGAGGAGGCTGTCAGCGCCCCGCGCCAGCACAAACCCTCCCACTCAGGCCCAGAGCACACGGCAGCACAGAATCCACAGTGAGAGACACTGTGTCCCAGAGACTGAGGCAGAGAAAACAGACATGGCAAGGTGGCCAGGGTGGTCACCGCAGTCACCTGCTGCCCACGCACCAAGGGAAGAGTTCCTGAAGGCCTCTTCTTCCTCTCCTTCATCCTGGAGCTGTCCAAGCCGTGTGCCCACGTCGTGGCTGTCGGCACCGTCCAGCACCTGAGTGGTGTGAGGGGGCCATGAGATGCTGAGCAGCAACCCCCAGAGGACATGGCCTGGACAGACCAAGCGCACAGAACAGTCACTCGCGGGAACCCAGGGCGGCCGGGCGCCACCTCTGCTGCACAAGGCAGGCCTTTCTGGCTGCCAGCTTCAGTTCTAACCTGGAAATCTCGCTTTCTGACAGAAAAAGGAAAACCAAAACAAAACTCTAGCCTCATAAATTCTTCCAGGTTATTGGAAATGAAGACAAAACTTTCAGAACAAAAACCCATTAATAGTTATTTCTTAAACTGCTAGTACCCGGCACTAACCGGGGCTCTGTTCCCTTCGTCTGGCCCAAGGTCTGGCCGTGGCAGCAGGTGGCAACAAGCTCCCCTCAGCTGCTACCCCAGGCCAGGGACTGAGTGACGGACTCCCAACCACAGTGGGTCGGTACTGAGACGTACCTCTACTGCTGCCTCGCGCTTCTTAAATTTTTTGTTTGAAAGGCAGATTTACACAGAGAGCAGAGACAGAAAGAGACAAGCTCCACCCCCGGGTTCACTCCCCAGATGGCCACAATGGCCAGAGCTGAGCAGTCTGAAGCAGGGGCTTCCTCTGGTGCGTTATACGGTGCAGGACCCAAGGACCTGAGCCGTCCTCTGCCACCTTCCCAGGCGCATTAGCGGGCAGCTGGGATTAGAACTGGCAACCTCATGAAATGTGGACACCAAACATGGAGGCTTAGCCTGCCACAGCACAGTGCAGTCCTGGCGATGCTGTCCTAAGAATACAGACTGGGGTCAGCACCGTGGGACAGCACAAGGAGACAGCATGCCACACGGGTGCCCGGTCCATGTCCAATCCTGCTGGGGTCCATGCAGTAGGTGTGGATGACACAGAGGTGTGAAGAGAACAGCTCCCCTGTTTGACAGGGCCTGGCGGGTGTCTCTCTGACCACCTTGACACAGTCTCACCCCCTTTTTGCATGGACACTTGATCACCCCACTAAGAATTCTGTAATCTATTGAGGCACTGTTGTTTGCCCCTGTGAGATGGTTTCTGCTACCGATGTGAGCTGGAGAGTTAATGTCACTGATCACGTCTTGGTGGGTGGGCCTTTAACTGCACACAAGAGTGCAATGAAGCCATTTCTGGACACCCGACTGTGTGCCTACCCGTTGCCCTGGAATCTGGCCCAGACATGTAGCATGCATTCTGGGAAATGGCTTGATAAGAATTCTACAAACTAATGGAAGTGATGGGAGTATAAGCGGAAACTGCTATGGCAAAAAAAATATAGTTACTGTGACCTTAAAGGTTAGCCTGTCCTTGCAACTCTTTAGAGCATAGAAAATGTAGCTGCTTTAGCCGCTTTCATAGTTTTTCAACTAGAGGAAATATAGGATGACTATTAACATCACAGAGATATACTTTTGATTATTGTTTGATTGCTTATGAGGCTGTAGAGTCTGCAGTTGGAGGGGGACTGAATGTTTGAAGCTTTCTGTCTTAGATCCTTAGTTTTTTCTCTTTTGATGTATTTCTCCCATTAAGTGATAGATAAGTTGTGAAAATAAAATGTAGTAGGAATGTTTTACTGATTAGCAGGTAACCATCTGTGCCTTGGCCTTGGAGTTCTGGCTGTCACCTAGTGGCCACTACTGAACAATGAATAACGGCTTGCTTTAAAGAAACTGATTATAGTAACTACAGAATTATCTTTAAGAGCAGCTGGTTGACCATGAAGTAAAGAATATAATAATGAAACATCTGTGCACACCCAGTTAGTCATGAAGTAACAACAGAACAATCAAACGGTTGTGCAGAGGCCTGTGATGTGTCTGAGTAAATAGGACAGCTTCTCCTTGAGCAAGAGGGCACCACGTGACAGTGTCTGTGTCTTTATCGCCAACTCCACGCTCCCTTCTCGAGCTCCCAACTCAGCTGGAGCTGGCCTCTGACACAATCCAGCTCCCTGCTAACGTGCCTGAGAAAACACTGCAAGATGGCTCAAGTCCTAGGAGCACTCAAGTCCACACAGGAGCACTCAACAAGCTCTTGGCCGCCAGCTCCCACTCAGCCTATCTCCGGCCATTGCGGCCATTTGGGGATGAATCAGCACATGGAAGATCTCTTTCTCACTTTCTTTCCCTTAGCTTCAATTTTAGAATAAAAATTGAATAAACCAATTTCGAAAATGACTACAGATATGTTAATAACAGACTCCTTCAGGATTCTTAACCAGGGCCCAGGGCACAGGGACTAGGGGAAGTAAACTGTAGGACAGGAAGGCACTGCGCAGACAGGACGGAGTGCGGGGTGAGCACAGTACAGGACAGGACGGAGTGCGGGGTGAGCACAGTACAGGACAGGACGGAGTGCGGGGTGAGCACAGTACAGTACAGGACGGAGTGCGGGGTGAGCACAGTACAGTACAGGACGGAGTGCGGGGTGAGCACAGTACAGGACAGGACGGAGTGCGGGGTGAGCACAGTACAGGACAGGACGTAGTGCGGGGTGAGCACAGTACAGTACAGGACAGGACGGAGTGCGGGGTGAGTACAGTACAGTACAGGACAGGACGGAGTGCGGGGTGAGCACAGGACAGGACAGGACGGAGTGCGGGGTGAGCACAGGACAGGACGGACGGAGTGCAGGGTGCCCTGGCTGTTTCCCCTGAGCTTGCTCCAATGCACAGAGCTCAAGCAGTGGGCCCTACCCCACATGGGAGCTCTACACTGCAGCCTGCAGTCCTGATACCTCCCACCCAGACCCAGTCACTGTGGGTACTTCTGAAAAATTAAAGCAGGTAAACCACGCTTACGGCCTTGTTCAACCCAGAGCCACAGAGCTGCTTCCCATGGGGAGCATCAGCCGAGGGCACACTGTCCAGGAGGGCACAGTGTCCAGCAGGGCCCGGAGCCACATCAGGGAGATCAGACAGCAGCAACAGAGGGGGCAGGCCTGGGTCCAGGGCAGGGCCCAGGAAGACAGGCACCACCCACCCTCACCACAAAGCAGGGCGCTCCTGTGTACTTACAATTTCAGAGCTGTCTGACGGTGTCACAGCGGAATCAGGCCCTTCGGTGGTGGTCTGGGAGCTGTCACTGATGGGAGAGGAGGCCTGCGTCCCGTCGTTGAGGTCCATGGCAGGGTCGGAGGGGACAGCACTGATCTGGCTGGAGCTGTGGCTCAAGATGTCCTCCTCGTCCGCATCGGTGGCGGCACTGGCCAGGTCACAGCTGGACAGATCCACAGAGTCCGCCTGCAGCGTGTGCTGGGAGCGCGGCTGCTCCGTGATGATGTCATGGTCCACAGCACCAACAGCGGCGACTCCTGAGGCCACAGCCAGCTCGGCCCCGATCTCATCCTTGACAGAGGCTAGACAGAGAACAGCCAGCGGCCGGGCGCTGGGCGTGCTGCTCACTGCTCGGAGACCCGCAGATCATCAGAGCCCGTACACCCAAGGCAGGGTGGCAGCACACCCTTCACTCACTCACTCACACACACACCAGCACACCCTTCACTCTCTCACACACACACACACCAGCACACCCTTCACTCACTCACACACACACACACCAGCACATCCTTCACTCACTCACACACACACACACCAGCACATCCTTCACTCACTCACTCACTCACTCACACACCAGCACACCCTTCACTCTCACACACACACAAGCACACCCTTCACTCTCTCACACACACATGCACACCCTTCACTCTCACACACACACACCAGCACACCCTTCACTCTCACACACACCAGCACACCCTCCACTCTCTCACACACACATGCACACCCTTCACTCTCACACACACACACAAGCACACCCTTCACTCTCACACTCACACACCAGCACACCCTCCACTCTCACACACACACACACACACCAGCACACCCTCCACTCTCTCACACACACACACCAACACACCCTCTTCTCTCTCTCTCTTTCTCTCTCTCACACACACACCAGTACCACCCCCAACCTCTCATTCTCAGTGAGATTTATGTAAGCATGAGGGTCCACTGCAGATGATGGACACTGTCCAGTAAACACTTGAAGGTGAGCTCACTCTAGAACCTTCCAGCCCTAGTGGGAGCCCCGATCAACAAGTGCAGTAGCCCAGAGACAGCAAAGAGTGCTGGTTGGCTAGGCCAGGCACTCCACATGAGGGGTGGTCAGAAGCGACAGAAGTTCAGCCTGCCATCATAGAAAGTTCCTAACTCAGTCTTATTTGCCTGTGGCATAAATTCACACCACATTCTCTTAGTCCAACTTTTAAACAATCCATTGAAATACAAACCAGCATAAATAAAGTCAGCACAGCAAGGCCTACGCTATCAGCAACCGTCACTCCAGGGACAACCGAGCCGGTCAGCAGCTGAGCTTCTTCCACGACAAACAGCTGTAATTTCTCTTTTGTAATCATGAAAAACTAATTTTTTGTAAAATGAACAAATAAATAACTACCACTGCACTTACTCGACTTTCCTTTTTCAATAAGAGTGGCTTAGCAGGCTAGGCTGCTGCCTGTTACAGTGACACCCACACCGGGTGCCGCTCCAGTCCCAGCTCCCTGTGAACATGCACGGGGAGGCCGGAGAAGACGGCCCAGGGCTCGGGCCTGTGCTGCCCAGACAGAGCTCCGGGCTCCTGCTCAGCCCAACCGAGACACACCTGTAGGCACCTGGGCAGTCCATCAGCAGATGCAAGACATGCAAGACCTCCCCCACTCCCCTGACCCCCACACTCTTTCCCAAGTGATTCCTTTCAAAAAAGTAAATGATAAGGGTTTAGCACAATGGTGCGTGACCTAAATCCTCACCTTGCACACCCCTGGATCCCATATGGGGACCAGTCCATGTCCCCGCTGCCCCGCTTCCCGTCCAGCTCCCTGCCCAGCTGCCCTGGTTCACGTCCAGCTCCCTGCCCGTGGCCTGAGAAAGCAGTGGAGGACGGCCCAGGGCCTTGGGACCCTGCACCTGAGTGGGACACCTGGAGGAAGCTCCTGGCTCCCCGGCTTCAGATTGGCTCAGACCCGGCTGCTGAGGCCGCTGGGGGAGAGAGTCAGCAGACGGAAGACCTTGCTCTCCCCTTTCTGTAAAGCTGCCCTTCTTTTCGTTGTTGGTGTTTGGGTTCTGTTTTTGTTTTGCTTTTGTTTTACTTTTTTGTAAACCTGCCTTTCCAATATGAATAAATAAATAAATCTGAAACAAAGATTACCCTGGTCTAACTTTCATTCACATAAAATGAGTGAGGGAGGATTATCCAACCAAGCCCACTGTCATTTGATCCAGTCTGCCGTATTTTAATGCCATCTTTCATAAAGTACACACAATGTAATTAGATAAGCTATCTGGCCCATTTTCCGATCAACGCACGGGACTTGGAGCCGGCCTCTCCCACGTGCACAGCCGCACTCGGGCACTGCAGTGCATGTTGCACTCAGACATGCGGCAGCCCCAGTCCCCCGCGGCACAGGGAGCTGCAGGGCAGGGGGGACCCCACGCGTGTCCAGCTCGGCTGCCGGCCAGCGGGCCTACCTGCGAAGGCTGAGCTGCTCGCGTCAGACCTCGACTCCGAGTCATCTCCCCAGACTTCCTCTTCTCCCAGGAGCACTTTACCTGGCAACCAATGCAGCAAAATTCCTTTTAAGTTTACTAAAAACAAGGACTTTACAAATTAGGTAGATGCTTTATCACTCTAGCTTATACCTTATGAATATTCAGCACAAAGAATGCAACTATTCTAGAATCTTATCAAACCATTACACCAGGCAGCGGTTCTCATGCTTAACACAGCGTGCTGAAGCAATTAACACGACTGACATAGATCACCATTTTGAAATAACTTGCATTACTATTTAATCTTAGAAATACTAAGGTGTAGCTGAGAAGATCCAATCCCATTAGCGCTTAGAGAATTCTCTGGACTTGCCGCGGCCACCTCAGAAACCACCAATAAAACTTCCCGCCCAGAGTGCCTTTCGCCTCCCTGTCAGCTGACAGAACTTGGCAGTGAGCAATGTGAGAAGATGAAAGGAGACTTCTCAAAGTTCTAAAAACACATATCCAAGTTCAGTTCAAAGTACACGGAGGCAACAGAAGACACCCAGGATCCCGCCTGACGCGCGGGCGGATAAAAGCTGCTAAGATACTTCCACGAGCGGTCGGAGGCACGGCCACCTCCATCGCCAGTGACACCACAACTCTGCAAAGGCTCAGTGTCACACCACCACCTAGCTTAAGCACCAAGCCAGAGGACCCTGCAGTGAGCTACCTGTGAGTGAGGGAGGGCCGCCCCACCACACGTGCCATGGCCACACGACGGGCTGATGATGGCCTGGCCGGCATCCCTGGAAATACGGACTGTGTCACTCGTGGGCCCACTCGTGTGCTGCAGTGTTCATCAAGCAGTATTCGTACTCGAGCCCATTTTGGCAAATGTTTACTTAACTCAGTGAGTTCTACAATTCTGATATTGCTAAATCCCATTCAGTACTGCGAACACTATTGGAAATACCACTCAAATCTTGCCATGAGAAGGGCTTAATCTCATAAGATTCAAGACAGAAAATCACAACAATTATTCCATAAAAGAAAACACTTGGTGCTAGAAAATGGTAGTATACTGCCACTGGCACAATGCCACGGCTGCCTAACCCTTCACTTGCAGCACCAGCTTCCTATACAGATGCTGGTGCAAGTCACAGGTGCTCCACTTCCCAATCCAGCTCCCTGCTGTGGCCTGGGAAAGCAGAGGACAGCCCAAAGCCTTAAGCCCTGCACCCACACGGGAGAGCGGGAATAAGCAGCTGGGCCCTGGCTTCAGATTAGCTCAGTTCTAGCTGTTGCAGCCATTTAAGGAGTGATCCAGCAGACAGAAGCTCTCTCTCTTCCAAGCTAAATAAGTTTTGTTTTAGAAAACAATGATAATATACCAAAACTACAAGATTATATCAGAAACAGAATTCATTTATTTTAGCAAATTTAGTGAACCTAAGTACCAGATCAGTGTGGTATGTATAGAGTTAAGTATCATTGAAAGTGGTCACCATGTCCAAATTCACATAATTCCAAAGCAGACATTTAATCATATGGCCAATATCAAACCAAACCCATGGGGAAGATCCACTTCCTGCGCAGAACTCAGCCCCACACCCGGCCACACAGTGAGCGTGGGACAGTGGGCTCCAGCAAGGCGTGGCCACAGAGCAGTCAGGGCCTTCTCTGCGCAGTTCAGGGTGAGCAACGGACAAGCCGTCAGGAGCTGCACTCCCTGAGGGCGACAGAGAGGCCGAAGGGACAGGACACAGGGGGACAGCAGGCGCCGCAGTAATCACCTTTGTGCTTTCTGGCAAGGACAGGGCTGCATGAGGAACCCCCTCCAGCTGCAAATCAGAGAGAGCGACAGGTGAGTGCAAGCTGCTGGCACCCGGAGAACCATGATTGCTCACAAAGTCTGACTCACAGTACCAAAATTCAACGCTTCAATCACAACCTCAATGTTAACACCGACACTCAAATGTGCGAAAATGTGACGTAAAATATCAAAATAGCTAAAATAATCACACTTACAAAGCCAAATAAAAAAAAACATTAGAAATATCAAAAGTATTTGGCCAACAAATCTAGCATAAACTTGCTTTGGAAACAAGCTTTCACTCCACCACTGTGCCGGGCGTACCCCGGGCAGACATGACCAAGGGCCCACCACTGTGCCGGGCGCACCCCGGGCAGACATGACCAAGGGCCCACCACTGTGTTGGGTGCACCCCGGGCAGACATGACCAAGGGCCCACCACTGTGCCGGGCGCACCCCGGGCACACATGACCAAGGGCCCACCACTGTGTTGGGCGCACCCCGGGCAGACATGACCAAGGGAATGCACAAGACACACGGCCGCAGACACTCAGGCAGCTGACAGTGTGAGTGTGCTGAGGTGAAGGAGCAGTTGCACCTGCTCAGTCACGCTGCATTTTAGTACAGGGGCTCCCACGACTCCAGTTCCCAACAGGGCCCACCGTGCAGGCAGCTGGAACCAGGAGCCAGCCCCCGGCAGTTCTGGAGAGAGCAGCCAACATGGGGCAGTGGGGGCATGGGGCGGCTGCAAAGTCGAGGGTAGAAGTGCTGAAGCCCGCACCCAGAGGACAGAGGAGAGTTCTGGAACCGACACAAGAAGGATCCTGGAAAAAATACCTTTGCCTCTTAGCACACTGGAAATGCCACAATGACACAGCCATGTCCTGCCCAAAGAGCCAGAGGTTGCGCACTGGGATCAAATACTGACCATGTTTTATTATCAACTAATGGCTCTTCAGGAACAAAGATACGGACTGTTCAGCTTGGGGCGAGGTCCACAGCCCTACAGGGCACTCACAAGCTCATGACATCACAACTGTCTTACCGAGAAGTTCCACAATGCTCCCGCTGCGACTCCGGCTGCTGGATTCCTCTCTGGCGGCGGCAAGCTGCCCAAGGCCGCCTGGTGTAGTCAGAGCTTGCAGGAGCTCCGGTGGGGGGGTTCGCAGGAGCTGCTGCAACAGCTCCAGTGCCCCTGTGACAACGTTGTGGTCGTGGTGCTGGGTGTGGCGCAGCGTCAGCTCATAAACCTGCAATTACAAACACGGGGTCTGGCCGCAGCTCCGTGGGCTTGGCTGTTTGTTTTTAAGTGACCAGAGAGGATAGCAGGATCTCGCCGGTGGCCACTTCCCAAATACCCACAGCCACCAAGCCAGAAGAGAGTAACCTAGCTGGGTCTCTCACGTGGCAGCAGGGGCCCAGGTCTTTGGGCAGCTTTTATTATCAGGGAGCTGGACCAGAAGTGAGGCAGCCGGGACTTGAACCGGCACTCACAGGGGATGCTGGTGTTATGCGCATCAGCATTAACAGTCTGTTACAACACACACCTCTCCCTTTTTCCAAATAGGTCTTTTTGTGCTGACATTAATTCCATCCACCAGAGACGCAGCGTGCTAAGGCTTGTGAACCCCAGTGCTGCTGACCAGTCAAGGGGCAAGGCCCAGTGCACGTGAGGTGGCAGCTGGAGGGGCAGGTATCAGCACACCTACCAAATGGGATCAGTGCTGCCCACCCCACACGCCGCTGCTACACACAAACTCATCATTCCCTTCAGTTAGGGTCACCAGAGACAACAAAGGTGTATGGTAAAATCTGAATTTCAAATAAATGAAAACTGATGTTTAGTATAAGTATATCCCAATATGGCATAGATCTAATACCACAAATTACTCACAATTTATCAGAAGCTCAAATGGCACTGGCACCTGTACTTTTATTTGGAAAGTTTGCCAATTCTACAGTTACCATGGAAGTTAACACATATACACACACATATATTTCTTAAAAAATCAGTGTAGAAAATAAAAAGCCAAAGTGGCCATCTTCATCATCTATTTTAACTCTTCATATATATATATTTCAAAGGCAGAGTCACAGAGAGAGATCACGGGCACACTCCAGATGGCTCAACGGCAGGAACTGACTAAAGCCGCGAGTCCAGAGTTCCCTCCGGCTTTCCCTGGGAAGGGCAGGGCACCCGGGCCATCCTCCCTCTCCCACAGGGACAGCGGGGCACCCGGGCCATCCTCCCTCTCCCACAGGGACAGCGGGGCACCCGGGCCATCCTCCCTCTCCCACAGGGACAGCGGGGCACCCGGGCCATCCTCCAGGGCCTCTCAGCCACACTAGCATGGAGCAGGATCTAGATGGAAGCATAAGTAAGATCCCAATCACATCCCGCATGGGATGCCAGCACGGCAGACTGACTTCAACAGTCAGCTGTGCCATGACACTGACCAGCCTAAATCTGGAGGTTGACCAGCCGCCGTCTCCAGGCCCATCGAGCCCAGGCCTGCTTCTGAACGCAGCACAGGGGCTGTCGGGGGGCCTCTGAAGCACACTGTTAGAGTGAGAGCGGCCGTGGATGCTCTGGGACTCCCTGCCAACACCTCATTATGGAAGGCATTCTCTCTAGCAGAGCGCCTCCTGCCCGTTCTCTAGGAGAGGGGGGCCAGCACCCACACTTTCCACTCCTCGGCTGCTCCCCCAAACACCAAGGGCAGCAGCAACAGTGTCCACATTCCCACAGTCACATGTCCCTGGACACAACTTCAATCTTTTTTTTTTTTTTTTTAAGATTTATTTGTTTAAAAGTCAGAGTTACAGAGAACCAACACCAAGCAAGAGACAGACCATGTATCTTCCAGTTCACTGCCTAGGGGGTGGCAAGGCCTGGGCCCCGGGGGAGGCCAGAGCCAGGAGCTCCTTCCAGGCCTCCCCAAGGCTGTCAATGAAGTTGGGCCATCTTCCCCTGCTTTGCTCAGGACGCTGGCAGGGAGCTGGATCTGAGGTTGAGCAGCAGTTCAACAGAAGTTGAGCAGGTGGTGGCTTTACCCACTAAGGCACAAAGCCAACCCCACTGTTTAAATCTTACGTGCTCTCCCTTGAAGTCTAAAAACTTAATGAAAAATAACAGTACGTATCTTGTTAGCTATTTCTGCCACAAATCCAAGATGCCAGACACAACGAGCGAATCACAAAAGAGGTCCTTTATGAGGGCAGGGAGAAAGCATGAGCAGAGAGAGGAAGAGAGAGGACAGAGGAGGTGGGAGAGCAGAGAGGGTGCAGAACAAAGGCAAGGCACCTTTACAGCAAAGCGCTGGGGACGGGAGTGCAGCTCTGAGCGCTCACAGGCAGGAGGGCGGATCACCGAGCAGGGCCGCCAGGGACGGGCCAGGAGGTACAGAGCTTGGCAAAGAACACAGTTTAACCCTAAAGGGCATGAAGCTCCCTCGGCAAGTGCACCTTAAGGGGCCCGAGACGTAGGGGATTTTAAAGTGGCACCGGGTAAGCAGGTATTTAAGATGGCGGTAGGTCTAATCTGTCTTCAGGTCACTTCTTTCTGAGTCACCCCTTACAGAGTTATTCATGGATACATATCAATGTACAAAATAAGCACATTAATGTAACCAAACCCAACGGGCAGATGGACTACCTTCTAATCTACCTGCTGCGTGCGCACAATCCCCCACACCTCACCCTGCCACACCATCGGGCACTCCTCCACCACCCGTGAGTAAGCTGTGCCCAGGCCTTGCCTCTTCCCTGCTGCCCCGCCCGCCACCTGTTGCAAGGGTTACTTCCTGGGGCTCCCAAGCAGAACAAGCCATGGCTTGGGCACCTTCCTCCTTGAACCTGAGAGCATCTTACTGTGAGAGCAGCAGGGGAACCATGCGGAGCTCTGGCCGCCTCCAGGGACCCACACCGCACCCCAACAGGCTTTTCCCATGCCTCCCCGGTCAGGGGCAGGGGCAATCGCCACTGTACTTCGGTGCCTGGCACACACAGGGAGCTCAACGTGCACCACGTGGATGAACACGTTTTCTGACCCCACTTTCAGAAACAAGGCAGCAGCGGTCCCCATGCCAGGCAGGGACTCATGTGACGCACAAAATGTTTTCCTGTCACTTAAAAGGACACTGGCCATGGCAACTGCGTGGCCCCACCACAGAGCCCACACTGACTCGTGGCTCTTTGGAGGTGTGCCACTGAAGCCCAGGGCCCTGGTCAGGTGTGCACCTACCTGGACAAGCTGCTCTGCCGAGGGGCAGACTTCCATCTCCTTGCGTGTCACCCCAAAGCTGCCCTTCAGGCTGGTATCCTTGACCTGCTGCTGTAGCAGGGGCACCAGATAGCGCAGTGTGAGCAGCACCCCAAGGACCAGGACTGTGGGGTGCTCTTCCTCCACAGGAACCAGCAAACCTGCAAAGGCAGCACCAGGTCAGGAACTGTGCGGACCGGGCGGCCCCAGGAAGGCTCGTGGAGCCTGGCCGTGAGGCACAAAGGCACCTGAACACAGGTCCTCGCCCAGAGTAAATGACCGCTAGCTCTCTGCGGCATTTCTAGTCCTGATCTCAGTTGCCAAACTACAGGAAATGTTGGCTGGCCCAGGAGAACCCGCAGGGGCAGACCCACTGCCCAGCCAGGTGTCCTCCAGCCTGACTGGGTCTGCAGGGCACAGAGACCCCGGCTGAGCCCCAGCAGCCCCAAGGCACTCCACACTCACTGGCCTAATCTGGAAGAGGGGCGGTTCCACCATAACGGCTGGCGGAGGTCCACTCCGAGTAGAGGCTGGGGACCCCACGCCTGGCCTCTCCTCACCTAAGAGCACGTTCAGCAGCCAGCTATAGAAATACTGTGTCCTCCGCGAGTGCTGGCAGACGCTCACGGCCACGCTGGCTGCTGTGCGCCGGACGGCCGAGGAGCTCGACTTCAGGTTTGCGACGAAAGCCTTTAAGAGAACCTGGGAAGCAAAAGTCCACGTGTTCCAAAGAGGAAGCCGCTGGGAGAGCTCTCCTTTCTGTCACACCACCTCACCAAGGGCAGGCTCACGGCGGCACTGCTGACACCTCACCTTACCCTTCCTCTAACCTGCACACAGGAACTCCGCTGCAAGCCACCACAGTCACAGGCTCAGGCACTCCTCCGATGGAGTGTGAGACCCCCAGGACTGGCACACACTCCAAGGAAGAGGAGGCGAGACCTGCCAGGGCCCGGGACACAGCCACAGAAGAGCGCCACCTCCAAAGAGGACCCTCTACCCCTTCCCAGAAAGCCCACAGAGGGAAGGGGACTCCAAGCCGTACCAGCTGGTAACCACCGCGTCCCACCACAAGCTGCGCCAAGGCCTGGGGCCAATCACTGCTAAGTGTGCGCACAGCGTCACAGCCTGGCCCTTGGACAAATGAGGGCTCAGGTGGACAGGCAGGACCCACAGTGTGGGCACCACACAGGCTCATCATGACACAATGCACAGACCCAAGAGTGGAAACCCCAAGCAGTGTGCTGGCCCAGCTGCAGAACCCACTCAACTCAGATCTGGCAAACTACTACAGCCAGAAAACAAGAAATCAGAATCTCGAAGAGCTTTTACTGAAAACAACCACATATATATCATGCAAAAACTAAATTCAGACTCATTCATAGATGAAGGAACTCAGAAAAGTTCATGGAAAACAGAATTAAGAGATAGGGCTGGTGTACTGGAATAGTGAGTCGGGCTCAAGGTCAACACCGCCATCCCACATGGAGTCCAGTTCAAGGCCTGGCTGCTTCGTTCTCCAGGGAGCAGCAGGACGGCCTAGACACCGACCTGGGAGACCAGGAAGGAGCTCCTGGCTCCTGGCTTCAGTGTGGACCAGGCCCAGCCACTGTGGTCATTTGAGGAGTGAGCCAGCAGAGGCAAGATCCCCTTCTCTCTCTAATTCTACCTCTCAAATAAATAACTATTTGTTTAAAAAAAACCAAAAACTATGGGGCGGGGGAGGCGCACAATAGCCTAGTGACTAACTTCCTGCCTTCCATGTACCAGGATCCCACATGGGCACCAGTTTGCATTCTGGCAGCCCCACATCCCTCCCAGCTCCCTCCCTAAGGCATGGAAAGCAGTGAGGACGGCCCAGAGCCTTGGGACCTGCACCCACGCGGGAGACCTGGAAGAAGCTCCTGGCTTCAGATCAACTCAGCTCCAACCATGGCAGCCACTTGAGAAGTAAACCAGTGGATGTAAGATCTTTGTCTCTCCTTCTCTAACTCTGACCTTCCAATAAAAACAAGTAAATCTTAAAAATTTTAAATCTCTGCATATGAGAGGTTTTCAAAATGCTCATGGAGAACATAAAAAAAACAACGATTTCAAAAATTTTTGGCATCAAAATCTTATATTTCCATTTTTCCATGATCTTTCTGAAGTATCCTCCTATAAGATTAAACTTTTATTTTGTTTCAAAGATTGATTTATTTTTATTGCAAAGATTTACGGAGAGGAGAGACAGAGAGGAAGACCTCCCTTCTGTTGATTCACTCCCCAAGCGGCTGCAATGGCCTGAGCTACACCAATCCAAAGCCAGCAGCAAGAGCTTCTTCCAGGTCTCCCATGCGGGTGCAGGGTCCCCAGGCTCTGGGCCATCCTCCACTACTTTCCCAGGCCACAGGCAGGGAGCTGGATGGGAAGCAGGGCCGCCGGGATATGAATCAGCCCATATGGGATCCCGGAGCAGGCAAGATGAGGACTTTAGCTGCTAGGCTGCTGCATCAGGCCTGAGGCCAAACTTCTAAGCACAATGCATAGCACAACAACAACAAGTTGTTGGGAAAACAAGTTGGCATCCTCAGGAAGATAGGGCAGTTGTGAGAAGTAAACATCTGGTCCACTGTCAAGGTGAGCAGACACCAGCCAGCAGGACAGCCTGCAGAAGGAGCCACCTGGCAGTGGGCTCACACACCTGAAAAGCTGTGAGGTAAACTGACAAGAGCGGCCCAAAAAGATCCCACAAACACCAAGACTGCCAGCCTGCAGTGCTCTGCCAGGATGGCGCTGGGAGGCGCTGGGAGGCGCTGGGAGGCGCTGGGAGGCACTGGGAGGCGCTGGGAGGCGCTGGGAGGCACTGGGAGGCGCTGGCAGGCACTGGGAGGCGCTGGGAGGCGCTGGCAGGCACCGGGCCTCGGAAGGCAGCCAGCCTCGGGGTGCTGGAGCGCACGCAACCCTTCTAGCACATCCTTCAGCAAGTCTCACTTTCTCTGGCCAGCCCTCAGCTGGGTGGGCAAGGCCACGTCTCCCGATCCTGCGAGGAGGGGAAGGTGCACCCCACTTGGCTTCAGTGCACGGACTCCCTGCAGAGGCCACAGAACAGCCCAGCTCACAACTCGGACAGCAAGGGCGACGCAGAGACCGAAACAGGCACTGCGGCAAGCAGGCCACCTCAGGCAGCAGCCAGCACCAGACAGGGGCTGCAAGGACCACCTTCCCCGCTGGGTATGTCCCTGAGGGGACACACAAACACCTGCTCCGCAATTCTGTCTTCCTCTGAGGGAAACGCCAGACATGGGTGCAGCAGTTCCAGGGTGCACAAGGACTCCCCACGGAGGGCTGAGCGTGCGCACTGAGATATGTTACAGGAAATGCAGCAAACAGGGAGAAGCTTACACAAAAGGCGCACGGGTGAGGCGGCAGCGGCTGCTGACACCGCCAACAGCCCACAGGAGCCTGGCGGTCGCCATGTGAGAACGGAAACCTCAGGACAGCGAGACGGCAGAGGGGACAAGGGACAAGCCTAACACAATGACAGACAAACTCACGGACACGCAAGCAGTGACCACAAGGTAAAGATGCACCTGTCCTAGAATAAGAAAAACAATCCAAATTTTTCAAAAACACAACAGCAGTACAAGCACGTTACTCCGAAACGTGAAATGAAATCCCAGCAGAAACATGGAAGAGTTTGTCGCCTCAAGAAGGGGACACACTAGCGGGGGCTCGCTCGGCCATCTGCCTCGGACCCTCCTGGCTATAATGCATTTCAGTGATCATAAATGTGAATAAACATAAAGAAAAAGAGGAGCAGAAAAACACATAAGGGTTTTTAAAAACCAGAGGTTCAAGAAAAAGATAATTAAAAAACAGCATCGGCTTCCTCCAATGGTGATCACAGCCGTCAAAGCAATGAGGGAACCAAGAGCTAAAAGACCCCCTAACCACCTCTGAGCACAGCCGTCCTACAGGCAGGCAGGGAGCACCCAAGCCAGCTGCCCCAGGGCACCCTCCCCATCCTGAGGTGGGGAGCACCCCCCCAGCCAGCTGTTCCAGGGCACCCTCCCCATCCTATGTCCGGGAGCACCCGAGCCAGCTGCCCTCAGGGTGCCCACCCCATCCTATGTCGGGGAGCACCCCCAAGCCAGCTGCCCCAGGGCGCCCTCCCCATGCTGAGTTGGGGAGCACCCCCAGTCAGCTGCCCACCCCAGGGCACCCTCCCCATGCTGAGTTGGGGAGCACCCCCAAACCAGCTGCCCCCAGGGCGCCCTCCCCATGCTGAGGTGGGGAGCACCCGAGCCAGCTGCCCCCAGGGCACCCTCCCCATGCTGAGTTGGGGAGCACCCCCCAGCCAACTGCCCCCAGGGCGCCCTCCCCATGCTGAGTTGGGGAGCACCCGAGCCAGCTGCCCCCAGGGCACCCTCCCCATGCTGAGTTGGGGAGCACCCCCAGCCAGCTGCCCCAGGGCACCCTCCCCATGCTGAGTTGGGGAGCACCCCCAGCCAGCTGCCCCAGGGCACCCTCCCCATGCTGAGTTGGGGAGCACCCCCAGCCAGCTGCCCCAGGGCACCCTCCCCATGCTGAGTTGGGGAGCACCCGAGCCAGCTGCCCCAGGGCGCCCCCCATCTGGAGGCGCAGCTAACAGCACCAACGCCGCTGTGGTTTCCTTACTGCATTCATTCTCCTGACTGGGTTTGCTATCTATTAACAGGAAAACTTTGAAGCACAGAGAAAAAAAACTTGAGAGGCTAAATCAGTTATCCAGGGCCACCAGAGCAGTCCCCACTAACATCTGAAACCTTCCCCCTGTGGCAGGCACAGTAACATGTCATCTACAAGAAAGCCAAGCTCAGAGTGCTGGACAATCTGCCCACAGGGACAGAGGCGGCCTTGAGGACAGACTGAACCCACCCAATTCCACAAAGGGTGCTCTCACCACTGCAGCACCCTGAGCCCAGGACTCGTAACAGAGTGATCCCACGGTCAAGTTGCCGATCCTACCTGCAGTCCTGGAACAGGCTCCTCCCTCCCCACAAGACCAGTCTGCTCTGGGAAATGCCCTGCAGCCTGCAGCTGTAACCCTGGCCCTGCTCACCGCCACAGGGAAGGGACGGCTGCCCAACTGCCCACGTGACCCCGAGCTGCACTGCCCAACTGCCCACAAGCCACCCGCCGTCTGCACGTGACCCCGAGCTGCATCATACCTTAATCTCATTGTCATTTGCGAAGTTGCCAAAAGCAGCCATAATTTTGGGGACAGCCGTAGCCAAGGTCTCCTGGACGGACTCCTCGGGTCTCTTGCTGGTTCGAGTCAGGCACGGCAGGAGGTTTACCAGGTAGGGCCTGGGGAGGGGCGGGGCAGAGGAGCCTTAGGAATTGCTCCAGGGCTTTACCTGGGCGTAAGCAGCCACTTCTCAGAGAAGCCAGGGCTCCACACAGGACAACCAGGCACAGCTGTGCAGGAGAAGGCAGGGCAGGGTGGCAAAGCACATCCTTCACCCCGCACTGCCCACCTCTACCCTGGACACCCCGCACTGCCCACCTCCACCCTCCTGGGCACCCCGTACCCTACACTCCCCACCTCCACCATCCACATAACCCGCATTCATAGATGACACCAAAACCCTGTCTCCCTGAAGTGCTGGCAGCCAATTGCAACAGTTATGCGAATACTCCTATTTTCAACTAGAAAACAGGTAATACCCCCCCAAAAAACACATCACTTTAAACAGAAAAATTAAGAAATCAGATAAAGCTGTCTTGAAAAAGGAGCACTTATAGCCAAAGTGTTTAAAGTGTGAATAACAAATGAGACCCGAGTTTAAGGCGTGGCCCCTGAGAGAGGAAAACAGGAAAGCAGGAATCTGGGTTGGAGCATCTGGTTGGGCACACAAGCCTGGCCAGAGTGCGTCCTCCGCTCCCTGGTGGCAGGGACGGGCAGTAAGTTGTTCAAAGCCGGCAGGCACTTGGGGTACTTTATCAGACAGCGAAGAGGGGCGGGGCCTCTGAGGGGTGACGGGAAAGGCAGTTCCGGAGGATGACTGGCGCAAGTGTCTGAGGCAGGAGCAGGCAGGAACAGCTGAGGTGGGCTCCAGGTCCTGAGCAGCACGGGCAGTGCCTAACTGACCATTATTACCCTCCCTCCTTTCCCCCGGGGAGAGTTAGAGCGGGGGGAGACCGAGAGACCCTTCCTCTGACATTCAGTCCTCAAACGGCTCCAACTGCGGGCTTGGCCCGGTCAAGTCAGGAGGCGGGTATGGGGCCTACACCCTGGGCTAGCTCTCGCTGCTTTCCCAGACCATCAGCAGGGAGCTGGGACACAAACCAGTACCCACAGGTACGCCAGCATCACAGCAGATTCACCCACAAAGTCACAGTGCCAGCTTCCCAAACGCGCTCTAAGGCCAGAGTGCCGGCCATGTCGGGACCCAGGGGTGTTTAGGATCGATCCGATGTTCCGAAACAGGGATAGAGAGGGGGAGCGCTTGTGTACACGTGAGATACAGGAACAGCTGCTCATCTGCCGCCGCGCTCTCCACGCACTTAGAGCTGCTGGGTCCGGGCGAGGCCAAGGCCAGAGCCAGGACGCCACCCGCACTGCCTGTGTGGTTACTCAATCCGAGAAGTGAGCCAACACCTGCTGCCCACAGGGCGTGTGAGCAGGACGCCAGAGCAGGAGGCAGGTGGGGGCTTGCACGTGATGTTCCGACGTGGGACACAGGCGTCCTGAGAGCGGCATGCCTGCTGTGCCGGATACCCGGCTGCCAGGCTTCACGTCAAAGTGGAACCAAGAGTGTGTGGGATTCGCATACACGTCACAGGCTGAGGACACAGAAGGGAATGGAACAATGGTCCTGCACTTGTTTCTCAATTCATTAAGTCAAACTAAGGAAAAGGGTGGGTACTGTGGTGCCTGGTGGAAGGCGTCATGGGCTAAATCCTCCCCTTGCAAGTGCCAGCATCCCATATGGACACCGGTTCATGTTGGCCTGGCTTTTCCACACCTCATCTAGCTCCCTGCCTGTGGCCTGGGAAAGCAGCAGAGGACAAACCAACACCTTGGGACCCTGCACCTGCAAGGGAGACCCGGAAGAAGCTCCTGGCTCCTGGCTTCAGGTCGGCTCAGCTCCGGCTGCCGTGGCCCTTTGTGCAGTGAAGCAGCGGAGAGAGGATCTAGCTCTCTGTCTCTTCTTTCTGTAAATCTGCTCTGCCTTTCCAATAAAAATAAACTAAAAAAAAAAGGACAGAACTCAAGTCAAGTGTTCACAGCGCAGCATTCATAATTTTGCCCATCTTCTGTAATGGCCACAGTCAGCGACAACGAGGCCGGTACCCTACCCTCAGCCCAGTGGACAGTCTCTGCCAGGCACGTGACGGGCAGGCGCTGCTGTCAGGGCAGGCAGCACAGAAAACAAAACGGCCCTGCTTCACACACTCCCTGAGTCTCTCAGGAGAGGCTGGGGGAGAAAACACTCAAGCTCCCCGACTGAGTGCATGGGAATATTCCTAACAGCAATCACTGCTTCCAGCGGGGCAATGGTGATCCACCTGCAGGAGGCCGGGATGGAGAATCCTGAGGGAAGGCTACTGGGCCGGGACAGAGCAGTCACACGTAACGCAGCAGCCCACCAGTGACGTGACGGCCCCCACACCAGAAACGCTAAGTGACACAGCGCCACAACTGACCTGCACTTCTGAGGCCGGACCAGGTGAGCCAGCTCAGCGAACCTCCACAGGGCGGCACGTAAACTTCGAGGGGCGCCATTCTGGGGGTTCAACAAGCGATGCGTTACACATAGTCACCCAGACACCATTCTAATTCCTACCTAAGCGGCCACGAGTAAGCCGCAGAAAAATCAAGTCTACCCCACGGTCCCTGCTAACTGCTGCTGTAACAGCACCGTGTTTTCGATAATGGAAACAGAAGACATACCTTTTTAATTTCTTTATAGAGTTCTAACTGCAATCTTGGGAGGTTAGAATCCATCAACGCCTGCAATAAAATACAAGACATTTATTTATAGAAAACATGTTCTATTAGCAATTCTAAAGAAAACTAAAAAATAAGATCTCAATGCTGGAACAAAAAAACGAGTGAGGTAGGGCCCCTCACTGTTGGTAGGCAGACAGAGCAGGAATGGCCAGAGAGCGGACACAGAGCATTCCTCGGGACAAGCAGAGGAATGGAACTGTCACGCAACCAAACGGCGCACAGAGTCACAGCAGAACGGCACGCCCTCATCAGCCCGCAAGCCGCACCTGCGACCCCCACTCCGGGCCTGACCGGCCGCCAGGACAGAGAGCTGCTCCACCCACTGGCTCACGCCTCAAACGCCCACAACCCCAAGTCAGGAACTCGGCTCAGTCCCCCTTGAGGGTGGCGGGACCAGAGTACTTGAGCTGTCCTGCCGGGCCGCCCAGGACTCTGCCGTGGCCAGCGTACGACCCCGAGACGGTCACATCCTACAGGACTGTAACGGACAACACTGTCTCACAAACACATGACCTGGCCTGGCAGACTGACTGGCTGGCCCTCCCCTGGCAGGCACTGGGATCCCACAGGAAAACTGGTTCTAATCCCGGTGGCCCCACTTCCCATCCAGCTCCCTGCCTGTGGCTGGGGAAAGCAGTCAAGGGCGGCCCAAGGCCTTGGGACCCTGCACCCGCGTGGGAGACGTGGAAGAGGCTCCTGGCTTTGGATAAGCTCAGCTCCAGCTGCTGCAGCCATTTAGGGAGTGAATCAACAGATGGAAGATCTTTATCTCTCCTCTCCACAAATTTGATCTGCCTTTCCAATAAAAAATAAATAGATCTTTTAAAATATATGTATATATACATAATATATAAATCATGACTGCTATTGTAGCTTGCACTAAAGGTTCTTAAATCAGCAACACAAATAGGAAAAACATATGAAAGCACCGCTCTTTCATCACATTGATCTATCATTTCATATCATTGATATGCAGACAGACCTACAGACGGTGTCACTCACCTGTGCACTCCCAAACAGACGCGACAGCCAGGCCAGGCCCAGCCGGAGTCTGCAGCCCAAACTCAGGCCACAGGCGGGCAAGAGAGACAGGAGCCAGCAGCGGCCGACCCTGGGTCTCGGGCCACAGCCCCAGGCCCCAGCAGCCCTGAAAGCAGGGCTCTGCAGCAAGAGTGCCACGTGACCAACAACAGGGCAGCTCTGCCCACGCTGTCGCTCTGCCCCTCAGCTCCCGCTGGCATGAAGCCAGAGTCCACATCTCTCTCTCACACACAGATCCTGCCTTACAGTGCAGGAAGCTGAGGCTCCAACGAACCACACCCTAGCTCAGCTCAAGGTGGCAGAGGCAAGGCTCTGACCCAGCTGCATCCCACTCTAAGCTAAAGCTGCTGAGTTCCTCAGACACAGGGACAAAGGGGCGGCTGCCTTCCCAACAGGCGGAGCCATGTGGGACGTGACCCCCTTGCAAAGCTCTCACCAAGAGGCCCAGGAACCATGTTACTACAGATCCTGACGGGCCAGGGGCGTCACCTCCATCCCACACCAGGGCCTGGATCGGATTTCCAGCTCTGCCTCCCTTTCCAGCACCCTGCTAGTGTGACCACGGGAGGGAGCAGCCACGGCCCCAGTCCTGGCTCCCATCACAGGGGACATGGTGGCGTTCCCGGCTGCCAGCCCCGGCATGAACAAGTCTCAACTACCGTCAGCATGTGGGAGTGCACCAGCAAATGAGGAATCTTCCCCACTCTCTTTGTCTCTGGGATCTCAACAAAATCACTAATAGTACACTCAGTAGGTCACAGCCGTGGCAGCCAGGCCAGAGGCCCCGCCTCCTGCAGCTGGGTGGCTCCTAGCTGCGCCCACCCCCACCCCCCATCCCCCACCCCCATCCTCACCTTGATGACCTTGTTGAGGCACTCGTCAGCCACCATCCTGACATCGGACTCAGCATCGTCGCTGCACAGCAGAAACAGCTCCATCGCAATGCCCAGGAGCTTCTGGAATTCTGGAGAATTTCTGAAAAAGAAAAGGTCACAGCCACGAAGATGCAACCATCCCTAACGAGGTGTCCACTCTCCGCACGGGACTGTGCGGTCCCAGAGTGGCCACGGCGGCTCACCCCGTGACACAGGCACCACACTCAGGCCAAACACTGACGGTCGGGGGACTGAGCGCAGGTACACAGGAACTCCGTCCCGTCCTCGTAATCCTTCTATACAGATGAAACTGCTAAAAGCAGCTCTCAACAAAAACAGCACACTACCAAGCAAGCCTCATTTACTCTTCAAAACTTCCATTTTTGTCATCCTTTTAAATGTTTCACTTTAAAAGCTAAAAAGGAGTCAGACTGCTTCAGAAATCGAAATCCCACACAGCCAAGTGCTTTGCCCTTGGCTCACCTTATGGGGCGGTCAAACTCACTCCTACGGCTTTGCCTCTTTCGCTCCCCAACAGCCCCCAGGTCCACACAGGCAGCACCGCAACAGCCACAGGGTCACAGCACACGTGCCTCCGCTGACATCCAGCCTAGACCCCTGGGCGTGAGCACATTCACCTGCGAGAGCCCATCCAGGGCACCGCACACCAACCTGAACACAGGCTGGGGACACGAGCTGTGGCCCACGTGGGAGACTGACTTGGGGGCACCGTGGTACCTGGGCTCCACGGAACGCCAGGAGTCCAGGGCACATGCCGCTCCGGACTATCACAGGTGCACCGCATCTCCCGTCGCCTGGAGTGGGCAAGGCTGCCCCACGTTCAGGCAATTCAGGCTGGGTTCCGTTATTCCTAATGCCAGGCACAGACACACTCTTTTCCCAAACAGTAAAGCAACGTAACACTTCCTTCAAACACAAGTCTGTTACCTTGTATCTACGTAACACTTCCTTCAAATACAAGTTTGTTACCTTGTATCTACGTAACACTTCCTTCAAATACAAGTCTGTTACCTTGTATCTTGTGCTAGAAACATGAGCTCACTCCTCACTAACTTCCACTCTGTGTGTTCATTCTAAGCAGCATTTTAGGGTCATTACCGTAACACTGACTTTAAGATTTCCTTTTAACAATTATGTACTTGCTTTGTGGATGCATATGTTCAACACTGTCTCCACCTGGGGTGGGTACCTGTCACAGCAGGGGAAATGCCAGCTGGGACATCGGCATCTCCGAGGCCAATAAACACCAGGAGGCAAAAGGGCGGCTCAAGTACCCGGGTGCCCGCCAGCAACAAGGAGACTCGGAGCAGGTGCCAGCTCCTAGCCTTGCCCAGGCCCAGCCCTGACTGGAGGGAGCATCTGGACAGAGGACCAGCAGGAGCAAGAGCCCTCCACCCGTCTGTCTTTCAAATTAAAATAAAAAGCCTTGAAAAGCACCTACACAGAAATTTAGATCAGTTTTTTTTAAAGATTTATTTTTATTATTTTTTCATTGGAAAGGCAGATATACAGAGAGGAGAGACAGAGAGGAAGATCTTCCGTCCGATGATTCACTCCCCAAGTGAGCGCAACGGGCCGATACTATGCCGATCCGAAGCCAGGAGCCTCTTCCGGGTCTCCCACACGGGTGCAGGTTCCCAAAGCTTTGGGCTGTCCTCGACTGCTTTCCCAGGCCACAGGCAGGGAGCTGGAAGGGAAGCGGGGCTGCCGGGATTAGAACCGGCGCCCATATGGGATCCCGGGCGTGCAAGGCGAGGACCTTTAACCACTTGTGCCACCGCGCCGGGCCCTAGATCAGTTTTTTTTAAATATCTGGGTTTATGGAAGATCTAACTTTACAGCATGAACTCAACCCTGCAGAAACGCAGTCAGTGCACTGCAGCAGCCTGCACGGGTCCTGCATGGTCCTGCACGGTCCTACACGGTCCTGCACGGTCCTGCACGGTCCTACATGGTCCTACATGATCCTACACGGTCCTACATGGTCCTGCATGGTCCTGCATGGTCCTGCATGGTCCTGCACGGGTCCTACATGGTCCTACATGGTCCTGCATGGTCCTGCATGTCTTGTCACTTCCTGTATTTCTGTAGACCATGCCTTCACCCAGCACACCTCCTAGCAGTCTTGTCGAAACAAAGGGTACGCTCCAGGGTTCCGAGTGTCTCACCAGCAGCCACACTACTTGTCAGGGACTGCCTGAGGCGTGCTCTGTGCTCCCACTTGTCTGCTCCTTTGAAGCCCAGGCCCACCCAGGGCAGTCAGCTCCCAGCAGGGACAGGCGAACAGGAAAACTTCTGAATTTACACGGACAGCAGACCACAAGCCAATCTAGGATGGCTGTGCTTTACTGTAATTCTTCTGAGAATTCTCAAACACAAAACAGAAAGCCACACATGAGACAGAGCACCTGGGCTGAAGGGGCCCTTGTTCAGAGTCAATGACTCCCTGGGCGGACAGAGCCGGGCCTGGTGGTAGGGCTCCACACGTGTGCAGCCACTGGCCATCACTGCTCGCGAGGGCAGCAGCCTTCCGCAGCCTGGCTGCCTGTCCTGGCGGCCACCGAGCCCACCATGGTGGCCACACCCCACAGCTGCCCCAGCCATGGCCACACACACAGCACTCTGGAGATGGGGCACTGGGATGTGACCACAGGAGCAACACTGCCAGCACTTTCCCGATTGAGGCAGCAGAGGGCAGCAGGGGCAGCAGGGGGCAGCAGAGGGCAGCAGGGGGAAGTAGGGGGAAGCAGGGGCAGCAGAGGGCAGCAGAGGGCAGCAGGCGGCAGCAGGGGGCAGCAGAGGACAGCAGGGGACAGCAGGCGGCAGCAGAGAGCAGCAGGCGGCAGCAGAAGGCAGTAGGGGGCAGCAGGCGGCAGCAGAGGGCAGCAAAGGACAGCAGGGGGCAGCAGAGGGCAGCAGGGGGCAGCAGAGGGCAGCAGAGGGCAGCAGAGGGCAGCAGGGGGCAGCAGGGGGCAGTAGGGGGCAGCAGGGGGCAGCACAGGGCAGCAGGGGCAGCAGGAGGCAACAGGGGGCAGCAGAGGACAGCAGGGGGCAGCACAGGGCAGCAGGGGGCAGCAGGGGGCAGCTTGGCTGCTTTCCTCAAGGTGATCTCAACTTTTTACTTATTTTCACATCATGTTATTATCATTTGCTTTTTCACTTTCTTCCCATAATGTTTTTACACATTTAGATTCATCTACTATACTTTACCAATGAAGAAATGAGTTAAACTAAAATGAATGCCAAATAACTTAGAAATACAAATATAAGATGGCATTAAAAATCAATTACCAGGGCCCGGCGGCGTGGCCTAGTGGCTAAAGTCCTTGCCTTGATCGCACTGGGATCCCATATAGGCGCCGGTTCTAATCCCGGCAGCCCCACTTCCCATCCAGCTCCCTGCCTGTGGCCTGGGAAAGCAGACAAGGATGCCCTAAAAAGCCTTGGGACCCTGCACCTGTGCGGGAGACTCAGAAGAGGCTCAGCTCCGACCCCACTGCCACCCAGCATGCCTGGCTGAGCAAATCTTGCAACTGCCGGCCACCGGGCAAACCACCAAAGACAAGCAGCAAGTAGGAAAGATGATAAAACAGACTACCTCATACTATTCAATGGCCATGGTAGATGCACAATTCTCAAAATAAGGACGATTTTTAAAAATGAGAGACACAAACAGGGGGAGAGGAGAGCATTTACACACAAGACAGAAAGAACCCCCACCTGCAGCTCCCTGACAGCCAAGGTCGGGCCCAGCCAAGAGGCGGGAACTCAATGCAGCTGTCTGAGCAGGTGTAACATGGGGGATGGGGCCCAAGCACTGCAGCCCCCAGGGTCCAGCTCAGCAGGCAGCTGGAGGACAGCAGTGTCCCCACAGCATGGACACTGACTCCGGATGAGCGTTAGAACAGGAGCTACACAAAGTGCTACCTAAACACACACCCCCCACAGCTGCACACAAGTCCAACTCAAACCCACAGAAAACTGCCTCGGGTGTTTGCAAGCTGCACTGCTTCTCCTGGGAACACGTGCTCTGGAGACACGTGCTCAGGAGACACATGCTCTGGAGACAGGGGCTCTGGAGACACACGCTTTGGAGACACATGCTGTGGAGACACACGCTCTGGAGAAAGGCACTCTACAGACACGTGCTCTGGAGACAGGCACTCTGGACACACATGCTCTGGAGACACGCACTCCGGAGACACACGCTCTGGACACACGTGCTCTGGAGAGACACGCTCTGGAGACACACACTCTGGAGACATGCACTGCACTAAACATTTCCTGGGCCTTCCAGTTTATCAACCACCGACACAGAGCCAGAAACACGTACAAAGTCCTGACTCTAAACGATTTCTACAAATGTTAATTGTAGACACATGAAAATATTCAAGCCCCTGAGATTGAAAATAAAGTTTTTGTTTCCCCTAGAAAGTATAGAGTGCAATTACCTGAGAGATTGTGCCACTATGTTTTCACATATCGTCAGACAATGGTTCACACGGTCCTTCTTGGTAGCTGAAAGTTCTTTCTTTCTAAGAATAAAAAAGAAGAAAAAATGAACACACTCTGAATTACCCAGAGTTTTTATTTGTAAACCTCATGAGTTGCTGTGTCTTGGCCAGCGGGGCGTGGGGCCGGAAGGAGGTGGCCAGGAGCTCAGCTCAGGCAGAGCAGACACAGCCGGCCACCACACAAGCGGCTGATGTCAGCTCTAGAGAGATCCTCTCCCACCCACCCCAGGGACAGCGCAAGTCCCCCAGGTCGCTCCACCCAAGTTGAGGAGGAGAGCCCCAAAGCAAAGTGCTGACCTGACCCTGAACCAGACCCAGAGTTCTTTCAGGGAATTTTACTACTGAAGAAGTCAAAACAGAACCCCACAGGTACCGGTGCCTTCCTCAGGCCCCTGAAAGTGCGCATTTGAAAAGACTGTTAACCCGGGCCCAGCGGCGTGGCCTAGCGGCTAAAGTCCTCACCTTGAACGCTCCAGGATCCCATATGGTCGCCGGTTCTAATCCCGGCAGCTCCACTTCCCATCCCGCTCCCTGCTTGTTGCCTGGGAAGGCAGTCGAGGACGGCCCAAAGCCTTGGGACCCTGCACCCATGCAGGAGACCTTGAAAAGGTTCCTGGCTCCCAGCTTCGGATCGGCGCAGCACCGGCCGTTGCGCTCACTTGGGGAGTGAATCATCGGACGGAAGATCTTCCTCTCTGTATATCTGACTTTGCAATAAAAATGAATAAATCTTTCAAAAAAAACTACACAAACCCACCAAGGGCAGAGCCTAGGAAGGCACTGGAGACGCAGCCAAGGAGGAACCTCCAAACGGTGAGGCCAGGGGCCAGGAGGAAGAGGGCTCCAGGTACAGGAAAGACTTGGGGCTAAGACAGACACCTGTTCCCCAGCAAGTGCAATGTGTGAAGCCATCCATAACCGAGGCCCTTCCTCACCCTGCCGAGCACCCACAGCCTGCTGGGCCACTCAACTGCCTGGCATACATAATTTGTCAGCCCACAGCACTGTGTATTCAAGGTCCCGATCAAACATCACCAACTGCAACCAACATCATGATCAGAGCCTGCAGACACTCGGGACAGCGGCCTCCCTGTGGGCCTCACTCTAAGGTCAGACACTCGCGACAGGGGCCTCCCCGTGGGCCTCACTCTAAGGTCAGACACTCGCGACAGGGGCCTCCCTGTGGGCCTCACTCTAAGGTCAGACACTCGCGACAGCGGCCTCCCTGTGGGCCTCACTCTAAGGTCAGACACTCGCAACAGGGGCCTCCCTGTGGGCCTCACTCTAAGGTCAGACACTCGCGACAGCGGCCTCCCCGTGGGCCTCACTCTAAGGTCAGACACTTGCGACAGGGGCCTCTCCGTGGGCCTCACTCTAAGGTCAGACACTCGCGACAGCGGCCTCCCCGTGGGCCTCACTCTAAGGTCAGACACTTGCGACAGCGGCCTCCCCGTGGGCCTCACTCTGAGGTCAGACACTCGCGACAGCGGCCTCCCCGTGGGCCTCACTCTAAGGTCAGACACTTGCGACAGCGGCCCCCCTGTGGGCCTCACTCTAAGGTCAGACACTCGCGACAGCGGCCCCCCCAGTGGGCCTCACTCTAAGGTCAGACGCCCATCTCCAAGGACTGCCAGTACCCAGCATCCCCACTGCACCCCAGCCATCCTGACTCCTTGGCTTGTTCCGTCCCCTCTGTCCCTCAAGCGGGCAGGTCTGCTGCCTGGCAACAAGGACCCTCTCCAGCCCTGCCCTGGCCCAGGAGTGTGCTTCCCCTTCTCGTTCCTGAAGGTTTCTCAGAGAACTCACATGGCAGCCTCGCACCCATCTACCAAAGCCCCCTTTCTTCCTGGCCACACAGCCTCCGAGCTGAAGGCTGCAGGGCCCCCTCCCTCAGACAGCTCTGTGACAGGGACCTAGTCATGTGTGGATGACTGCACCACTTGACAGCCCCGCCACTTGTGCCTGGCTTCCCTCCAAGGGCAGGTGGCACGTCCAGACCACAGCGAGGATGGGAAGGCGGCTGAGTCCCAGGACACAAGCACACTAGTCAGAAAACTCACTGTGCGTGGGGAGTAAGCCAGACCCAAACCACACTGGACAGCTCCGTCACAGAGTGTTCCAGAACAAACACAATTCAAGAATGGGAAACTACTGTTCATTTCCAGGGATCAAAAGAGGATGGGGGCCAACACAGTAACCTATTGGCCTGAGTTGGCCCACCTCCTGTCCGGGCAGGTCCTGGCCTTCCCTAACCAGCCCACAACCCATTCCAGTTCTTGCTGTTGGGTGATAGAGCCCAGTCATGACTGGCCCAGACCTGGCTCTCACGTGGTTCAGTGGGTGCCAAGACCTAGGCCAGCCTATCAAACACCCACTCTGGCTCTCACGAGCGCCAGTGGATTACGAAACCTATCCCAGAGTGGCACACCCCAGACCCAGTCCAGCCCAGATCACTGCCCCATTACAGCATTCACACTTCCCACAGGAACCGTAACCCAGCCGGAACATTCCCTTTGCTCTCCAGTCAGGCCTACTCCCAGTGGTGGATCTTGCCTGTGCCGGTGGTTGTCCAACCCAGCATGGGTTGGCTTAAACCCTGTCTTGACCTTTGTCCTTGATGCTGCAGGCTGACCTGGCCTGTCCCCAGTCCCAGCTCTTGCTGGTGGGTGTTGTAGCCTAGCCCTGCTCAGCCTGCTCCCATCCCTGGCTTTCACGCAAACCAGTAGACGTGACAGCCTAACTCAGCCCAGGATGGCCTGCACCCCACCCTGGCTCCTGCAGATGCCAATGTGTTACCATTTGGCCTGGCCCTGCCCAGTCTGCTCTTTGGTCCAGCCCACATACCTGCTGACAAATGGAGCAGCCTTGCCAGCCTGACCCACACCCAGCCTTGACTCATGTGCTCATTGGAGTTCCCCAAGTTCCCCCCAGCAGGCCCACTCTCAGCTCTGGACCTCAAGTGTGCCAGCGGTGTTAGGCCCTGACCCTGCATAATCTGCCCCTTCTATCTCAGCCTTTGCATGCTGGTGTATGTTGCAGCACAGTCCAGCCCACACCCAATTCTTGGGTGCACCTATGGGTGTTGCAGCCTGTTCCAACCCCAGTCCCCATGAGTGTCTTAGGGTTCCACGGTCATGCCTAACTCAGCCCATCACCACCCCCAGCTCTTGAGCAAACCAGCAGATATAGCAATCCTACAACGCTGAGCCCACATAACCCCAACAAAATCTGCCCCTGGACCTGGTTTTCCAGTGTGCTGGTTAGTGTCGTGGCCCAGCCTAACATTACCTGTCCCCTGTTCCGACACTCACTGGCAGGCACTGTGATCTAGCCCTGACAGGTAGGCTGCAGTCCAGCTCAGCTCTCACATGGGCAGGTGTATCCACCTGACCCAGAAAGGTCCTCCAGCTTCCCTCCTCCAAATCGCTCAGTCTTGGCCTCCTTGCTTACCTGCAAGTACAGTGGCCTTGTTGGTAAAAAGTTCCCCAAAGTCATTCCTCAGCTACAACATACCCCTCAGTCCCCACAGCCAAGAGTACATGGATTCCCCAGCCCACGCTTCTAGTGGGGCAGCAGGCTAGCCTGGGCTCTGCCCGCCCACCAGGGACCCAAGCACACACACAGGTCCCCAGACCATGTTCTCTAGCACATGTGCTGTCCTGGCACCTTACTCCTCCCACGTGGGACCTGAGTGCGTGCATGAGACCCCAGGTCCACCAGCACAACGCATCAGCAAGGGGCTTTTCCCTTCCCCCGCCTCACCCACCCATGGGACTGAAACATGGGGACGAATCCCCAGGCCCGCTTCAACAACCCCAGATCCCGCAGAAGAGAGCAAAGCCACCAGCGGTTCCATCTCCACAACCCAGTTGCCCCACTTGTGGTCCAGCTCCCTGCTAATGGCCCGGGAAAGCAGCAGCAGGTGGCCCTGCACCCATATGGAACATCCAGAAGAAGTGCATGGCTTCAGTTGGGTTCACTTCCAGCCACTAAAATTATCTGGTGAGTGAACCAGTAAATGGAAAATCATTTTCTGCTCTCTGTAAATCTGCCTCTCAAACACAAATTTTAAAGCATCTTTGAAAAAAGATTATGCAGGGCCAGCATGCTGGCAGACAGGGTAAAGCCACCATCCGTGAAACTGGAAGTGCATGTGGTGCCAGCTCAAGTCCGATCTGTTCCACTTCCCAGCCAGCTCCCTGCTAACACCGCGGGGAAAAGCAACAAAGCCGGTCCAAGTGCTCGGGCCCCGGGACACAGGTGGACACCCAGATGAAAGCCCCGCTCCCAGCTTCAGCTTGGCTCCGTTCTGGCAGGCCTTCTGGGGAATGAACCAGTGGATAGAAGTTCTCTCTCTCTGTGTTGCTGTCTCTCCCTTTCTTTCAAACAAAAAACAAGTGCATGAAAAAAGCGTGATTCCAGGCTGAAGTCAGGACAATTCTGCAAACAGCTACCCCTTGGCTCACCTCACTGCTGGTCCTCACACACACCTCTAGCTGTACGTCAGCAGACCGAGGTCAGAGCAACGTGCAGTGCCAAGGAAGGGCCGGGGTGGCCAGGCAGGGACCTGGCACGTCAGAGTCCTCAGCAGCAGCTGCCTGACTTCACTGGGCACTCTGTTCTCAGCATGTCCTTGGACAAGCAGGATTTTCAGGATGATGTGTTAAGTCAGGATTAGAAACCAACTCATTCAAAATTATTTTGTTTTTTATTTTTATTTTTTAAAGCTTTGTTTATTTTTGTTGGAGAGTAAGATTTACAGAGAGAAAAAGAGACAGAGAGGAAGATCTTCTGTCTACTGGTTCACTCCCCAAATGGTCGCACTGGCCAGAGATGAGCTGTCCTGAAGCCAGGAGCCTCTTCCAGGTCTCCCACGCGGGTGCAGGGTCCCAAGGCTTTGGGCCATCCTGGACTGCTTTCGCAGGTCACAAGCAGGGAGCTGGATGGAAAGTGGAACAACCAGGACACGAACCAGTGCCCATATGGGAACCCAGCACGTGCAAGATGAGGATTTAGTCAGT